AATTTAGTTTAATAATAAACGAGTTATAAATAATATTCTGGCGATTTTAAAAGTAGAGATTTGAAAGTTGAATAAATAAACCGATATGTTCCGTGATGGAGAAACGTATCGTATCATGTTCATATAGCCAGATTATTGGAGCAAAGAGCACTATATCGACCATGCCCAAGGAAGATTACATAATCCGGTAGGAGAGAGACGTTTTCATCGAGTAAACCGTTTGGATCTCGGTGTACTATGCTGCTCGTTAACGACAGAATCGTCCGAGCCGCGTCCAATTACTTTCGGGGCATAACGAACGCGAGATGGTTCCCCGTTGATGGCGGCGCGGCGGGATCTCGAAGCAAGGGACCTGTAGCGGTTAAATTTATCCTTCGCGGAGTTTCGGAGAGCTCGTTTTACTCGATGGATACCTAAAATGCCCACGGTTTCGAGAGGACTCGGAAATAGCTATGGACTCGGTCCCGTCCGGATCCCGAAATATCTAACACCATAGATTATGGTCGCGTGCAACTGCGCGACACAACGGCAGCGCGCTCTATCTGACCAATGTTGGAACGATTAAATGTCTTCGAACGCTTCCTAAAACATATATCACAAGCCCTGCTCTGCTCGCTTCTTTGACAACTATCGCTTAGACACTGATATATGTTGTCTGTCGGTGGTCGATAACTGGCGGCTTCGCTCGTGGACGTGTAACCCTAAAGTATTTCTAATCTACCTAAGTAAAGTGCGGTCATGTCCTTCTGTTTTCGCGCACAGTTACGGGAAAAGGGTTGGAGCAATTCTGATGAATCTTCCAGGCTATCTATAGGATGTTACAAATTCCTAGCCAGAACATGGTTCAACAGAGGGCGCCAACTACTATTTCTACGATATCTGGTTCATTGTTGCATTTACAACAAAGGTGTACATAACAAGATGAAGTTTCTGAGACCCTTTTTCTTGTATCGCCCGACCTAAAATTCCAAGATGTTCAGAGCGTTACGAAAGATTTTTATTAAGTGGTCTGACTTTTAAGCAGAGTTAGATTAATACATTAGTGTTGTACGATAAGGTACGATGCCTCTTACTTGAAGTAGAGCGATCACCAGACGCGTTTCACCACTCTGCACGGCTATAGTGCTTATGGTGGTCGTTGGACTGGTGGTTTGTTGCGGTGCATCCTCGTTGCACACCACCACCGCTCGTGATTCCTTCTCAGGAGGTCCCTCGCTATTCTCTGTCGTTTCCATCGAGTCGTGTCCGTCCACCATTCTCCCGATTCTCCTCTTTCGCGGGAAACAGAATCGTTTAAACTATCACCGTGAATCGATTTACCGATTGCCCCGAACCATTCGACACATCCAACTATACTTCCTCATATCTTTACTCGACACGCAACTATCGAGAAGGCTAATATTTCGACGAACAACGAATTTTATTATAACAGCCAGTGTATAAAGAAAATATGAGGAGAGAATAGAAAATGGATGAAACGGTAGGGTTAAAACGAGAGAAAGACGGAAGAGGATTTTCATGAAATACGTAATTTAATTGGCTTCCGTCCAAAAGTTAAACCATTCGTAAACAGAGAGAGAATAAAGGAAGGTTTGATAGTTTGCTGGTATCCGCGGTGAATTAATTTGGACGTTGATCGAAGTTCCGCGTGACTGGGATGCGAGAACGCGGCTATCACGCGGAAACATTTTCGGATGAAATTGATGTTCGCCATCGTTACCTCTTTCTCGAGACAGCACGAAGTGGAAGTTACGTTCTCCAGTTACCGACGCCGTCTTTACTGATTAACGTTATTTTTGGCGATTCGCCAAAGGCGCATCGACGCAAATTCCGCGAATACAACGGCGACGAATACGCTCCAACGATTCCAAGCTATTCTTCAACGCGAAAAATTCCACCGACCTCTATATCGAACAGTCGAAAAGAATTTCTCTGGATCAAATTTAACGATCAGAATTTTCTATAAACATTTATTCACTCTCGGTATACATTTCGTATCGCCTAAGAAAATAATTAATAGCATTTATGGATAGAGTTAGAACTTAATAAGAGATGGACTACCGTCTCTATTTTTTCCTTGTTTTTATTAGATATGTTTTGGCAATACGATTCTAGTGGTGTAAACAAGAAAAGGGGTGACTTTCTCCCTTAAACTTTGGTCTACCGTTTTTTTTGTAAATTTTTTACTTGGTTTTTATTAGGAAAATTTTGTATGGTCCCAGTGGTGTAAATGAAACTATACCTTTTGCCTTATATGACCCGGGAGAAACAAAATTTTTGTAATTATTTTCCTATCAAAAGTAAGTATAAAATCATAATAATAAAAAGTGGCTAAAAATCATTTGGTTATATAAATTGTGTATGTATATAGTTTGTAATAACTGGATAAAAGTTGAAATAAGGTTAAATTCTATTGTTTTGCGATTGCACCTAATGTTAATTTTCCTATATGTTTATAGTTTAGAGATATCTTTGTAAGGTGACGTCACCGACACGGACGAACGAATGGGAGGATAAAACCGGACTGACTGGTGGCGTTCTCCGAACGAGAGGTTCACCACACCGCGACCCACGATCGGAGACGATCTCGTGGAAAAAGAATAAAAAAACGTGCAAAATCGAGGTAGACCAGCGGTCGTACAGTCCACCGAAATCACGGTGCGTCCGCACGCGGATTCCGCGCTCCGGAACCATTTGCTAGAGTCTCTACTAAACTGGTCATCGTACTGGAACAATGTACAGTATTATCAGTCACATTATGTCAGGCTAATTACATGTTATCTGCTAGCTGGCATGTCTGCTGGTACAAACCGATAGATTAACGGGCAACATTCGCGTGTTTTAATACTCATGGATATACATAGTATACTTTTCTTCTTTAATTAACCGCAACGAGAAAACGGTACCTTCGACTTTGATCGTAATCGAGACACGCATAGCCAAAACAAAAGTTTCTTATTTCGTACGATGCTAGTTTTCGTTCCATTCTTGCTTTCAAGGCGAAAGAACGAACGAGTCTGCGAACACTATACCCAAGGACAAGATGAAATTTAGGTCGAACGAAAAACGTGACAAACTGAAAGGCGCTTCGGTGGTGCGAACAATTTTCGAACGGATGAATTCGTTGGAAATGTGTGCAACTAGGAAAATACAATTCGTCGGTACCGATGAAAATAATGAACCATTTTAAACGTCTAAAAATATTAGCCTCTTGTTTACTTAGTACTATTAACAATTATTATTGAAATATTTTTAGAAAGATCTTCCATATTAGCGAATTCGATTATTATCGGACAATCACCTAAATCGACCCACGTTCAAGCAGTGACAACCACAATATAAATCGCAGCAACAGCAGCACTCGCGTGACACATGTCACAATGGTGTCAAGTCACACCGGCCGATCGGTCGCAGAAGCAAGCCGACCCGAGACTGACCCGTCGAACTGTCGAACCGTTTCGAATGCCGCCGAAGCTGCTCGGCCGCAGTCGAACTTCGCCGAGCGCGCACGATCTTCCCCGAACGCGATCGAACGTGCACGAAAACCAACGACGACTCGCGACCCGCTAAATTCGTAATTTGAAACGCTAATTATTCATAATCTTCGCTCTCGAAGTTACAATCTGATCGAATGCTTCGTGAACGGAACAAGCTTGTATTCTGAGGGTGATCGATAGCAACGAAGCGTAGGATACTAGACGAACATTACTGAAGTTTTTTCTGTACGAAATTGCGTTATAAATAACGTTCGCCATTATCATAACCCTTTGCAGTCCGAGAAGTATTCTTTTCTTAAAAAGAATGTAAAAATATTAAGGGGCATAAGTTTGAGGTCTTCTAGATCCGCCATTGTCAACCTCGACAAATTTCTGTTACGTTAAAAACCTGCCTTGGACGACTGGGATATTGGGAAGTCGTTCGAGGAATGTAGCAACCGAGGGATCGGTCGAGTGCTTGTGAGAGCGCTCGCCCTCTGGTGGCGACGCCACAAAACATTTTATTTACAAACGTGACGAGCAAGCCATGCATACACTGAAATTGTTACAACGCATTAAACAAATTAACCAGAAAACATCAATTTGTGTACGTACAGATTTTGGTTTATGGGTTAAGGATTAAGGACTTACGTATCTCAGTTGATTATCCCTATCGTGCCTTGCGATGTTGCTGCAACGATTAGTTCAACCCGGTATATGATTTTGATAATTTTCTTTACACATTCCACATGGAAAACAATGAAAAATAATTCATACTATAAATATTTGATGAAGAAAATTATTCAAAATATAATATTGTATTTAAATTTTATACCTACCCATTTTATGTGCTTCAATAAATCGAAGATTATAGTAATTTTTAATCTGTAAGAAAAGCTGAGAAGCACTGATCTAAAGCAAGATGCACGTTGATCGAAGTTGAATAAACTTTATTTTCGAGTAACGAATACAAATTTTAGATTTGCTTTTTAAACTAATTTTTAGAAATTAGATTTTAATTAGCGAAATTTTCAAAATAATATTTATCACTAAAAAATAAATAAAATCTTATTCATTGCATACTTAAATCATATTAATAACGTACAGCATAAATATTGTGATTCATAGGTATATGTATTTAGGAAAATACTGTTTTGTTTATATAATTGTTATCGTTAATTGAAATAGTGTTTGTTATACTTACGTATATGTACCCAATATCTACGTTCTGTATAGTTTTATTGATTGTGATGAAAATTTTTTTTTGTGTGACGATTGTGTGATTTTAATTTGTTATTTGAAAATAAAATTTGCTCGATTCTAACGTCGATCAGACACAGACGAAAATAGTTAGCTTGCATTGGAGAGCGGCAAACGACATCGATTTTCATTCACGCTGGTAATTTCGATGAAGCTCTGCTGCACGGAATAGTCATCGAAACATGCAGCTTCGTTGCTGGGATTACAGCTGCAGCAGCACTCATTTCTTTCGCCATTCATCGAGGAAACCGCTATCGAACTCACCTTCCTCGCCCTTTCGAGGAAATCTTGCCCTTCCAGGCTGTCCTCCTTCTTGGTCGGTGACATCTCGATTCCGCTGTCTTCGTGGTGTCGCGTATATTCCTTCAAAGACAATGTGATATCCTTCGAACCATCCCCGAAACTGACACGTGGCTTCTCCTCTTCCTTCAATTCGCAAATTTTCGTGAACTTTATCGAGCGTTCGGTATCCTCGGTTTTCGTTGAAAACTCGTCCCTGCGACTGTACGACTCGGCTGTTCAACATTACAAATTAAAATAATTACACGACAGATCATTCTTCTATCGTTATATTAAAACGATTCTACGAGCCATTATTTTTATTTTCATTTTTCTCAAGTTCTACGTCGAGTATTTGGAGTAATGATTGGTTTTTGAAAAAATATGTTTCAAAATATAAATTGCAGATAATAACCAATCTTATGTTGACAAAAATATTTTGAATGCAATATACAGGGTGTTCTACCACCCCTGGGAAAAATTTTAATGGAAGATTCTAAAGGCCAAAATAAGACGAAAATCAAGAATACTAGTTTGTTGATGGAAGCTTCGTTAAAAAGTTATTAACATTTACAGTTCCGCCCGTATTAAATTTTTTTCTAGAAAGTGGGTAGGATTTCGGGGGTAGGACTATTCACCAAAAATTATTGCAATTGACCCCCGCAACCGAAAATAATTTTTCCAGAATGATTTGAAATTTTTTTTTTTGTCAAAAAAATTTGCACCATCTCGAATTTTTTTCTCATAAGTGGGGAGGATTTTGAGGGTATGTCTAATAACCAAAAATACTTGTAACTGACTCCTGCAATTGAAAATATTTTTTCCAAAACGATTTGAAATTTCTTAATTTTCTCGAAAAATTTCACACCTTCTCGAATTTTTTTCTCGAAAGTGGGTAGGATTCCGAGGGTGTGTCTAATGACCAAAAATAAATGTAATTTACCCCTGCAACTGAAAATATTGTTTCCAGAATTATTTGAAATTTTTCAATTTTGTCAAAAAATTTCACACCTTCTCGAATTTTTTTCTCAAAACTGGGTAGGATTTTGAGGGTATGTGTAATGACCAAAAATGATGGTAATTGGGCCCCGCAACCGAAAATAATTTTTTTTAAACGATTTGAAATTTTTTTTTACGTCTGAAAATTTAGGCACCTACCCCCTGTCGATTTTTCTTAGAAATTAGTTTTTCATTTTTAATAAGTTTGTTTGACGCCCTACAGAAAAGTTGTGTAATACTTTTTTATAGGTACCCATAAGCTCTACTTCAGAAAAAAGTTTCATCGAAATATATTCACTATTGTAGGAGTTATGGCTGTTTGAAAATTGGACCATTTTTATGGGGCTTTTCTCATTTTGCGGAGTCAAGAAATAACTTTTCGAATATTTTTGGGATTGCCTCGCATTCCTTACGAAAATACGCGTAGTTTGCTTTTTTAAACATTAAAATCGTCCAATCCGTTCAGGAGTTATGACGTTTTAAACATTCGCATGAAATTTCGGGGTAGCATTTCTGGCCAGAAACTATATTTTCGGTAATGAATTTTTTTCTCGAAAGTGCGTAGGAATTCGAGGGTATACGTATTGACCAAAAGTGATTGTAATTGACCCCTGCAATCAAAAATAATTTTTTTAAAACGATTTGAAATTTTTTAATTTCGCCAAAAAATTTCACGTTCTCGAATTTTTTTCTCGAGAGTGGGTAGGATTTCGGGGGTATGTCTATTCACCAAAAATGATTATAATTGAGCCCCGAAACCAAAAATAATTTTTTTAGAATGATTAAAAATTTTTTAATTTAATTTTTTAATAAGTTTTTAAGCCTCAGCCAAGAAATTGATATTCTTGATTTTCATCTCATTTTGGCCTCTAGAATCTCTCAATAAAATTTTTCATAGTTTCCTATCCTGTATAACGAATGGTAAATATAAATATATAAATTAAATAATTCCATAGTGATTTGTAATTTTCAATTTGATGACGAAAACTGTTGTGAAACGAAATCAATGCAGCAAGTCTCACTTTTTGTACCAGAATCTCTTTCGTGATGTAAACTGTTTGCTTTCCCATGAACGTCCGATGAGACGACGCGTTCGAGATCCTTGAGTTCCTTAACGTCGACATTTTCTCGATGATCGTGCAGAGTATTGGATATCACCTTGTAAGAGGCAACTCCTAATCGAGTATCGTGCGACACACGCAGAGTCGTGGTTTCCGTGACTTCCTTCACAATTTTTCCAGACTTTTCCTATGATATCGACGCATTAGATCAATTTTTAAACGAAATTATTAGTACATCGTCTAATAACAAAATTATATGCTCGAATACGCATGCAAAAAGTGCTCTGAATTAATTTTATTTCTATACGTGTGAGCTCATTTAGAAATTAATTTATTCCAAGTTTTAATTCCTAATTTCTCTATATATTAATAAATATTCTCGGAGTGTAAAGGGTTAATTTTTTATACCTATAGCTGATTGACAGTTGACTTGTAATTTTAAGAGATATTTTAAACTTATCACTTTTAAACAGCCCCTAAATATGAAAAATATTTTTCAAAGCAATCGGAGGCGGGCACTTAAAACCGATTGACGCGTGACAAGTATAAATACATGGACACTTTTCGCATGCTTCTTCGTTTCTGATCATCCCAACATACATCTACTCTCTTCTCCATAGACACGACTTTCTCAATCTCCTTTTCGCCGTTTATCTTGGAAATTTCTGGCTTCGAAACCTCCGTCGAGGCGTCTTTTTCCGGAATTCCTGTAATTCTCGAAGCATCCTCTTGTTTAATCAGAGACGAGGACACCGCTGCGCACGCGGTGATAAATTTAGGATCCTCGATGTTCCACCTTAACCGTTCAAGGGACCGATAAAGAGTCGAAATTATTATTAGGATCGCTGGTCGAATGGATCTGCGTTAGGCTGAAAACTTTTCAGACGACCCTCGTAGCTTCTGTTTCTCTGTTTCTTACCAAGTATCGCGCGTGGACATCATGCTTGCTGGAGCAGCAAGGTCTTCGCATTCTGGAGATGTAACGAACGACTCGCTTCTGGAACGGCCAGTCGGAGTCGAGCACTCGGTCGCTGTCACGTAGCCCTCGATGTTCGAGTCGTCGGCCACGCTGTTCTCGTAAGACCTTTCCACCGTCTCCTACGAAACAACCAATAAATAACTAGAATCACTGACCAGGAAATCTACGATATCTCGCCTACAAATTTAAGTCAATAACTTTATTAGTTTGTTTGAAAACAGCTTAAGACTCAAGTAAATCATACTTTATAATAAATCGAACATTCTTAGTTGAAATCCTATAGAGAATGTTAAATAAAAGAGTCCTTACCTCCATAACTTCTTCCTGCCTATCACTGTCACCAATCACGATTCGATCAGAACTGGAACCCTCGCGAGTTTCACTTCCGGTTCCAGCAATATTCTTCGCGGCATCCGTTCCTGAAGTCTCCAATACGGGGGACAGAATTCTTTCAGGTAGATTACTCGTGGAAACCGATCCATTCGAGACAGCCATGGACGAAGAACTGATTGCTGCGGAGGCAACAGCGCCCTTGGCCGTCGATATTGGCGCGGATAGAACCGTGGAGAGGGATTTTGGTTGAAGCGGTGCCGTGGACGTGGAGGAACTTATCAACGGAATCACCGGGGATCCGCTGATGGTTTCGATTCCAGCGAAAATCGGTTGACAGTGGCTGGGAAGTGAGGTGGTCACGGTAGCTGGAACCACGCTCGACGATGAGAACAAGGAGGAAGTTGAGGACATCGCGGACGACGACATGGGAACTGGTCGAGTCCTGGCTCCCGCCTCGCAAAGTCTCGCGTCCAGTTTCTCCGCGAGTCGGACTACTTCCGCCAACCTTGCCGAGATGGCCTCCACCGCTGTCAAGTTACTGACTTTATCCGTGGCATCATCGGCTTCAGACATTCTAGAAAAATAAATTTTACTCGTTAGCTCGCCTCTATTAATAGAATCCTCGTGGATTCAGAGGTCTGCGTACTCTACGAAGGATACTCATGCTTGCGTTATTAACACGTTCGACCCAACACCGCACAGTGGGGCCATTGCATGCCAAACACAATGAAATAATGATTCACTAATAGTTAATGGGACACATGGCCCATGATTTAGTCTAATTTTTTTTATCATTTTATCATTTTTTTAAAATCATCCAAAATTATAATCATCGTTTATTGTTGCTTTGATTCTTCAAAGTAAACGATGAGTAATTGAATTAAATGTACTTAGTACGTATTGAAATTACGAATGAAGAATCATAAATTCTTTCGTTTTCTCTTCGTAAAGGTCGTGTCGTCTATTCGCTAATTGCCATCTTCTCCTGAAACGGGACTTCAAAGTTGCAATTTCTGTTTTCAAAATTTTCTGCTACTCCACAGAATAATTATCCTGGCTCATTAAGGACGACTCTAAAAATTCTAGTTTATTTTCAAAATCATGATTTTGATGCTGTGTCATGATGTTATAAAACTGCATCGTTAAAAACACACGTACTCCTGATGAACCTTAGGATTTAAAAAAAAATGTCACTCTGTTAAAATGAAACTTTTGCTACGAAAACTGTATTAACAAACTATATAGAAGATGAAGAAAAATGGCGAAATTCAAATATATATATCTGTACCTACCTACTTCAATTGGAAATTCCATTATTTTAACACTAAATATTTCACTCGCAACATACAAGTTAATTAAAAAATAAAATGAAAACTGAACATGTTCAATTAGTTATAACTGAAAAAATGTTGGAGATATAAAATTGTACTTTGGTGTAATTTAAATACGCACTAAGTACATTTAATTCAATTACTCATCATTTACTTTGAAGAATCAAAGCAACAATAAACGATGATTATAATTTTGGATGTAGTCGTATAAAAAATCGACAAATGATAAAAAAAATCAGACTAAATCATGGGCCATGTGTCCCATTAACTATTAGTGAATCATTATTTCATTGTGGGTATATTTGTATAAAACCAGTTTTTGCCGCGTTTGCACCGGTTCCTAAGGAAATATAAAGAAAAGATATTCTTTTTTATTATTCGTATCGGTATAATTGCTTTGGACAACCATTCAGGAGCATAAAATAGAAACGAATTATTAACGTATCTTTCGCGTGTTAGATTTTCCCAAAACTATCGATCCGCTTCGAAAACGTCAAATTTCAAAAGTGTTACGTAATCGACAGTGACAGCGCCGCGATGCTCAGTCGTGGACCAGATGGTGCCTCCAATGTGGGACGGAGTTCTAATTTCGGTGAACCAAGAGCCACCGAATCTGCAGAGTATCACGTACGAGCGGCATTTTCAATCTTTATTGCACACAATAAAATTCCACCCAGCCTGTGGACCAACTTCCATTAAAATTACTTTTATAACGCTGTGAGCTTTGAACAGAAACTGTCATCAAAATTACAGTAGGACACGTTTTTTTTTAAAGAAACCGTGTTCAATGACATATAATTTACTAAGTTTTGATTCTATTCGTTCGAAGAAAATTGTGAACGTTCGTAAAACATGAATAAATATGTATGGAGAATTTCGAAAGTTTGAAATTTATACTTTTTTTTGGAAAAAAAATCTCTAAAGAGACCAAACAACTCTAGACTAGAATGCTCGTTTAAACGTGGCAAATGATTAGTATTTGGGAAGTAGGTGATCGTGTTATGTCGTCGGGATTTAAAGTTCATCTGTACGTATGTTCACCCGTGGATAGCAGCCAACGAATTTCCGCAGCTGCATCTTTAAACCATTTGTGCGTTAAGAAAACAATGCATACCAATGGTAAGAATTTGAAAACCGACGAAAAATAGAGGTTAAATGCAACGATGAGGCCTGAAACGTAGTCGGTTTGGTTTGGACCGGCGCCAAAACGAACTGCATTTTCCAGATTTAAAGTCTCAGCGATGCCGATTCGTGAGGATTATTCGACAAACGCAGCGATACACGCAGGCAACGATTTCGGTGGCCCTGACCGTCTCCGTGTGGGTGAAAATAGGACATCCGTCTCTATGAATACAAACGGTGCAGTGGCGCACACGTCAACGAGAACGAGACGCGGCGACTGACCCATATTTCGCACACCAACACGTGGATCGTCGAGAAAACTGGACCGATCGATCGATCCGGACAAGTTTCCGGTTACAGAAATTCGAAAAATATTGTTTCACACGTAGAAAGCTTCACGGTTGATCGATCGCCGCGACCTATTCGATCGAGGGTAGAATTTTACCGAGGAAAATCGGTAACCCCGTTCGCGACTGATCGATAGAGCGATCGAACGAGAGCAGGGATCACTTATCGAGTTTCGAAACGTTCGACTTACGTTCGATATCAAGGTGTAGGTATCTCGTCGACGTGCAGCCATGGACTGACACACCGCCTCCGTTAAAAATGGAGGTGCACGTCGACCTACCTTGCCCCCCTAGCCTCTTATTACCAGCTCCGTTCGACTCGCAAGGAAGGGTCGCAAATGCTCCGGATCGGATTTAGACGAAACTTTCTATCCGTTCCAATTGGAAGGGATCCCCTTTGAAGCCAGTGAAGCGTAACATTTTTCATTGACCTTCGGCTTGAAAATAGACCAATTTCTAAAATTGTTTTTTTGTCAAGATAAACCAGCACCAATAATATCTTTTAAAACGCCTCGAATCGCGGTCGTACTTGCCGTTGATGGCAAAGGGGTTCCTTCAATCTGGTCCTCAAAAGGCGACCAAGCCGTACCATTCGGCCTACTTCCAGAAGAAGCTTCTCCCGATTGCCCAGGATGTCTCTTATCTCTGCCCTGGCTCGCGACTCTGCCACCAGATCCTCTGCTTTCGACGATCGACGCAAACAACCCACTGTCTCGATCAGATCGCATAATTTCGTGCAGTGCTTTAAACAGTAAATTCAAAATTAACACAACCGTACGACGAAAGAAACTTTATAAGTTACACAAAGGATGGTCACCGTGCGTACATCTTCGACGCTTCTGTGAAAAACGGCGCACACTCTCAGCCTGGTTAATTGTTCTTGACCGACTGATCGAAGCTGCTTCCAAGCTTGACGAAGCCTCGAGAAGAGCGTCGCGTTGCTTTCCAGAGATAGTCTGCAAGACAATCTCAACACTCGAGCACCGTTCATTAATTGGCAACCATAGTCGTACGTTCCCTGGAAATTTAAACGCCAAAAAACCCTTTTTAACTCTTTAACTTTTGATCTTCGTCTTATTTTGATCTCCAGAAGCTAGAAGCTAGAACACCCTATACGTATAATAGCACACCTTAGCAGTTTCTTGAAACGACTGATGTTCTTCCTTCTGCGATTGTATTTCGAGGGCGTTGCATCCAATTTCCATGTGATTCTTCAAAAGAACTTCGTACAGGTCGTTCAACCATTTAATCGCCTGCGAAATTTATTTCAGTAAGCTGACACTTTTCTGTGCCACATATTTCGTTAATAGAACGGTGTTATTGTGCTGTCACCTGTTCAGCGTCGCTTTCGTAAGTATATATCAAAGCGATCTGTTTCAACGACAGCTTCTGCAATTCAACACTGTCGTTGAAGATATTTTTCCTAGCATTCGTTGCATCCAAAATATCTCGGACGTTCACTATATCTTCGCCGTAGTCGACTTGCACGTCCCGGCCGAGGGCATCCTTCACAGGCATCGAGAGTATGTCCGATAATTTTTCACCTTCCTTCACCAACTCGCACTCCAACGTTTCTGAAAATTTATGCGTCGCGATCAATCGTGCACCGTCTTTCCAAAACACTTACAATTCCATAGAATATTCTATGATCTTTGTAGACGAAAGAACACTTGCATTTCCTGTTTTATTTCTAATCAGCTTTTGCGCGACAATATTTCTTTAAACATCGTGCATTTTATTTTCTTCGAGAAAGTTAAACGGTGCAAAAGTTTTTTGGGTTAATATAATTATAAATTAAATTGTTGTTATTGTCTAAAAAAATTAATATACAACCATTGAGAAAATAAAATCCGTAAATGGTTACCGAGAATCGCTTGACTCTGCTCCAACTTCAAAAGGTATCCGGCAGCCTGAGAGAAATCGCGAGTTCTATTGCCCATTACCAATTTGTCGAACACGTCGCTCGTTTTGTCAAAGTACTGAAACAAAACTCAGGAAATTAAAAAAGCTTGTCGCTCAAAAAACTGTAAGGCTCTCTGAACACTCTCTATATTGCTGACTACCTCGGAAACCAGCCTGAAGAACCTTTGCGATGTGATCAGCACGTTCCGTCGCCTCTCGAGTCTGGTCGCGAAACTCCTGCAGACGAAATCCATGAAGTCTCTTTGGGATTTCAGGTCTTCGGACAAACGTGTGCTTGGCAAACTGTCGATCTTGTGTAGCAATTCTGCGTATCGACCATATGTCTCCTGTAATCAAGAGAAACTTCAACGAAGGTAATGAAGGAATATTTTTTTAAGTCAATTTAATAGTCTCCACATTCTACCTTCTTACAAATACTCCTTTTTTGGGGAAATTTCAATTGTGTACGTTACTGATATATTATTATTTATTAACTTAGATTTAAAACTTAATGTTTATTCATTTATAATTTTTATTTCAATAATTGATGAAATAATAATTATATTTAAAGCACCATTTCCAAGTCCTTGAATTATAAAGGATACAACAATGAAAAAGAAATTATAATAAATGATAATTTTAAGCAAAAAATATATTCTATCGTTTAGCGCCTTAATAGTAACACTTATTTATCAGTAATGATTAAGTTTATTCTGTGTAGAGTAATTTTATTCGGTGGTCGTTACCCTGCACTCCAACTCCAGTTCTTCGTGCCGCCTTCGAAACTCCTCGGAAGACGAAACATCGAATCCAACCTGGCAACAAGAATTCAACATTGCGTCAGCTGGTCCGAGGATCCAGTCGGTAACACGGGACACACCCTTTTCTAGATCGCCGATTACTCTAGCGGTGTCCAAATTCCTCTCCATTTCTGACCAAGAATTTTCGATGTCCACCTAAACAATACGAGGCCACGTTAAATTTATGTAGATATCAAATAAAGATTCTTCTCTTTCCAACACTGCAGCACCTTCTTCAGTTCGATGGAGTCGATCAGCTCGTGGATTCCTTTCGTGGTGTCCAAAGAGTCCTTTCTCGACTCTCTGCTCAACGAGCTCACTAAATTTCTACCTGAAAAGACAGTAACAACAATAAATTATTAATATTTATTTTAAATGTTACTATATACTACAAAGATACTAGAGTAAGTAAATGTATTTGTTAAATGCTACAATCGCTTGAAAGACAAATAATTTTGTCGTAGAGAATCATAAGAATTAACGTTTAAAATAAATAGAAAGAAAATGCCTGGTGTAAGAATTAAGTCTTGCGTCGACGTATGTAATTGATAATCGTGTAAGTTTTAACGTAAGAGGAAAAGTACAATTCGTGAACCGTTCCCCATAGTTCTGTTGCGCATTCCAAGTCGAAAGGGTTTAACGGGAATCTTTTCAGACTGTTCGGAAAATGAAAGGTCTATAGAGACTCCTGTCGAGGCATTTGGTACGGGAAGAGGAGAAAATAAATGACATGCGAGCCCCATTGTCCGTGCTCGGTGTTTTTACACCCTCGCATTACCACGAGCACGCGATCGCGTTCGCTTCCCAAGGAACGCTCATGCTCGACATCCGGTTAAGCCGGCTAAGCCGGTTTTTCAATTTTTCCAGACAATCTAGCTGCAAGTGTCTATCTTCCTTGTACGACTGGCTTGATTGCTGCTGCCCTGGCAAAGCAGGAAATAACCATTGAACTACGACTCTGACGCGTTCGACAGCAATGAGACCAAAGAACCGTGTCCGCGAGAAAGCAACTACATAATCCTTCAGCAAAGAGCACCAGTCGGCAACTTTTTACCAACGAGGGATACATTTAATATTCTCACAAAGAAACGCCAACAGACTTATTGCGCAACCTAATTAAATCCTTGTTTACCCGACTGGAGAATGTGTCGTCCAACAGACGTTAATTTCGTGCTCATCTCCCAGTAGGTCTCTAGATCCTCGTCGGACTCTGACATCCGAAATGCATCCAAGCTGATTAATCTTCGGTGCAGGTCGTACATCCTTACCACAAGGTCGGATGCATCTTTGCAGTAATCTTCCACTTTCTACAAAGTTGTTAAAATTTGTGTTATTGGAACGCTCCTCTTTCTTATTAATGAATTAAAAATTACCACACGATTCTGAATCCACTCCGTGTGATCGTAGAGTTTGTTGCCAGCTAATTCGTACGGCAGTTGAGTAAAATCGACGTGAAGTTGAAGCCTCGACAGAGTAAGGTACGTCGGCTGAAAACAAACGAGAAGAAGCTGAAGTAAATTAATTTGCGTCACGCGATGCACGCTGGAAGAAACCATCGATTGACGACTCGTCGTTGTCGTCATGATTTTCGAACGAAACGACTCGATCAAGCGTGGCGTGAACGCCTCAAGCTATACAGATTGAAACACGTGCTCGGAAGAAGTAACATTTTTTCGTAAAAATGGTGCACGGAGAGAAACTCAGGTCATAGTCAGTGAAACTGGTATAACTGGTCGGCGCAATGAAATTATAAATTATGTAACTTGAAACATGTCACATTATAAAACTGAGAATTTATTCGGAGTATTTACTAGTGATATTATATTTATTCGTTCGTATAAATTAATCTTAAAGACAATTGAATGGACAAATTGTTGGTCGATTCAAGTAACTTTTTTTCTAGCAAAAGGTTAACATCTTTTTCAGAGATGGAAAAGAATTTAAATCGAATACCAACCTCTCCTTCTTTGTGGGACCTGGTGCAACTGTCGACTCGTTTGTCCCAGAAGCCTTCAGGACGGACTACGATCACGGAAGCGGCGGAAGGTCCCAGAAGCACCATCGACAATCTTATGCACGACCTCGCAACGCGCCACGCACCCTTTCGTGCGTCCACGATCAAGACTAACCCGTTCCTCTTCGTTTCCTCGCTGCCAATGGAACACATTTCTCATGACCCACTTCCAACACATCGCACCAAATTCCATCGTAATATATTAAATGTGTGTTTGCAAGAAAATCGAGTCTCCTTCAACGAAATACTTGTTACGTATTTTTCATTTAAATCGAGACGTTAAAATTTTTATGACCCCATTTGTTGTACCATCCACGTCAATGCAAGAATATAAATTATTATCTTCGATTACCTAAAAATTGACAAGAAGTACGCAACCAGAGATTCCAATCGTGGTTTCGTGGTGGGTTGTGGCTCCGATGGCACGTTGACGACTACCAAAGGTCTTCCTTCGCGATCACGTCCCCCTGGAATGTATGCGAGCTTCGATTCGAGGGCTTCCAGAATGTCCACTGCCTCCAGATTCTTCGTGGGCATGGCTGAATATATTCGCAAACATTACTTTCGAACTGGAAACGATCCCATATACCGAGTACAGGTACATTTACCCTAACAAGTCAAAGTGAGCATAGGTGTAAGGCTTTGTTGGACAGAATGCCACCCGATTCGAGGAAATACTGACACTGACACTGTTTATATAAAAAGAAGTTCCGGTACTTTTCGATAAAACTGTATACAATTCCGAGAGCATACACGCGATATATTAGCATGCATGATTCGAGCAATTTACGAGAAACAGAGCGTCGTGCGCTCCATAAGCAATGTAACGCAAGACGCCGGATCGACCCGACGCACGATCGGTGTCACGATCGTGCTACGTTCGACGGAATTGTGTTACAGCGATCAGGTTCGTTGACTGTAAAAACGATCTCGTGGTTTGCATGCCGCGAGGCATTCTCGCAGAGAAACACGCGTTGCGTTATACCTGGTGGAAAGATTTCGTTTCGACGGATTTATCATCTTATTTACATCAGATTTACTGTTAATGTTATTCAACATTTTTTATTTTATTTATTATAATTATACATTTTTGAGGTAACTAAGAATATAATATTGTTTAGTTTAACGTATAAACTCCTGTTAATATTAATAACAAACTTAGTGTTATAAATAACTGAAATTTTTGCATGCATTTTTACCACTGTGCTTCGGTAAAAAATAAAGGCGATTGGTGTCGAATCTTAAGAATCATTACTGTAACCGAATTGGTCTTGACCCACCGTTCACATCTCCACGTGGAGAATACATAAAAATCCAGCATATTCATCATTTAAAATTTCGTTTCCGGTGAAACTAATAACACAGAGGTTTTGGAACGATGCAAATGGTAGACCGATAATTATAATCGGTGCTCGTAAGTTAAAGCGTTAAGAGAGAGCCCTGAACCGATCGTTCCATAACCTCGGTTGGTCGATAGTTTAATCGAGCGTTCGTAACCCCGGCACACGTTTCTCCACGCTCCAGCTAGTAACTCGGCGATCTTATTAAAGTTGTCGAGTTATGTGTCGCGTATCTCGCAGGGAGCAGAGGGCACAGTGAAAGTTGAACGCTCGAGACGTGGTGTCACACCTTCCGAGGGAAACCTTGACCAACAAATTGTTGGCGCCCGACGGTGTCACGAACACCGCTTCCAATAAACGTTAGCTGAGACTCACCGATCGGAAACTGCGAAGGTCCGGTTGATCGAGTTGATCCGTTTGGAACGATCTCGGTGGATCGTCGCGGACCATTTCACGTGATCGAAGTCGCGGGAGCACCGGTAAACCGCCAACAGCTGTTGCGAGGGGGAGATCGAGTAGCGGTGTTGGGTGCACGTGGTTCTCTGCTCCCGCGGCGGAATCGCACGCGGAAATGTCGCGTCGATTCGTAAAAAGAAAACTGTCGCGCGCTTTCACGTGCACGCGTACGCGGTCACGTGAGCCCACGTAAGTACGTGGAGAGTCCAAGTGGCGACGGAGAGCGGAGCTGCAGCTGCCACGGAGGCTGCAGGGAAACCGAAAGCCATCTCGCTGCTCCATTCAGGTACAACGGTACTCTGGCACCGATTAACCGTCTTCCCCTACTACCTCCTCTTCCTCGTGGTCTACCCTCTCGCTCTCTCTCTCTCTCTCTCACGCGGTCCCACCTTTTCTATTCGCGCGAAAATCTCCTCTTTTTGTTCACGCCCAACGTAAAGAATAACTGGGTTTCGGCCATCACGTACACCGCAACGGTATGCAAATTCCGATTAAATACGAAGACCGTTCAATAATTCCTTAGAAAAAGATAGAAATTCAAATTGTTATAATCTCTTTTTAGGTCTATACACTTTTCCAAGCGTTTCTGCAACTTTTTTAAGAAATTTGAAAACTAAGATTCCGGAAGGTCCTGAAAATGGGCATCTGTTTGGGCGGTGACTTCCTCCTTCGACGCGAGCCGTTATCCGCCGAGCCATTTTTTTAAGTTTGACTACGAGCGCCAGGTCTTAGATTTTTTAAGGACTTATCGAACGACCCTTGTATTACTCGTAAACGAGTCAAAATTGTTATATATGAAAAATGACTGTTGTCCAGGTAGTCTATCATTATGACGTCGAAGGGTAGTTGGGTACTTTTCAGAGAAGTTGATTGTTCCAAAGAAGATTTTGGTGGATTTCGAGGGAGTCGAAGAAGCGCGTTAGGTGGGAAACAAAGAGATAGAGGGAGGGACGAAGATAGCTTGAAGAAGCTGGCGTCGCCACGGTCGTCGGCCACGGAACAGGTCCGGCAGTGCTGCACCGAGCCTCGCGCTATATCGAGCCGAATCTCTCTCTTTCTCTCTCTCTCTCTCACTCTCAGTCTCTGTCTCTATCTCTGTCTCTATCTCTGTCTGGCTTCCCTCTCGGCTCGGTTGATCCGTCGTCGTAGACGGACCGTCGTTCGGCTCGACGGTTTTCCCCCGTTTCCACGGCTATTTTCATCGAACTGTCGATCGATGACGGGCTTCCGGCTGTCGGGCGTTCCGGAACCATCGGAAAACTGGCCAGGAACGGAGTGATCGTCGGGCCAGGCTCGACGTGGAAGAGGAAGAGGAGGAACCAGCCATGGGCAACACCACCACGAAGAGCCACTACTCGAAGAGCCTGGCTGGCGGCGGCACCTCCAGAAGACCGCGCTGGGAGGGATCAGGTTAGACAATCCGTTCCGCGTTTATCGAGAACGATTTATCGGGGGATGATCGAGGATCGAGGATCGTGAACGGGTGTCATCGACATCTAAGAGCGTCGCCATCTTGGTTAGGATTCGTTTCACGATATGGGAGATTCCAAGTTCCTGGCGGACGGTTTCTCGATTCGAAGTTCGGGTGATCAGGATGGCGTTTTTTAACGCGTTGCGGTTAGTTTGACGGGGTGGTGGGGGTGAAATGGTTTCCGGTCGAAAGGACGCGGTCCCGGCATGACTGTGGGGTGCGTTTGGTGACATGGAGTTCCCGGTAACGATGCCTCGACGCGAGAACGACGATGCTCTCTGGTCTTGACTGGCTTGTTTCGATAGTGGGATGATATCTAAAAATATTATATCTATATAAGTATTTGATTTGATTTCAACGAGCCTTGAAATGTCAGCCGTGAAAATATATAATGAAAATACGGATTGGAATAAAGTTGGCTGGTTAAAAATGCAATTAACGTCTCTGTTAAAAACGAAACTACTTTATTTTGTAGTAAAATCGATCGAGAAATGATAGGTATGTTGTAGAAGAGTGTCGAACCGGTGTTCGATATCGGCTCAGAGTCTCGCATAGTTTTCGTACCCTGAGGACGGCGCAACAGTGGCCCTCGGATTGCCAAACGTTTCAAATTTTATTTTGGGAGCGCCACCTGCGGACCTGTGTTAGACTTCGAGCGTTCTATGCGTATTCGAGCATCGTTCTGGCACGTGCGAGCTATCCGTGAACTTATTAACAACCAAAACTCCTTCATACCATCACCCAAACATCGCGACACCATTGTGCCAGAAATATAATGCAACGTCCATTGTTTCCTTTTTCAAGAAGCCAGGCAACCAGGCTTTTAGAACATGTTTAGGCCGCGAAATAATGCTCGATGAATAAAGTAGCAGTTGAAACATTGTTGAAACCATTGGGTCCGATCGACGCGACGGCAGGGAGCCAAAGTGTTTAAAATAGTAAATTAAATAAATAAATTACACTCACCGAACGCTTCGAAACGTTGCGTTTTACACAATTCTGTGTTTACTTGTCGAAGTCTGCCTAAAAATATACAGCGAGTTTAGAACTTTTATTACTCGATAATGAAGTTGAAGAATTCTCTTTTTAAGCGAAGATAAAACATTTTTGCATTTGATAGGCAATTCGAGTATGTTTGCCAACATGGAAAAGAGAAATATTTCCATACGTGCATGTTTGCCAACATGGAAACGAGAAAGATTTCCAACGATTATTACCGTTGCAGGTCTTCCAGCGGCACCGGGGAAGCCAATTTTAATACCGGGCGCGGACGAATCGCAACCCGATGTGGTCGCCATTCGATGGGAGAGGTCACCGAGTAACGGTGGCTCGGCCATTGTCGGCTACCTGGTCGAGCACAGAAGACTCGGTTCGCCGCACTGGGTGCGCAGCACACCAGGGCTTTGCACCTTTCCGGAACTGACCTTGAGCGGCCTCGAGCCAGGATGGCGCTACCAATTCAGGGTCAGGGCACAGAACGCTATAGGACTCTCGCGACCCAGCGAGATCTCCGATCCACTGACAGTGACCTTGCAAAGGTCCGCCGCGTCCGCACCCTACTTCGAACTAGAGCTCAAGGATACGGTCGTTCTCGAAAACGAACAGGTAATACATACTCTTTAAAGTATTAGTTCTTTTAACAACTAAAATAAAATAAGTAATTACAATAAAGTTGTTTCAATGTTATATAATTTATAAATTTTTACCAATATATAAAAAAAATATCGTTTCAACCCCTTGAAGAAGGAATATAGAAACGGACACCACGAGATAAAAACTGAACTTGTAATTTATTTTTAGTCCAATCTGTTTGTTTATATCGAAGCTAAAAATGTGACAACTTTATTTTGATGCTGCCATTTCTATTGGAATGCATTTTTGTTTATTAGTCCACGATCTCTGCTTACATAACGTAATAGTACCTTATATTTAAGGTTGCGTTTGCCAAACACAATCGTCTGTGTTGAAGGCCGAGGGTGGTACGTATATGTGCGAATCACATTTACAATCGACTTCAGCAATTATATCAGAGTTGCAACTATTTTCTTGCTTAAATGTTTGAAAGCAGTGCTTGGTAACGAAAGGTCTGACAAGAGAAAAACAGAGGGTATTCGATCATCCCAATTATACAACAATATTGTACTTACGTATTAAGTTTATAATAGTACTCGTAAAAGTAAACGTATTTGTAAAATTGATTTTAATTTTTCGTCGCTAGTTTCCATTAAAAAATCTAAAGATCTCTAGTTTTCTGTTAATCGTAGCCCCAAAAGAATTTGTAGCACATGAAAAGTTTAGCCCTCTGGGGCCATACTAAAAAATGGAGAGTTGCAATTATTGTTAAATTTTGAGAAAAGAGTTTCTAAGAGTTTATGAGGTTAATTTCGATTCGCAGGCAGAATTCGTGGTACGATTTACCGGGACGCCGCTGCCGAAGATTTCGTGGTTCAAGGATGGCTTCGAAATCTTCAGCAGCAGACGGACTAGGATTATTACGGACAGCGGCAGAAGCGTCCTTCTGATTCACCAAACCGCGCTGAACGACGAGGGTGAAATAAAGTGCACGGCTACCAACAGAGCCGGTCACGCTAGTACCAAATCGAGATTGGTTCTGGAAGGTTTGCAGGATGTCAAGCTTTGTTTTGTTTCGTTACGCTTTCCCGATGTTTGATAATCGAGTTGTCGCTAAAGAAACGGGCTAAAAGATTAATTGTCAATTATTGTCGATGTTTCGTGATGTTTCGCACGACTAGCACCCCCAAAAATTCGGCTTCCACGCCAGTACGAGGACGGTCTCCTTTTCGAACAGGACGAGACCATCAGATTGAAGGTGTCGTTGGCTGGAAGACCGTCGCCAATCGTGTTTTGGTACCACGACGGGGATCTGATACCCAACGACGAGAGACATATCTTCGAAACAATGGACGGTGAATCGGTCCTAAAGATACCTGATGCCAAACGCGTCGACCGAGGAGAGTACACTGTCAAAGCCGTAAATAAACTTGGGGAGGATTCGACGTCATTCCTCGTCACTGTTACAGGTCGTTGCAATCGAAGCACGTGAGAACGGAATCGTTCTGTATCTCACCTTCGATACGACAATTATTTTGTTCGTTTATAGATCGACCCGCTGCACCTGGGAAAGCAACAGTCACGATGACGTTAGGTAGATCGGTCACTCTCTCGTGGAAGGAGCCAGACGACGACGGTGGTTGCAAGATCGGGACTTACATCGTTGAATATTACAGAGTAAGCGATCGAAAGTTCAGTTTCAGTTCCCAGAAAGGCACAAACCGAGTTACGACATTTTTAAGAAATCCATCTGATCAACGATTCACCGCTAGACGTTTCTCTGCAGGTTGGCTGGGACGTGTGGCTGAAGGCAATCACCAGCAGACAGACCAAAGTAACCTTGACGGAATTGATCGAAGGATCCGAGTACAAGTTTCGAGTCAAGGCTGAGAATCCTTACGGCGTCAGCGAGCCTAGCGAAGAGAGTGACGTAATCTTCATTCCAGACTTAAAAAGGGGGTAAGTTGTAGAGCTGTCCAAGTACAGTGATCCCTTGCTAACGTTCGCTGGCTCGGTTATAGAGGGAGGTACTGGAAATTCCTAACTTTTATCCGCGAAAATGAGAAACATATTCGGAAATCAAAGTGTATATATGATATACTCTGTTTAAATATCTAGTATAATGACACCTTCGTTGAGCGGGAAGTCGCAGAGCCATCGAGAAATTCGATCACGAGAGAAACGAGAAGTGAGCTTCGCAGTGCCAACTCAGAGAACCAGAAGCCTGACGCGAGAGGAGGCTCGCACGAGAGACGAAGACATGGATTTCGGGCCGAGTAGCCGTTCAGTGTCCGCCCAAAGGCTCAGCAGACCATCGAGAGCCGACAGCAGGGTCACTTTTGCCCTGGACACGCTAGAGAAACCGAATGAAGCGCCTGTACCTCCCGCCAGATCGAAGGATCATTCCACTTCAAAGCACGAGAGTCGCGTTGAGAATCACGTAGACCGTTCGAGTATTAACATGGACGTAACCACTAACGAGGCAAGCATTTTTACTATTAGGTTAAATGTTTATGTTTTACGTTAAATGTTTTCTTTAATCGTGACGATTTTTTCATTCGAAACAGAACCAGAGTCTAAATAAGGAAAGTCCAGCGGATCTAAGGCCCGCCAGTGCCGTCGCGGTTTCGCCACCGATTATCGACGAATCTAGCAAACGTTCAGCGTACAGAGAATCTCGATCGCGATCGGTCTCCATGACCAGGGAGCGTAGCATGTCTCCGCTCTCGATGCCCAAGATTCAAGAAAACTACGAGGAAGAGGCTTCGACGCGTCCTCCGCGGCTTCAGCGTCCCTCGATAAGTTTGACCCTAACGAAACAACAAGCTATAATCGACGATCCAGAATCCTCGTTCGTCAAGAGCAACTCTTTGGATGATAAACCGGGATCGCCTACGACTCCCAGAGAGGATGACGAAACTGTGATGCACGGGAGCTCGGAATTTATGTTGGTCTTGTATCCTGACGACGAGGATCAGGCTAAGAAACTCATGGACTTTGCTGACAAGGGAAAAAGTTTAGGTAAGACAACATTAACTCATCTTTGATTGGCAAAGAGAAAACATGATCAAGTGAGAGTAAGAGAGATCCAAGAGAGAAACCAACTCGTGTATATTAGCATGTTTTTAATTATTCATAGTGTTTCTATCGTGTCTTTGTTGTGTTGTTCCTTTTACTCATATCGTCAGGCAATCGGACGCCTTAAATAATAATTTCATAAAGTTGGTATACTTTTAGTAGAAGACGAAATGACAGGAGAGGAAACAGAAGATATGGAAGACCTGATTCCACCACCCATGTCGTTGTCTCTGCCAGAATTGTTCAGCGCGGAGCACCAGGTGGTGGAGACTCTTCGAGAGGCTGTTAGTTCTACGGAGCTGTTACACGAACGAGCCATGGAACGTTTCTATCGCGCGGTGGCTGCAGAGGAGGCGTCAGATCTCGCCAAGAGGAAGACGCAACTCGAGAGGACCACGGGAGAATTGGCGTCGACGGTCGAAGGAAACGTAGATATCGATACGGAAGCGCAAGATGTACGAATGCGAAGACGATTGTCCAATCCTAGCGTCGCTACTCAGAACTTGATCAGCTGGCAGACCAAGAAGAATCGCAGAAGATCGAGCGAAGGTCAGACAGAGGGGATCAAGGCACCATTGAGAATAGTAACGCCCAGTTTGCTGTCCACCGTGGAGGCAAGATCGGATCCATACTTGTCCAACGAAGCGGAGATAGCAACAGGTAAAGTGGAGGACACGGCTACGCAGCTGCGCAGGTGGCACGAAAATAGCTACGTACCATTGGTCGAGGCGGGAGAATCGATACCCTCGAAAGAAGAGGCGTTGACGAAGATTCAACCAATCCTACAGGCGACAGAGAAGCAACAGGAGGTGGAAGAAGAGGTGGAAGAAAGCATCGAATCTTCCGAAGAATCCTCCGAAGAGATGAGCAGTGCCGATAGCGAGGATATAAAGTTGCTAAAAGCTAGGATCCTTGCCAGACAGGTGCTGGAAGAAGAGGACACGTATCATCCGAGAGGAAAACCGGTTCTACACGTTGAAACGGACCCACCGCCGATTCCACCTCACAGGATACCGATTCTGGACGTGACACCTCCCACACCGACCAAAGAAACCACCATGTCTCTGCCTAACGTAGTTCCGAAGTCGATACTGAAGAAACCTAAAGAAGAACCAATTCCTGTGAACAGTTTCGGTAGGCCGATTCCACCCGAGAAACCTATCAGAAAAATACCACCGCAGATATCACCAGCGAATAAGAAAGAAGAAGACGAAAGGCAGCCAGAGATTGCGCCAGAACCAGTCAGAACACCTGTACTCTCGGAGTCTGACACGGACAGCGTTCTGTCGGCAGGAGAGGCGGCCAAGAATCGCAGGATTCAAGCTAAAATGCGATCAGCCACCCCTGAAGAGGAGGTAGACGAAGAGGACATCGAAGCTCGCATGGCGGTGGTGAATCATTACACCGAAATCGTCAGAGAGCATTCGAGTCATTTGAGTTACAGAAGCTCGGAGGAGCGAAAATTTGGCGACAGTTTAGCCAGCTCTCGAAGGTCCTCGTTCTCCGAAGATCCGGACACGAAGGACTACGCGAACAAAAGTCGATTGGAGACGAGATCGAGTAGGAAACAACAGCAACAAGAGGCGAGAAGAACCGAGCAGAATCAACGAACGGCGAGAGTAAAAAAGGAAAGAGAAGTTGAGAAACAAGAAGGTAAAAGAAGCGTCGGTTCTCGAGGAACAACGCCTGCTCGCGAGAAACGATCGAGTCGAACGCCGTCTAGGAACGAATCCCCCGCGCCGAGATCTAGAAACGTGTCGGTCGAAAGAGGTGTTTCCTCGAGGTCGTCCTCGAGGACCAGAGCTCGAGCTCCCTCGCAAGACAGAAGACCACCCTCCAGAACCGGATCGGAGGATCAACGCTTCGTCAGAGACAGGTCTGTGGACGAGGGAACTCGAAGGTCGAGGAAGCCTTCTTCGACGACGCATTCGAGGTCCAGTTCCAGGGACAGGAACAGACCAGAGACGCCGGTAGGCTTGAAGATGGAACGTCTTCAGAAAGCTCTTGAGAGCAAGAAGAGCAAGTATCGTCCTCTGCGACGGGAATCCCCCGACGAGCCAGCCCAGAGTCGTCTGAACGGGGAACAGCTAGCGTTAGAGGCGAAGAAGAACGTTCGATTCACAGTCGGATACGTGACTGATCTGACGCTGCTAATGGCCGCCATTTACGTGTACTTTTTCAAGAAGGAAACCCTCGCGATCCCCTTCATCGCCCTTCTTCTTTACAGGAGGATCCAGCACGAGATATGCGGACGAGTGTCTCGAGGCTGGTGGTGGTCCAAACGAAAACAATGACAATTTTCACTGTTATTCTTAGACTAGGAGATTTCACACTACGATACGATGCTCAGTTCAGAAGTAGTACTTGCTCTGCTACACCGACGGGATTCTCGACCTCCGACATTTCGCGATCGCCCCGAAGAAATCTTTGATCTTTGGACGCCGGGGAATTTTCGTTGTGGAGATTCTCGACCTTCGATGGCTCAAAATTGCAATCAGATTATCGACCTCCGACTGTTCAACATCCTCGAATCCATCATGGCCGCCTCTCAACCGCTTCGAGAGCCAATTGTCGTGTTTCATTCAGGAATTATATGCTGCACCAAACGCCTACCAAACAACAATATATGTGTTAAGATGGTATATGTAACGACAAATCGTATATTATTATAAATTATTCTTATTTATTCTTATTTATTATTATAATATTCTTACCGTCTTTACTCGTAATAAATATGTACAAAACGTTCTGTTGAATTTCAATTCGGAATTCATCTGTTCGTAACCTCCCCGTCCCTCCCCCCATTATACGAATTCAAAAGTAAATGCTTATAGAATATAAATTGAAATTCAAATATGATTTCAATATGTAAACGTCCCAATTATCGATACATTTTTTAACAATCGTCACTTTAAACGACAATGGAAAATTCTCGATATTATAATAAGAAAAGATTTGGTATTTTACGGCATAAAATACCCCCCTCTTTTTTTATAAACATAATTATTTAGGGACTTTTTTTATGTTTTTCTTTCTTTATTTATGAATGTCATAATGTTGGTTGGTACAAGGCATCTAGAACAGTAAAACAAACGATATCACAAAGAGGTAGAACAGCTTGTTAAGACGAGTAAATGGAAAATTTAATAATAGATGTAGTACTGAGAGTCAATATCGATACTGGTACCGAAATTTTGGCAACAATACAAGGTATGACCCATCTCTATCTCTGCACCACCCAATAGGGCAAGTTGAGTCAGTGCTGAGACTATGCACAAGAACCTCGAAGATCATTCACTGCATCGTTCACCCCTTACAGTCCATTGTTTCGACGGTTCCTTCGACTCAGGTGTAAAGTGATGAACCCATGTTTCATCCATGGTTAGAATCGACGCAAAAACTCGGCTTTGTTCCTGTGAAACGTCGCCAAACTCTCGATTGAAACACCCTCGGAAGAAAGGCAAGAGTGAAGCGCAGTTCGTCCTAGCGACGAATTCTTATCTTTGTGTGACGCCGCCTCCCATGCTCGCCACCAGAGGGGTTGCGCTCTCACAAGTGCTCGACCAACCCCTCGGTTGCTATATACATATACATTCCTAGAATTACTTCCCAATATCCCAGGCGTTTAAGGCAGGGCCTGCTAGAAAGCCTTACTGACGAGTCCACTAGCAGGCCCGGACGAAACGCGCCCCTTTTCTAGCCTCCTACGAATTTCACGAGATCCTACCCTCTAGACATATGTAGTCGTCACTGTAGATGATTTTTGTAACATCATAATAAATAGACTGCGGATCTTTATGCAAATTCACATTTTAATTAATAGAATTAATGAAATGGGAGCTTTGTAAAGGATTGTTTGAACCCCTAAATATAATAATTCGTATCTTACTTTAAATATTTCTTATATTTTTGCATATTAAATGCATAAACATCCGTAGTCTAGTAATAAAAATTAGTAAGGTGGGAAACTCGGAGGCGAAAGCGATCGTTGGAAGATAAAAAAACATCGATGCGCAAAGTTACATCAGGGATGAGTGGTTGGGCCAAAGAAAGAGGAAGGGGGTGGGGCGTGAGAACGAGTGAAAGAGGGAGAAAGAGGTTGCAGAGCGTAGGAGCGTGTCGGACGGCGCATGTGCGCGTTTCGTTAAAACGACGAAGCCGAGAGTACCGTGTCGAGACGATTTTAGACCGGAGCAGGGCCTCCTGCCGTCAGATTTCGTGGCGCAGGGTGTGCCGTGCCACGGGTCAGAAAACGAACAGAGCCAGCTGGTGGAGGAAGAAGCTTTCGCGGCGGTCGAGGCACCGTAGGACGCCGCTGCAACCGGAAGAACGTGACCGCAGGTTGTTTCCCTGATCGAACGAATACACGAGGACGTGCGCGCGGTATCCACGCGAGTGATGTCCATGCGAGCAGAGCTACGTCTTCCTATCATCTAACGAGATGACCTTAACAGGTATGAATTCCGTTGCCTCTTTCGATTCCCTCTCGCGTTAACAACCTCCACGAGCTGGATCGCGTTAAACAGGACGACAAGTGGTATCCAACTACATACTTTTGTTTCCCTTCTGAAAGACTGACGATGGCCTCGATCAAGAGTCTCTTTCTTTGGTCGGAAACACGCTCAACGTTATTTGTTTGACGGTTAAATGGGATTTACGAAGAGTTAGAGAAATTAAACTAAGCATTGTTCGAGGCTTGTTGATAGAGTTAAGGGAGAATATCGGTTCCGGTGTGATGTTTATTTTTTAACGTATTTATTTACCATAATGCCGGCGAGGAGCGTACGCGTGCGCGAAAAATTCCTATCGCGTCGATTGGCACGTTATTCGCGGGGCATTCTGCCGAACATGCGATCAGCACAGTTTGGAGAATGTCTCGTTTTATTTTCTTAAGCGGTTTCCCTCCGCCCGTGTTTTCCTCGCACAGGTATCTATATTTATGCTACGGCATTTGCATCCACGTACTACCGCTTCTCTGGCCGTTTCGGAGACCACGTGAGCTTCCGAATAGCAGGTACAAGTTCGCGTATAATAAATTCTCGCCTACGGGCTAAAACCGAGTTACGCATCGTCGATTGTTACAACCATTTCGACGAGCCTTGCCGTTCGATCCACGGTGCCCCGAAATCGAGGAAACTTTACCAAAGCTCGACCAATAACCATCAAATTTTATGCATTATTGCTTACTTGAAATGATACGTTCTATGAAAGAGAGATTAACACGTTCACTGCCAGATCAAAAACGTATAATATTCTGCAAAAGTAAAATTTTGATTATTTTCGGAACCTTGTTATAATTGACAAATTCTATCCAAATTTATTTCCCTCAACGTCTTAACTCGAGAATTAATTTTTCTAGCATCATAGTGGTAAATCCTGTCACCCATATATGGATGATATGGCAGTCAAAGTGTTAATAGAGTAGAACTTTGATTATTCTAACAACCGATTACACTGGTCAATAGCAAATAAATATTCCTTGTCCAGATAATGAAACTTAGTTTCTACTACCATCCCAATTACGAAAATAAAAGTTAGATTTAAATAGTGACTAGTTTTACAGATGCAGCCACTAAAAGTGGGGAACTTTGTACTATCTAAAAGTAATCGAAAAAATAAATTTTTAATAAATTTTCTATTGTAAATTAATTTAAAATCAGTTTTTTCTCAACATATAATGTTCCAGAGGTTCGCTGCAAGCAACAATCTAAATATGTATATGTAAATGTAACACTGTTGGTTTAACATTTTTTAATCAGTGTTATAGCAACATTGACACTATTTTATACATTAAAATAGTTTTATTAATATCTACGATAAGTATCCAGGTTTTCTCAGTTTCTGCGATATCGCGTATTTTCATGTCGCGTTAGTAATGACCCAAATTTATTATGCAATGTCGGTGCTTGCAGATCACACAACGAAAGCCAAGGGACCGCCGCAATGGCTGGAACCGGACCAGGTCCTTTCGGTTCAAGGACGCCCTGGTGAAGATATCGTCGTCGAACCAAAACTACGATGGTCCGACGTCTTCGACGAGCTACGATTCGAACTGTGAGTTTTACTATCATAAATAAAACGTAATTCTGAACTCCAGTTAGAAAGCGAATCGGACTTTCAATCTTAGATCTTTACTCTTTCTTATGTTTCCTTTTTTCAAACTTGGAACAATCTTAATTGAATGCTTTTTCAAATGAATAAATACTACGATTTCGATAACGATGATGTACATTTAAAAGGTATACAAAAAGTAACAAAATATACACATTATGTTTTTAAAAGAAAACATTAATAAAAACAACATTTCAAAAATTATGAAACTTTGGAAAAATATTTTGAATATTCGTTTTTAGTACGATTTTGCAGATATTAAATTCCATCTTAACGAAATTAGGATGTTAATTATGTAACGAGAATAATTATAGCATCGGTTAAGAATTCGAGGGCCGGAAGTGGGAAACGAAGGTGACGTAACTGGTATCGAGAACACAGGAAGGTTCACGACCCCCGGTATCGACTCATTCTTCTTCTCGTAGTACAATTCATCGCGCGCTGTCGTTCACACATTATCGTTCATTCTAGACTACTGGCCCTAATTTCAGCGAAAACCTTGAAACGTGCCAAGGATCATATGCAGTTTATTTCGAGCTGTCGCGCACTTAATTTTCGCGGAGGACCAATTTACACTCCCGTCTCTTGTAATCTCGTTACAGGTTTTTGCGGATAATTCACGCGAATTATCCAATGCCACGGCCAGCAGACGATACTCGACAAAATACGTTCGACATTGACACGATTGCACAAGAAAAACTACACTTTTTCGATGGCATTCTGTCCCAAAAAATATCACGCGATTTTAGGCACCTTAAACCGATCAGTTAATAAAGTTTTGGTAAATGGTTGGAAATCCCCTCTTTATAAGAATTAGGAAGCGTTATTCTTAAAAATGTACTTGACACAATTTTTAACAATTGAATATTGTGAATTTCATTTAAAAAAAAACTATGATTTTAAAATGAGTTAAAAGAATTGTCTCTTACAATTTCTAAATGTTGAGATCGATGTCATTTATATAAATCTATAAATGCTTTTTAAGTCAATAAAATTGTAGGTTCTTTTATGAAACCTATCTTTTTGTATTTATTATTTTTTTAAAGATATTTAGGTAATTATAACAAAAGCGAGAATGTGTCTGACGCGTCTCCCCATTATTCACTGTTTCTACTTGCGCTGATGTCCAAATCGTACTCTATATCCACGTATATCTCTGATCTATACGCGAAGAATCGTTTGAGTGTTCACAATTCAATGTATATGCACAATACGGTACTAATAAAGTCACAAACATCGTTTCATTACGAATCATTATAATTAAAAATATCTAATAGCAAATTCACGAACGTATCATGGGACTGCGTGAGAATAAGGGCACTTAACTATTTAATGTTCACGTTTTTTTAAGTTCGATGATATAAAAACGTAATATTTACTTTTTTTTAATAATTTAAAGTTTTTCTTTTTAGTAATATTGGTTATATGTACTTTCAAATATCTGGTTTAACTTGCTTCGAAATCGTTAAAGTGCATTGTGCATCTAAGTCTTGGCCAATTCCACGTCTAATACACCGTCAAACACGATCACACTTGGATTCGTCGACTAACTATACTTTATGCCAATCCTGACCAGCCCAATCTTCATCTGCTTGAACAAATGCAAGTCGCGTTAATTTCGATATATTCATAGAAAATTGTTAAAAGAATCTACTTTGGGTGAAACAAAGTTAATACTGGTGTCACTGCATACTGTAAAACATAGTCGGTTCTAAAAAGAGTCGTTTCACGGTGTCCATGATTCCGGCCATTCTGTTTCTTTGAAACGAGAAAACGTGAAAGAGTAGTTAATTAGTATGAATTTGACTGGGTTAGGTCTGGGAAGAGGAAAAAAATAAAATTTTATAATCCCTCCTTAAGATTGAACTCGTACAAAGTGGTTCCACCGGTGAATTGATAAAATAATAAAAATGCTGGTTCGACGATCGATCCGAAGTTGTGAATCATCTGTAACTATTCCGTCGAAGCCTGGACCATTCAGACGTAGCATCACACAGCGACGACGGAAGCGTTTCTCGCGCGCGTTACGAAAATTCCGACGTGCTTTGACGTTCGTTTGCAATCCTCCCCCCAACTCTGCAAGCTAAATTCGACCGAGCTCGAAATTTTCGCGAAAAGACGAAAGAGGCGCTGCTCCTTGAGCATTTGGCTCTAGGATGCTGGTTGCTTATAGTTTTCTTCGAACTATAGCGGAAGGTGGTGGCGGTGGAGGTGGAAAATTAGGCGCGGACGATCTGGCGCTGGCATTCCGCTATCAGTCTACCGAGGGAGCGTCGAGACGATCGACGAGCTGGCAAAAAGTCGGCTCGGACCTCTCGAGTCGTTTTTAATCCGTCAACGAGGTCCAGAGAGGTCCACGATACGCCGCCATTCCCTCCGACAAACGCTAGTTTCGACTCTAAAACAAATCCTCCTTCATCCACGAACGACCGCGAGTGGATTCGATCGTTGTCGAAGTTAAGTTCGCGATGAAACGATCGAGAGTGACTAGCACGCGTTCCCCCGGGTGCTTCGATTCTTCGATGATTTCGTTCGAAACCAAGTAATCGAACAGGCTCGCGTCAGAACGGCATTTGAATCTATTTTCACATTTTTACGCGTCCACTTTCGATTCCGACTCGAGAATTGAAAACGCCAAGTGACGAGGGTGCGAACGCATGGCGCGCGGATCGATCCACGGAATCAATGCATCGATTTGGATTTCATCCGCCCCTTCGACCGTCGTTCAAACGCTTCACGACTCGCGGACGCATGGAGCATCGATATGCCCGCGAAATGTTTGGTTCGATGAACTTGTCAGTGAGAGGCAGTGACTGTGGCAGATCTTGACTCGAACAGAGCGCTCGATCGATCCACTGACATGGGGAGCGACTGCTGCAAGTGCGCCAATGGCAACAAACCCGCCATTGCCGGCTCCTTCTCCGGCGGATCGCGACGGTAGGATCTTCAACTATCAACAACAACAATTACAAATTGTTTCCTTTCTCTATTTTTAAACTAAAGAATCGCCCTATATAAAATACAACGAAAGTTAGCGAGTTAAATATTATATAATTTTAATGGAAATTTAGTTAATAGAGTTGGAAGACCTGGTGGCTTCTAAATAAAAATCGATTACATAGTTCCAACGTATTTCGGGCAAACAAATGATCTAGAGCGCCTCAAACACTTGGCATTGCTCTACTGCCCTATTTTCGTCAGCATTTTTACCGCGACGGACGAGCACAGGGAAAGAATCCGCCGGCAGGATCGCGAGGATAAGCGTATCAACGGATTTCTCGAAGGCCGTCGATCGTTCGGATCTTTGAAATATCTCGGAACGATCTAGAAATACCGTGGTCAAAGATCAGTGGTGCAACCGCGTGCGATTGACGTAAGTTCGTTGGGAACGCTCCGGTCACGACACGATTCTTACTTTTCTCCCCCCGCCCCCCCCCCCACCACCCCCCAACCTGTTCGCTTTTCTTCCTGCTTTCTACTTTCTTACGCACCTCTTTCTATTTTCTTCCGTTCGACACGTAACACGGGGCTGTCTTGTCAATCTTAAAATAACGATCGCGCCGGGGGCGCAGAGCCTCTGAAAACCGTGTCGAAAACTCATTTGCCTTCTCCAGATCGACTGATCGAAAAATCGCATAGCAAACGTCCAAGTTAACGTCGCCTTGACATACATTGTGACAGAGTGGAATTACCAAAGGGGCCTAGTGCCAAATAATAGTTTTCTAGCTATGAAAAGAAAATATTTCATTTAAGTTTCTATTGCGAAACGAAACCAATTGTTTTCAAAATTGATAAAGCTATATATCGTTACGAAAACAAAAAATTTCGTTTAAAAAAGAAGAGAAAATCTCAAGCGCCACCTTCTATGGTCTCTCACTTTGCGTTTCTATGATTCTAATTCGATATTAGACCTATAAGGGTCAATTATAAGGGTTAACGCTTCCTTTTACTTTCATTCATTAACGATCGCAATTTTGATAATGAGGTATCTGCAGTGTTGATATACAACATCTAGTGGAGCTATCTGGCGTTGAGAATGAAGACTATATCGTTAGAAATTTGGCAAATCGCCATGAAGAGCGATGACCAAGATTACTAAAAAGCAACTGAATAAAATTTTATCCACATTGGAGGAAAATAATGGAAATTGTAAAGAAATTACAAACCTACAGATTTTTAATTTTATATTATCAATTTCTCATAATTCACGATTTGTTTGAAACCCTTTTTGAAGAGCGAACGGGAAGAGAATTGGTCGCGGCTATGGAACGTCGAATTTATTTCTCGGGCCAGACAAAATAGACATTGCGTCACCGCGTATCTATCTGTTTGCTATGCCGGCGTTACGCTGAAAAGGCGCCCATATGGCCACGTCGGCGTCGCGCCGCGTCGCGACGATCGCGACCATCAAGGGTGCATTGCGCAAACGCGATTTCGCGGACGACTGAATGAGTCCGCAATAATAGACGTCGATTCTTTCGAACTGTCTGCCACAGAGAACGAAATAGCAAATAGACGCCGCGAGGATGACCATCGGACCGATTGGACTTCGGCCATCGCCCCGAGAAGAACCAGAAACTGACATTTGCCAATTGCAAAACTGCTCCCGTTTCGTTGCAACGTAATTTCTCTTCACTTTCTCACTGAACGTGCAAACACCTTAACCAACTATTCTGATCTATCAGTTTCATTTGTTTCGTCTTAGGAATATTTTTACAAAACAGTTTCTTAATTTCGACATTTTTAATCGAAAATTTTAGAGGCCAAAATAAGACGAAAATCAAGAATATCAATTTCTTGGTTGAGGCTTCGTTAAAAAATTTCAAATCATTCTGAAAAAATGGCTGTTGCTACCTATTGAAACATGAATTTGTTAATGCAAAGGCTAGTGGTCACAACAATGGGTGAAAATGCGTATGATTTAAAGAAACGCGACTACAATAATGATTACCAGACGTGATTCGAAGAATGAAAATTTCTATTCCTCCCAATTCGAGGGATCCCCCTTAGAGCCTAGTGAAGCGTGAGAGACAATGCTTTGCGAAAAACCGCCTTCAGATCTCACCAACTGGCATTTAAAGACCATAATTTATGAAATTTAGAAAGATATTCTTTGTCTGTACTGTAAATCGAAAATCCTAATCGGAACCTAGCTGTATTTAAATGACAAAGGTCATAAAAATGAATGAAAGTGATGACATTTGTTTTATTGCAGAACACGCGGAGATGTACCGATCCAATCCGATCGATATCGGATTCAGATGAAAGGTAACGTCGTCCAGGTGACCCTAACGCAATCGCAAAAAGACGACAGTGGGCATTATGCTTTGGTGGCAACGAGGGTCGGCCAAGGGTTCGATAAGGGATCCTCGAAGAAGATTCAACTCAGCGTCGACGAACCGATCTCCGAAGAAGGTGATCCACCGGTTTTCCTGCGAAGATTAACCGACCTCGCGGTCAAGGTCGGCACCAGGACCAGGTTCCTCGTGGAAATCCGAAGTTCAACGACACCAAAGGTAATCACACCACTCATACGCAACCTCAAATTTTATTTAATTTGCCGAGTACTACTAAAGGTTTTTTTTTCTATTGTTGTTATGTATCAAATAAAGGAACATTACGCTAAATGCCTCTATACGAGTTTCAATAATTTAGTACAATTTTCATGTTTTATTGACAAAAATATCGGCTGACCCGCTAGGTGGACGATTTTAAATGATAGTCACTGTATTTGGTATAACTAATTATCGACGCTAAATAGCGTAATGTCGAGGAACGTGGGAAAAACTGGAATGTTCCGGTGTTGATATGTCGAGGAAGAGAAGGCGAGGAATGGTTGCCAATTTCGGTGAATAACCCGGAAGGGTAAAACGAAATCAGTCCGTTGAGTTATAGCCAGGGATTTCTGTTGGTTCTTCTGTCCCGATTGCAGACGAACCGCACTAAAAGGGACCCCTCGAGGTCCATGACCCGAGCTCGCGGCGAGAGATGAAAAGGAGAAAACGAAGATCGTTACGCGGTCTTATGCGTCGTCTTACGACTATTATTACGCGCGCGCACGTACACTATGCCTGAAACTATGCCCGCCGATCGGTTAAATCTGCGTGTGTTTCAACGCGCGCTCGTAAACCTCGAAATGGTCGTTTTCCACGGTAATCGGCTCCGACCAGCGTTGCGTAACGCTCGAGAGGGTCTAAACTTGCAACAAAAGAACAACGAAAACCCTCTAATTGTGTAGAAATTATATCACGAACAGTAAACGAGCCTTACAATTTACTTGAATTCGTTCCAAATTACCAGAAATAAGTTTTACTACTCTTTTATTTCAACAGAATAATTAATTGAGAATACTTTTGTTTTTCAAAATTGACAGAGCACAAATAGAAAAATAAAAAACTAGAATCAAAATCACGAATTTAATAAAATCACGGATTTTGTATTTTAACGCGTGATGTTTGACAAGCCAATGACATCAACGCCCGCGTCGCCGCTTAAATCTTTCAACGTCGTTGTTGTTTAATTCCAGATTACTTGGCAAAGAAATGCCGAAGCAGTACACGCGGGTTCAAGATTCTCTTTCGTCCACGAGGGGAATTTCTATTGCATCGACGTGGCCCCTGTCACGATCGAGGACGAAGGATACTGGACTTGCATGGCGGAAAATCGCAGCGGCAGATCCTCTTGCGCGTCCCGTCTGACGGTGATCGGTAAGAAAGAATCCTATATTATCATTCAATCATTATCACTAGACCACAGACGAGGAACACGAGTAGATCTTTCACCTAATGTATTTTTTCGGCCCGTTACCATTTCCGTGTCACTCGCAACGTTACCAACAGATTTAGAAATTAACACAAGAGGAAGTGAGACAGAAAATAAAAATTACAGAAATTTTAGTATTTTTTAACAGAATGAAAACTGTACAGTCCAGAATTGAGCATCGATCGATTAATTTCATTGGAGTAACCAATCGATTAAGATTATTTAAAGATATCAAGATTATTAAAATACGTACGGATGTACCTCATTTATAAGTACATTGCAAATTCTCTGTTTTTTATTTTAAATTGTTGCATATCATTTATTTAAAAAATAACTCGGCAAAAATGTATTCGCGACTCGAAATCAGTGTTATCAGACCGCACACCGGGGCGAGGAACATATGTGAAACTACGAGAAAAACGCAGCCATTAGCCCATATTATTTGCTATGTAATTAATAATTCTATTAATTACATAGTAAATAATATGACCCGGGTCTCACCACGAGGAGGTTGCTGCGTATGGAGACCCGCCCTAGCCTCGCCCCAACCACCCTTCCTTTGGCGAGGAATTCGAATACCTATCCAAGGGAGAAGCTATCAAAAAGCTAAAAACGAGATAAAAAAGGAGCGTTCTTAAAAGAACTGCCCAATCAAGAGACGAAGAACCTAACAAAATGTCAATACATGTGAGATGATACACATGTTTTCTAAAAACGAAATTGGAATGTGCAACTGCACGTACGAACTCTGATAAAGAGATTAAAAACCTAACAAAATGTTGATACATGTGAATTGATCCATCACATGTTTTCTAGAAACAAAATTGGAATGTGCAACCGCACGTACGAATCCTGATTATTAAAGTACCAGTATGTACTTTATTATTAATTGTTCCTTCTTAATTATGACAGTGCCTAAGAAGACACTGAAGATCCAACCAGAAATGTGCAACTGCACGTATGGACTTTGCATATTAAAATACTAATATGTACCTTAATATTAATCATTCCCACTTATATTTACGCACACGTTTCAGTAGTACTTAATATAACGCTGGAGAACGCTTATATCTACATATACATTTCTACTTATATTCTAACGCAATCTGTGGAAACGAAGAAATATTTTCTTCTTGGTGTCTTCATCGATCCCACGATGTTTTTCTAAAACATACACTCGTATACAATAAATATAACCGATATAAAACGAAGATATGACAAGATATTTTCTTCTTGGTGTCTTCGACAATCCCACGATGTTTCCCTGAAACATAAATCAGACAATAAATAAAATTGTATGAAATATTTCTCTAAGAGCGATCAAGATGGAATCCGTGTACCATTTCCAATTCCATTCTTCAATGATTATAGTATATTCTGTAACAAGAACTTGTTCAAAGGATTAACAGCTGAAATGAAAGTGTATTAATGAACACAGAAAAAAATAATTATACATCGACAAGATAGACTAATGGTAATCAAATTCTACTAAAAGTGATATTATGAAATTAATATTTGAACTAAAGTTTCCACGAGTAAAAATTGATATTAAAGAGTTTAAAAACATAAGTACTATGTAATTGAAATTAAATGAAAAGCTAAATTCGTCTCAATGTTAAGATAAGTACGAAACAGATTGAAAATTGTATTCAATTGTTACAACAGATTTTAATTTTCGTTTCCTTTATGAAATAAACAATTTTTCAAGACGTATACATTGCAATAATGATATTTTACTGTATTCAAAACTAAATTAGGTTCATACAGAAAAAGCAATAGCGAACGAAAATGTCGATTCTACGCGGAAATGAACTCTCAATATGAAATATCGAATTGCAATTTGCATACCCTTTTGGTACAAGCATTCTATTTTCCATCAATTAAAACAATGATCGCGAACAAACTTTGATTTATGCAAAGAATACAGAATATTTATAAAAAAATCCACTATTTATAAATAACAATTAGGTTGAAAAGGTTATTATATCCCGTAAAAATGATCAACTCTGATAATGAATAATTGGTGATATACATATATATATGAATCATGAATTTAATCTGTAACACAATTAATCACGATACAGCATTTTTAAATGCATCACAAAGCTGTGATAAAAATATATTCATAAAAATGACAGGTTTTAACACGTTCTGAAAAAGGAAATAATTGGTCTGTTTAACACAGTACTTTCAAGCAGTATTTTCATTGACAAACATATAAAGAATATGATATATTTCACATAGTTAGGGTATATTTTCCACTCATAAATTCAAAAAACAACCCGTGAGTGAATTTCTTTCGCAACGCTAATTTATAAAATAAAAAACTACGCGAATGGTGCTTGTTATTCGTAAAATGAACCACGCAGGGTTCCTTTATTAATTAAATCGCGTGCACCCGTATTCAATCATGCGCAACACTAATTTTAATAAAGACGTTGAGCCATTCGAGGCTTTGCAGAATCCCAGCTTGCTTCTCGATGATCTTGGTACAGCGGCCAACGTTTTGGCCAGCTTTTGGGCATTGGATCGCAACTCTAATTAATCAAAAACGCGACAAGTCAATATCGCAACGCTAATTTATAATAGAAAAATTCCAAACGCGATTTCTAACGATAAAAGCAACCGCGAATGGTAATTATTCGCAACACTACCCTGAAAAGTAAACGCGAAAAATAGTAATTCGCAACGCTAAGAGCAAACCGATCATTTAATTCGCAACGCTATTCTTAAATAACGATAAAAGCAATCGCGAATGGTAATTATTCGCAACGCTACCCTGAAAAGGAAACGCGAAAAATAGGAATTCGCAACTCTACGAGCAAACGCGATTATTCTATATTCGCGACTCTATCTTTAATGGAAATATATTTATGTTTCGCAACGCTAATGCAAGTCGCGTTTTGCCCAAAAATGCTGGATTTTCGTGCTGGCGACGTCCATCCTTGATACAAACATACATGCAGAAAATAGCCTAACTACTTCTAATTACTATTAGCTACTGTAGAGTGGCTCATGTGGGGATGAATTTAGACGTTTTAAATATCGCAACACTACGGGGCAACAACGCGAGAAATCGACAATCGCAACGCTAATTTATAATAGAAAAAATAGCAAACGCGACTTGTAAGAATAAAAGCAACCGCGCATGGTAATTATTCGCAACACTACCCTGAAAAGCAAACGCGAAAAATAGTAATTCGCTACTCTACGAGCAATCGCGTTTACTAAAAATTCGCAACGCTATTTTTAAAGCAAACACCCGGTTCCTAGGTCTGCATAAAGACAATCGCGAATCGTATTTATTCGCAACACTGATATATCAACGCGATAAATATTTGTTCGCAACTCTACGAGCAAACGCGAACATTGTATATTATTCGCAACTCTAACTTTAATCAGGGGTTAATGGTACATGTGAATTCACATGTACTGGCCACAAAATATACTAACTACTTCTATTACTACAGTTAGGGTAGAATTTTGCCATTGAAAATATCGCAACTCTAAAGAAAAAATCGCACGATTGATCAAGATCGCAACGCTAATTTATAGTATGAAAATTGCAAACGCGGTTGATGTCCATTATATGTATACAAGAGTAAAAAAGCAACGCGAATCGTGATTGTTCGCAACACTACCCTGAAAAGGAAACGCGAAAAATGGTAATTCGCGACTCTACGAGCAATCGCGTTTATCAATAATTCGCAACGCTATTTTTAAAGCAAACTCCTGTAACCTAAGTTTGCATGAAAACAATCGCGAGATGGTAATTATTCGCAACACTACCCTGAAAAGGAAACGCGAAAAATGGTAATTCGAAACTCTAAAAGCAAACGCGATTATTGGATATTCGCAACTCTATGTATATCATAACCGCGAGTTATGGGGAGGGATGGCTGGCATGTATGGTGCAATCATATACCATCAGGTACATGCATACGTGAGCCAACCAGAAAAATAAACTAACTACAACTACAGACGAGTTAAGTGACAAAGTAGTAAGAGGAATGACTTTCCATCCTCATCCGAGGATGAAGATGAAAAGCCATTTGTTGCAGCCCACTCTTGCGACAGTTTGTCAGGGCCTCTTCGGCTCATCGAGAGCCTTTTCTTTCTTCGGCGGTCCTGCCGATGCCTGAAACTTACAAAAGACCGGGCTCGAGATTTTGTGCAATACGTAGTCTTCCAACAATATACGAATTGTTGCAAGAGCATACGTGGTGAATCTCGAGGGGGACGAACGTTTCGAAAGGGACCTAATCGCGACCGCGAGCGCGAGAGAGCGACTTTAAGAGTCGCGCGATTCGAGGAGTCGAAAATAAAGCCGAAACAAATAGCACAAGTACACCGTTTGAATCAGCAACATTTCTACTCTCGAAATCGTAACTACAGGAACAGAACTGCCACGCGAAAACGCGCCTACCCGATCTATAACTAATGTGGACAGTCCTGCCCTGACCCTACCTACTTACGTTTAAACACACACACCAGAGAATAAGTTACCTACCTACCTAACCCTATATTTAAAAAATTGCAAAACTCAATCAAACAAACACAAACACTCCACGGTTCTCATTCGGAATGTCCGGGCGCGACCTAAACTAGAGAGGACTCCCCGGGGTTCCTCCGACACCCGGACACAACCTCATTCATACTCTAATTGTGTACGTACCAGTTTTTGCAGTGGACTGACAAAGCTAGTGCCCATTGCGTACTTTTATTATTTATGTAAAAAATTTTAATATATCTGATATAGTCTTCATTAAAATATACTCTATATATGATTACATAAGATTGAAAAGCTAATACATTATGCATTTTACAATATTATTGACTAATATACAATACGAACAATTGCCAAGTAAATAACAACTATAAGTTTAATATTACTATTGTGATTGTTATGAATCTAATGTGAAAAAATTCTGTATCTGAATTGTAATAAACTTTTGAAACGATGCACTTCCACATCCTAACCACAAACACACATATGTGGACGGTACATCGTGCACGATACACTAGCATTGTCAGTCGCACGGATAAATTATTATTATAAATCTTACAAACTATGTCATCGTGCCCCGTTGCCTTCGCTCGTGCAAATAACACTTGGGCATGTGCATGAACTTAGGCAACGAACACGGAAAAGTATCCTGAAAATCCTGACTAGAACAACTGGTTATTAGTAATTAACTAAACGGTATCTATTCTCAGTTAAAATGACTCGACTCGTTATATGTAATATATTGTATCAACAACAGAGTACGTTAATATCGAAAGATATTACTATTGAAGAAAAATTTGTGACTGAAATTTAATTGTTCAAAATGTAAGACTTTAATAAAGATTTCATGATAAAATAATTTACTTTGCAAATTGAAATAAATTTGTTAAATTATTATTAAAAATATTCAATTAACCTTGGTCGATTCTGTCGTCAAAGTAAATTTTTAAGAAAATAAAATTAACATGCATGTTCCTTTGAGTTGAAAATCGACCAGTCGCGAAACGCCTTCTTGCACATAAAATACATCGTATGATGTATTAATTGATAAAACGAATATTTAATAAATATATTAATGATGTAAGATATTTTACTCAATCGTACGATTAATATAATGTTTTCACATTATATTAATTCATATTCTACTCAATTATATAATTCAAATAAAGATAATAAACATATTTCATATATTGTATCAAAATTGTGTAATAATCATATTGTGTAATATTTATTGATAACATTAAAAAACGCGAGTGCAAGAAGACCCTAGCCTGCACTAACAAAATATAATTCATGGGTATTTTTCATACCCGCGGTCACTTAACTCGTCAAAAATACTAAGTATACAACTGGTCACCCGTGTTGATTCGGATCTTTCATCCTACAACATGGTTGGGGACCAGAGGAACACAAATAGCATGCGACTCACGAATGATGATCTTGTGCCTCTGGGATGACTGCATAATGATGCCGCTGCTGCCCGGTGGAAGTCATCAAAGTCCCCTGCATGCTCCTGCTATAAAGAATAAGAAAGCAATTACAATCTATTGTTAAAATTATAGAGATTTTTAATTAACAAATTTCAAAGTATAAATTTATACTTACGTTGTTCGCTCGTGGTCCACCGCCCGATACCCCCCCGGGTACTGCTGCTGGTTCCCAGGATCATGTTCAAAAACTGTAAGAAAACTGTAAGAAAACAATTAGAATCTATTATCAAAAGTGTAGAGATTTTTAATTAAAAATTTCAAAGTATAAATTTATACTTACATTGTTTGCTCGTGGAGCATCGGCCAATAAGTCCTCTTCGGTGATGCACCGACTCTAATTCCGGTAACGAGGAGTTTAAATTTCAAATTGAAAAAATAATTAATTTGATTGGAAAGTATTAAATTAGATTACCGCGACCGAAGATTGAAATCGGCGAACAAATGACTCTATTATCGCGATTCAGAAAACAAGGAGAGCCACGATGCTCTGGAAATAATATAATAATACTGCGTAAGAAACACTGCTTCTATTCTCGCGTTTGCCTAACACCGTGAACGATAACGTACTCGGGGTCACTTTGCCCCGAGAAACAAACTTGTTGCTACGCACGATCACTGAATCTACCGGCCGCATTGCGCGCGGCCAACAAATTGCCTGGAAAGAAAACAGCTGAAAAGAAAGGGACAGGAGATAAGAAACACAACAAGCACATCTGTGCTTTGCCTATCGATTTTCTTTTTTCTTCTTACTAGAGCTCGACAACGAAAACACTGCTTTACTTAGTACTGTTGTATACATAGTTTGTCCCGTACAAGATCAATGCCACGAAGGCGAAATATTCTCAATCAATGAGAATTTCAACGATAAAATATTATCTACGAAAATAATTACGTACAAGTAATTATTCAATTTATAAATATTATATCACTAAATTTCATAGTTAGAGTTGTAAGCATGATTATGTTTACTTCATCGAATGTGAGAATATCCGATAATTTTTATAAATATTCCGAAATTTGCAAAAATTAAAGTTCGTTAAATATTTATGCTTTAATAGCATATTCCAACTACGTGGTTTCTACGTTTTCTTAAACTTGCATCGAAATATATATGCAAATTGCAATTACAACAATTCATAAAGAGATATAAACGATCAATTAAATAAATAACACTCGGAAATATTAAATCGCGATCAGAATACAGTTAAATATAAACTATTCCAATCTACCGACGCCATTTCTGTATACTTCGATAGATATCGAAGTGGATAAAAAGTTTGTCAAAGATTTTCATAATTTATCTTAACAATGGCCGATTATAAAATTATTATCATGCTTGCAAGGAATAACGTAATAAATAGATAAAAATATATAAATATTGATTATTTAGATTGTTATATTGATATATTGATTGTTTAGAAGTTACCAATATTCCCTCCAAAATTTGTCGACTCGTCTGCCATCTGTTATGGCGTCGTTTACGCGCCAATGAAATTTTCCATGGCGTCGAATTTCAATCAGAGACTGCAACAGAAATGAAATACAAATTAAATCATAATTAAACAATAGTTGATAATAATGAAGAAATATTAAAAGGTTAGAAAGACGTATGTACCTCGTTGGTCGCGAAACGTCGACACGTCTTGACAGGTTCCAACAAGCCTTATTATTTCTTAATTTCGAATTCCAATAAGAGACTGCAACAGAAACGAAATAACGATGCATTAAAGTACGCAAACGATTATTAGAATTAAGTAATGATTAAATCGAGACCGTATTACAAGAGATCGTAAGTAGTAATACGCGAGTAGTAATAGTGGAAGGATAAACAGGTTAGAAATACGCACCTCGGTCGCGAAACGCCGATACGTCTTAACACGTCCTGCTATGTTTATTTTCAAAGTACGAATGATGGCCGTCCGCTGTGCTCGGCAACGCTCGCGAATTAGGCGGCGGGGTGGGGGAAGCTCCGAAGTCTCGCGAAGCTTGTATTACGAACCCGACGGATGCCGCGGATAGAAACCGCGGATAGACTGATCTTAGCAAATTATTTACAACTTTAACTAGTCAAGGAATCGCGAATAATTCGTACTTTTCAACTGGTATGCATTTACACGCACTAGCTGCTGCCTATCACACTAATTCAGTGAGTTTCTCAACTGACCGTTATCCATTAGAAGAGGTCGCTAAAATCAGCTCCGAATTTTCAGGTCGGTATGGCAGTCAGATTCGCCCACGAAAGTCCATAGGCATACGTCTTGCATATTTTTTATAAAAACATATGTCACATATATTTATTAAGGGGACCTGATATTTTTCAATATAAGAATGTTGAATAAATATTTTTTTCGAGTATTTTAAAGCAGTCATTGTGCAAATAGATTTCACACCGTTTAACTTTTCTTGTTGTTCCACAGTCCCAAAAGCCTACAAGCGGCCAGAATTCGTCGAAGAACTTCGTGCTCTGCTGACAGAGACTGGTACGGTGTCTTTAGAATGCAAAGTGGTCGGTGTACCTACCCCGGTGTTGAGATGGTTCAAAGACGACAAAGAGATCAAGGCTGGCGACGTCTTCGCTCTAACTGCCAATCCTGATGACCCAACCTCCCTTGGCATTTATACGTGTGAGGCGGTAAATTGTATGGGTGTCGCTTATTCCTCTTCCAAAGTGAGTACTCCTATGAAATACCTCCGTTTTAACATTTCTCTCGAGCAATGTAGGAGAAAAAAAAGATCAGTCTTCGGTTAAAAAATAAGAGAAAGTGAAGTAAATCATTGAATTAAAAATTATTATTGGCAATACATATGTATAAAAATATTTTAAGTAGCAACAGACATTTCTTTTTATTCAAATAAATCTGAAATCTTCAAATTTTTTTTGACAACCACGGAAATACGGAAATCGGCCATATATTTTGAGAACACGAATTAAATTAAGGTAACTATAATGAAATATTTGACTTGATAGGTGCATGTGGTTGGAAAGGGGAGCAGAGAAGGTTCTCTGAAGCCAGCGGATTCTTTGAAACCCTCTGGTCCTCTTCCTGTTTTCAAACGAATTCTGCAGGACGAATGCTGCAGAATCGGGGACACCCTTCGACTTTCTTGTCAAGGTACTCGATATTAAACGCGATCTACATGACCGATTCATCTCGACCGATAGGGTCAAAGTTTAATCACTAAATTTTTGGATAAAAATTTATTTATAATTTGAAAAATTTGTCATAACAGTTCATGTACCACCATGGCCGAAAGCTATTACATGGTACAACAAAGAAGGACTCATCGAGCTCAGCGACAAGTACCACGTGATGGAAGATGGTCTCGGTAGATACTCCATAGAAGTACATCCGGTCGAAGCCATGGATGAGGGCGAATGGAAGTGCGTCGCGACCAGTGCAGAAGATATGAAGCAATTTAGTACTTGCTACGTTGCAATGTCCAGTGAGTTCAACACGAGAAATTATTTTTTTACACATTAATAGATTGAAAACTTAAAAATTCTTAAAAGTTGAAATTGTACAATTTAACATACGATCACGTCGTATTTTGATTGATTGTTTCAGTTCCAAAGAATTACAGAAAACCACGTTTCATGGAAAGCTTGAAAGCTGTCCTGACGGAAGAAGGATTAGTGTCCTTCGAATGCAAGGTCGTAGGATTTCCGACGCCTCTGTTGAGGTGGTTTAAAGACGGCCAGGAATTGAAGCCAGGAGATGTTTATCAGTTAACTGGGACCAACTCTCTGGGTACCGTATCAGTGACAATTTTTAATTTTCTTTCAAACGTCGCACAGTGGTGCCGTTTCCCGAAAATGTAGACGTTCGTTTCTATTACCAGGTTCCTATTGCTGTATCGCGAGAAACTGCATGGGAGAAGCGAAAAGCACAGCCGAATTAACGATCGAAGATATTCAAAATCAACTGAACGAAGAAGAACGCCTGCAACTGTTGAGCACGAATCAACCGCCCACGTTCATCAAGAGCCTCAGGAGCTGCGAGGCGAGAATCAACGAAGATTTTCAATTTACGGTACAAGGTACGCCCCATCGATATTTATTTTTCAATCATTCCATTTCCTGCTCTTCCTCTAACCGTACTACTAATACTATATATACATAAATAAATTAATAAATTTTGCAGTTAGTATTGCCCCAGAGCCAAGTCTCTCTTGGTACAGGGACGACGTGCAGGTGGCAGAGAATGAGAAATATCAAATTGCCAAAGAAAATCTTGGTACGTGTCATCTTGACGTGCGAAGACTCGAATTCGTCGATCAAGTAAGTAAAACAAAAATCATCTCTTTTAAGACGGTTTGATACTAGTCTCACTCAAAGCCCTTGTTAGTCATACTAATGTTGTTCCTTTTTTGTTCCTAATTTGTTCAACATTTTGGTTATTTAGGCCGAATGGAAGTGCGTGGCTTCCAACGATTTTGGTCACAGCGTCACTTCCTGTTTCCTTAAATTAATCATTCCCAAGCACTTCAAGAAACCGAAGTTTCTCGAAAGTTTGCGAGCTATACTGTCGGAGGAGGGGGCGGTGAATTTGGAGTGCAAAGTGATCGGTGTCCCGCAACCGATTCTCAAGTGGTACAAGGACGGTGTGGAACTGAAGCCTGGAGACATACACAGAATCATTTCAGGACAAGATGGCACTTGTTGCCTTGGAACGTATACTTGCGAGGCTACCAACTGCATGGGGACCGTCAGTAGTTCTGCATCTCTTCTGGGCTTTGAAGGTAACCGACAAATTCATAAGTTGAACATTTCTATTCCTTCCAACTGGGTGGATTTCCCTTGGAAACAGTATAAATATCTGCTGGTGTCGAATTTCACCTTCCTAAAATTCGTTGAACATGAAACGAACCAACGTTCAACGACAATTGTGAAACTTATTTCCTCGTTTCAGATAAAATCCCCGTCCGCAAAGAAGCGAAGGAAGTTCAATCGCCAAACGGCCACGAACTCGCGAGGAACTTGTCGCTTTCGACGATACACGAAGAAAGAACGTCCCAATTGTACGATACACCACAAACGGATCATTCCGTCACGTTGGACGATCGAGGAGAAGTGTCTTTCAGTTTTGATGGTAAGGAGGTTTCCGTCAGCCTGTACGAAACGCCTGATCTCACCGAGGAGGAAGCCCTTCAGATCGTCGAAATGTATGCCGATCAACTATCCGAACACGTAACAGGTACGTAGCAACTGTCCTCGAATGAATTATTATCATCATTAACTGTGCAATCTCTTTTCATACGATTTTTAAACACGTTTCATTTACTTAAATACAGAGACATTTTTACGATTTTAGATAGTCTCTTTTTTTCACGTTCTTTTTACACAGTAGGCATCCGCCGTATAAAATGTAACCTAGGTATAACAAAGCTAAGAAAATATAGAGGGTGTTCGACCACCCAAATGTTGGAAATGAAACGTTTCCGTAGAGCACAACGTGATCGAGCTGCCGCCAATGAGATTCGTCAAGGAGACATCCACCTCTGGGAACCTGTTGATGGAAGCAGTGGTGATAGACGTGTCTCCGGATTACTTCGTCAGTGCGGAGGACGGTGATGATCTTCGAACCGAGGCTGACTTTGAGGACGTTTCGATAATGGACGACATCACGCGGGTATTTTCCTCCCCGGAACACGACTCTCGTAGTTCTCTGAAGAGATCGGCCATGTACAGTTTGGACGAGGACGAGAAGCCACCGATCAGGCCACCAAGGAAGAAGTCGAGCTCTTCGTCGAAAAGCGAAGAAAAGAGTTTGAAAATGGAGTCGGAGAGTTTCCACAGCGCTCAGAAAGACGAAAGATTCTCCCCGGTCTCACCGATATCTCCAGTCTCGTCGCTGAAACAGGACGACAGCGACACGTTCGCCGACGCTTTGTCCTCCGCGAGGTTGTCCATGTCGGAGAATCAAGTTCACAAACTGTACGAAAACGTTCAAGAGCGAAAACGCAGCCTGAGCGGAGAGAAGACGACCGGTTCGAGCATAGACGACGGAATTGGCGGGGATTCCTCGTTCGATTCCGTGACCGGTGCCCCGAAGAAGAAGAGACATCGAAGGAAGAAGCACAAGAAGGAGAAGGGTAGCTCGGAGGAATCGTCGATCGGAAGCGAGATCGACGGGAAGCGACGAAGAAGCGGATCCGGCAGCGCCAAGACGGAAATGCATCAGCGCATAGAGTCGATAAACAAGACCGAGGAACCGTACATCGAGGATGTGGCGGACAAATCGTCCGAGAAGAGGCAGTCCGAGAAATCCTCGGAGAAATCGTTATCGAAAAGCACCAAGGAAAGACTCTTGGACAACACGAAGAACTTGAAGAGCCCTGTGCTGACGATTCGAGACACTCTGGTTGACTTGGATAGTCTGAGCTTTAAGCTGAACGCTCAGAGCGAGGAAGAATGCAAGACTATAATCACGGAGAATATCATTAAACCGATCCAATCTCTCTGCGAAGAGGTGTCCTCCATAGAGTCGAAAGCTCTGAAAAACGCTGGCGACCGATCGCTGCTTCAAACGGTTCGAGTTAGTTTGCTGGAGACCATCGGAGGCCCGACGGAGGAGCTTCTACGCGGCATGGAATTGATAGAGCGACAGGAAAGCGTCAAAGCACGCAAAACGGACGTAATCGGCATCTTGGAGAGTCTCACGGACCCTGTCGACGAGATACTCGTGGGAATTACCAAAATAGAGCACGAACTCACCGGCCGAGCGAAAGGAGAAAAACCGATCGTTCTGATCAGAATGATGTCCGCGGTTTCGAAGCTCGAGGAGACGGTCAGGAACGTTCTCGCGACAGACAAAACAGCCTCGCGACTGAGTTCAAGCTTCGAGGAGATCCTCGCCACGCTGGACTTCTTCTTGAACGACATTTCGGTGGATCCAGCCAAAGGAACGATAGAAACTGTGGACACCGTGGTGGTCGAGTCCCTCTCGAAATCTGTCGAAGACATGGCGAGGGCTTTAACTTATTCCTCAAAGACCGAGACCGTGGAGAAAATCGTGGAAGAAATTCTGCCTTCTACGCGCGAGCTGAAAGCAAAATTGGACACCTTGAAGACTGCTCTGGAGACGTACAAGTCGAAAGGCATTCTATCGGAGCATCGTACCAAGTTGATCGAGTCTCTGCAAGAATCGGTTGGACGAGCCGTGGAAGAGATTCGAAGAATGAAAGAATCCAAGCCGGACATTTTGCGAGAGGCAAGACTTACTCTCGAAGAGGCTCTGAAATCGTACGAGAATATCTCTGGTACTCTCGATCCTCGACTGTCCAGTATTTTCGATCGAGTCGACGAGATGCACCGACGATTGAGAACCTCTCAGAAGAAGGAGATCTGTATCGAGTCGTTGGCAAGCCTCGAAGGTCCTCTCTACTCCCTTCAGTGTGCTCTGAGTTCGGTTTCTATAGCCGAAAATTCAAAGACGGTCTTGCAGCTCTTGGAACCGTCGATCTCTCAGCTGAAATCGACCATCTCGAGCCTGGATGAGAGTTCCTTGCAACCTGTGCTGGAGACTTTGCGCAGCATTGAGAAGACTGTTAGCGGAACTGTCGATGAATACGAGGAGACTATGTCCACGAGATCGACGCAAGAGGAGCCTCAAAGCTTGATAGACAGAATCCTGGATCCTCTGATCGACGTTCAGTCGGCTCTAAGCTCTGCGCTCGAGAACGCAGAGGACGTTGACTCTGTCGCGAACGGAGCAACCAGCCCTCAAAAGCTGCTCGCGACCTCGGAAGTGACTGGTTGCCTCGTGGAGCTCAGACAATGCGTGTCGGACGTTGCTCGAATAGCGATGACGCTCAGAGAGGACGAAACCTTGAACAGTTTGATAGATTTGAAGGAACCGTTGATGGATTTGCACGTCGCTCTGGCATCCGAGGAAAGAGTGGTCATTGAGCTTCCAGTGATACGGAAAATATATCTCCCGGTGGAGAAAATGAAGGTGCTGGTGTCGAAAGTGCTCCGCCAGTGTCGAGAAGAGGAAAGAATAGAGTCGGTGAAGGATGTGTGGAAAACCTTGGAAGAAATCGAGGATCAACTGCCAAAGACTGTGGTTCGTCTGGTGGCGATCGACGAGGCGCAGAAGCATTTCTTGGAGAGTCTGAACGTCGACCAGAATCTCAGCAACGTCCATTTTGCTCTGTCCTCGGCTCTCGAGCGACACGAGAAGAGTTTCCCTTCGTACGCATCGGATTTGACGAGCTGCGTCGAGGAACTGAGACAGAGCATCGGTTCCTCCGCAGTGGCCATCGCAAACTTACGGAATCCAGAGGACCAGGAAATTATAGATCAGATCTGTCGGTTAAAAGAGACTCTGCTGAGCTTGCAAAGGATCCTGCTGACCCAGGAACACGAGCCCGAAGAGGAGCAGATCCTGAAGGACTTGATCGGTCCCATCGAGAGCCTCAAGTCTCTGGTGCAGAGCATCGTCGAGAGCGACGCTGTAGCGAACGCGACGCTTCCGGTTCTCGAGTTGTTGGAGGAAATAGAGAAGGACACGCCGTTGATCGCGAAGGAGGCCTCCAAGATGAAGGTCCGACGAGACTCGAAGACACAGAAAGAAACGAGGAAGCAAAAGTTGGCCTCGTTCGCTCTGGCGGATCGAATCAGTCGATCTCTGGATCCTATGAAGCACTGGCTCTCGACTACATCCGAAGACAGCCTCAAAGACGAGGAGGAGTCCGGTTTGAGCTCCACCGTGGACGACTTGAAGAGAGACGTGAACAAACTTGCCATCGAGACCTCGTACTCCGAACCTCCCAGCGACGAGAATCTGATAGAAGCCTTGGTGGATCTTCGAGAGCCGCTGACCAGACTCAGAAACGCCATGTCGCTCTACCACGAACCGGCAGACCTGTCCACCTTGGAAGGCCTCGGTCGACCGATGAAGTATCTTCTTCGAACCATCATGGACGTTCTGAGAGATCACGCCGAGGAGGAGTCGCTCAGACCAATTATAGACATCGTCGAGGAGATCGAGAATCAAATACCCATCTCTATAAAAGAAGCCCTCTACAGAAAAGAGCTCAAGGAAGTGGTGAAATCGTTGTCCCTCGAGGAGAAGGAACTCCTGGCTACAGCCTCTCAGGAAACTGTTCAGGACGAGAGTATTCCGCGAGATGGGAAAGAGGAAACCACCGTGCCTCCTGAGACGCAATACAGCGACTCGTTGATCGAACAAACGACCGTCGAGGAGAGCTCGCAGAGGACCGATCAGATGATCACGCAGATAGAGGAATTGCAGAAGAAAAAAGGGGAGACTGGAAGAGTCAAGAACAAGGAAGACGCTATGGAGCTGGTCGTTTCTCTGGCAAGGACGCTAGAAACCGTGGAGATCGATGTCACTGGGATTCTGGAGGACTTTGAAGAGCCCACAGCAGGAAACACTATGCTGCCAACCTCGATACTAGCCAATTCTCTCGAACAACTTGGAAGAACAGTCTCCTCGTTCCGTGTGACGACCACAGGTTACGGGAAATCGGTAGACTCTTACGAAGAGATGGTTTCTCGAGTCTCTTCTCAGCTAGGGAACCTCCTGGAGCCTCTAACTAACCTACAAGAAACTCTTCTAGAGACGCACCAACACGGTGCTCGAGAACTCTTGATCCTAAATCATCTGACGCAGCCATTGAACGCGATCGAAAAGGAAATTAGAGAGAAAGTTGATCTCGAGGCAAGCTCCGAGCCCGTTCTTCGCGTTATTGCCGACATCAAAGACAGGATTCCAGTGGTCGTGAAGGACATAAATTCAAGACAAGAGATTCTGGGATGTCTTCGTGAGATTTTCAAGCCTTTGGAGCAGATTCAAGAACGCATGAGGATCATTCAAGCCCAGCCCGAGGTTACTCTCGAAACTGACGTGGCTAAGATTCTAGTGAACCCTTTGGATATTCTGTTGAACACGATCAACCTCGCTTCCCACGAACTTCAACTTCTGGATCGACGAAGAGCAACCATCGTGGAGGTTCGAACTCTCGTCGAACCGTTGGTGGAGTTTCTCAGTTGTCTGTCGGTGGTGCAAAGCAGTCGACGGAGCTTGGTTCCCGAGGCAGCGTTGCTGGACGAGAGGAGAAGCGTTATTTTAAGAGCAGTCGAAGGCCTTCAGAGACAAACTTGCATCATTCTCGAGAGAATATCGAATCTAGAGGGGGCGTCCATGTTCGAAGAACCGTTGAGTTCACTGAGGAACGCGATCGTCTCTGTTCAGAAGCAAATTGGCAAAACCGACTACTCGCGCAGATCCACCACCGGGGATCTCGCTTTTCACTATGAACTCTCGACGTCGTTGGAAGATCTGAAGAGCAGCATCAAACGTTTGGAAGAAAACATAGACGGGACGGTGCACGAAACGATTTCGAAGTCATTGGGCGCGTTGCAGAAGCAAATATCACTCTCGCGAACGCACTTCATCGAAACGAACGATCAATCCGTCGACGAAGAAGCCATCGTCGAAGGTTTCCTCTATCCGACCAATCAGCTTCGGTCAGCGTTGAATTCGATCAAAGAGAAACTAGATCGGAAAATAATAACTTCGGTTTCGACGGAAACGGTGACGCTTCTTCGGTCTCTGGCCAACTCGACCTCCCAATTGGCTTCTTCCTTCTCCACGCGTCGAATGCATCTGATTCGCGAAGGCGCCTCCGAAGGCTCGTCGTTCGTAGAGACGCTATCCGCCGTTGTGGACGTTCTACAGAGCGTCAAGGATTCCATAACGGAGATAGAAAACGAGATAGTAGGAGAGCAATCCGAAGAAACGACAGGCCAAGAAACTAAACAGCAGAATCTACCGATCACCATCACGCAGATCGAAACTATCGTCGACGAAGTCATCGAAGTGTCCAAAGAAGAAATGGAGAGTCTGCTTATTATCGAAGAAATATCGCGTCAAGGTAAAACAGACGATGGAAAGTCCTTGGAGAAAGTGGAAGATGGAATTGTGGTTAAACAAACTGAAACAGAAATGTCTAAAGTAGAAGAAAATGCAAAAGTTTTGTTCGAAAGGTCGGAAGATTCAGCAGGAACAAAGAAAGAAGTAGAAGCTCAATCTGTAAAGGCAGAAGAAGTAACGAAGCAAGAAGAGAAAATCGAGACTCTGAAAGAAGAAATAGAAAAAACAGTAGAACGAGAAGAAAGTGTAAAAGTTTCGTCTGAAATGTTGGAAGATTCAGCAGGAACAAAGAAAGAAGTAGAAGCTGAATCTGTAAAGGCAGAAGAAGTAACGAAGCAAGAAGAGAAAATCGAGACTCTGAAAGAAGAAATAGAAAAAACAGTAGAACGAGAAGAAAGTGTAAAAGTTTCGTCTGAAATGTTGGGAGATTCAACAGGAACAAAGAAAGAAGTAGAAGCTCGATCTGTAAAGGCAGAAGAAGTAACGAAGCAAGAAGAGAAAATCGAGACAGTAGAACGAGAGGAAAGTGTAGTTTTATCTGAAATGTTGGAAGATTCAGCAGAAACAAAAAAAGAAGTAGAAGTTCAATTTGAAAAGGCAGAAGAAGAGAAAATTGAGGTACTGAAAGAAGAAATAGAAAAAACAGTACGACGAGAAGAAGATGTAAAAGTTTCGTCCGAAAGAGTAGAAGAGGCGATAGAAAAAGAACAAGCCGAAGGAACGAGTCAAACTGTAATCTCTAAAAAGATAGAAGAAGTAATAAGAGACGAAGAAAAAGTAGAAGCGTTAAAAAAAGAAGAAAGTGAGAAGGTTGAAGAACTAGTAAGAAAAGAAGAGAAAGCGTTGGAAGAAGCAGCAAAACAAAAAAAAAAGGAAGAAGAAAGAAGTAAAGAAATTAAAATTAGGAAAATAGTATCGTCTGTTGATACGATACAACAGCCCCTCAAAGAATTAACCAATCTGATGTACTTGGCCCTGGAGCAGCCTCTTCCCTCTAAATCCGAAGAAGAGAAACGAAAACTTCGAGAAGTAACTGCATTGATACAAATACTTAACGACTTGAGAGCCACGAGCGCGTCGATTCGAATCGCTGTGCAGCCCTCGTCGATCCCTGAGCTGGAAGAACAATTCCTCCGCGTAATAGATACTTTAATAAACGTCGAACAAGCTACGGAAATGCTTCTTTCTTTGTCTCAAAAAGAACTGACTCCTGCGCAAAAAGAAAACGTAATGGTTTCGGTGCAAATTCTTTTAGCGCCTTTGGAAATGCTGCAACATGATTTCTTCACCGTTCAACGGACCGCTGAATCTACCTCGGAATTTTATATGCTCTCCGAGAGCATGCTACATTTTACTCAAACGATATCCGAGCTCATAAGCGTGATACGTAGAACAGCGGAATTGAAACAAATGAAGATGGCGGAAGAAATGAAAGTAGCCAAGACGAAAGAAGAAAGTCAAGACATCGAAGAAACTACTGCCAAGCCGCTGGAAGAACTTATAGAAGCTATAATGGTGTCTCAAGAACACGTGAAACGCGACGACGCGTCTCCTTTCGGCTCGATTTCGCCCGCTGAATTAACAGAACAACAGAGATTGATCAACGAAGAGGAAATTAAGTTGCAAACAAACCTCGTGGAGAAGATAGTGAGTCCCATTCAAAATTTGCGAGAACTAGTCGCGAAGATCGAGCTGCAGGAAATGGAAGAAACCGAAGCGGTGGATCTACCAACGAGGAAGACAGCTTCTGTCATTCTAAACACCATCATCCACCCTTTGGAAGAATTAGAACAGTCGTTGAACATCTCAGCCGAACAGCAAATTGACGATACTCGAGAAATTCTTGAGGAGACGAGCAGAAACATTTCGCCATTACAGTCGCTGCCAGTCAGAACTGTTCTCGAGGAATTGAGAAAGTCCATTGCCACTATTCAGGAAGAAGTGATACTCGAAGCGATCGAGAAGACACCCCAATCACAAGCTAGAGCGTTGATCGCAAAAGAAGTCCAAAAGTCGCTGGAAGATCTTAAGTTTTCGGTCGGCGCCATGCAAAAGATCGCTGCCCTAGAGACTGAACGGACAGAGGAACTTTCAGACGCGGAGAGAACATCGGTGATAGAGACATTTGTCAAATCGGTCAACGAATTGGGAGCTAAATGTTTCGCCATTGCTAGCCCTCCGCCGGAAATAGAAATGGAACCAGTCTCGATTCACAAACAACAATTAGAAGAAGTGATTCAAATATTGCATGCTTCAACGTCAGAAATTGCAACGCAGATGACCGAAGATATTCAAGCATCCGATCAAACAACTAACGACCTGGTAGAAACATTGAAACCTCTGGTAGAACCACTCGAGAAATTGGAACAGTTGCTCTGCACGACGGTCCAACAAGTCAGCGAGACAAAGATCGAATCGACAGAGGAAATCAAACAAGACAGTACTTCTGATAACAAATTAAATCTTACTCCAGTCTTGGAAGAATTAGAAAAATCGATCGCGGTGATCGAGGAACAGATGTCATTGGAACCAAGCAAAATTGAATTGTCCACCATGAAAATTGAACCTTCTATTGCTGAAGTTATTCAAAGCCCGTTAGAAGAGTTGAAATGTTCAGTTGCAACTTTACAAAAACTTGAAACCGAAGAAGCAGAGAAACTAACGAACGAAGACAAGAACACAGCTTTGAACGCTGTTGCTAAATGTGTGAAAGAAATAGGAAAGATATGCTCAGTAGCAGCTAGTCGACAGAAAATTGAAGTGAGTCTTGCTCCAAAAGCTCAAGTTGCTGAACTTAAAGAAGTTCTTGAAACAATTTCTAGTCCGATTCAAATTTTACGCGAAACTGTCTCTGAGGTTGAACAGCAGAAAACCGAGGAAACTAAAGCTATAGACTCTACAGCTCAAAATGTGGTTGAATCTTTGAAACCTCTAGTTCATCCTTTGGAAGAACTTCAACAATTATTATCCACAACAGTTCAGGCAGCCAGCGAAACAAGTGAAGAAATGAAAATATCTAGCCCATCAGAAGAGAAATTAACTCTCACCCCTGTTTTAGAAAAATTACAGAGGTCAATTGCAGTAATCGAAGAGCAGGTAGCTTTGCAACCAAAGAAGGCAGAGGTTTCCAGTGTAAAAGCTGAAGCTTCTGTCGCTGAAGCAATTGACCATCCATTGGAAGAATTAAAATCTTCCATAGCAACTTTGCAAAAATTAGAAACAGAGGAAGTAGCTGGCACAGACAAGACCATAGCTTTAAAAGCTGTTGCTAAATCTGTGGAAGAAATAGGAAAAGTATGTTCAGCAATAGCAACTCAACAGAAAGTTGAAGTAAGTGTTGCTCCGCAAGCTCAAGTCGCTGAACTCAAAGAAGTTCTTGAAACAATTTCCAGTCCGATTCAAATTTTGCGCGAAACAGTGTCAGAGATTGAACAGCAGACTACTGCGGAGGCTAAAAGTTTAGACACTTCGGCTCAAAACGTAACTGAAACTTTAAAACCTCTTGTCCAACCTCTCGAAGAGCTCCAACAAGTATTGTACACAACAGTTGAACAATTCAGTGAAGCCAAGATAGAAACAACCGAAGAAATGAAAGTTTTTGTGCCATCCGAAGAAAAATTGACTCTCACACCAATCCTAGAAAAACTGCAAACAACAATTGCAGTAATCCAGGGACAGGTATTGTTGCAAAAGCAGAAAGCAGTAACGTGGAGTACAGAAGTTGAACCCGTCTTTGTTGACGCTATTGAAGGTCCACTAGATGAGTTCAAATCCGCTGTAGCAGCTTTGCAAAAACTTGAAACAGAAGAAACAAAGGAACTAACGAGCGAAAATAAAACAACAGCCTTAAAAGCTGTTGCTAAATCGGTGGAAGAAATGGGAAAAGTATGTTTAGCAATAGCAACTCAACAGAAAATTGAAGGGAGTCATGCTCCGAAACCTCAAGTTGCTGAACTCAAAGAAGTTCTTGAAACAATTTCCAGTCCGATTCAAGTTTTACGCGAGACAGTGTCAGAGATTGAACAACAGAGTACTGAGGTAGCTAAAGTATTAGATTCTGAAGCTGAACATGTGGTTGAAACTTTGAAACCTCTGGTCCAACCTTTGGAAGAACTTCAACAATTATTGTCCTCAACAGTTCAGGCAGCCAGTGAAACAAGTGAAGAAATGAAAGTATCTAGCCCATCAGAAGAGAAATTGACTCTCACCCCTGTTTTAGAAAAATTACAGAGGTCAATTGCAGTAATCGAAGAGCAGGTTGCCTTGCAACCAAAGAAGGCAGAGGTTTCCAGTGTAAAAGCTGAAGCTTCTGTTGCTGAAGCAATTGACCATCCATTAGAGGAATTAAAATCTTCAATAGCAACTTTGCAACAATTAGAAACAGAGGAAGTATCTAGCACAGACAAGACCATAGCTTTAAAAGCTGTTGCTAAATGTGTGAAAGAAATAGGAAAGATATGCTCAGTAGCAGCTAGTCAACAGAAAGTTGAAGCAAGTGTTGCTCCGCAAGCTCAAGTTGCTGAACTGAAGGAAGTTCTTGAAACAATTTCCAGTCCGATTCAAGTTTTGCGCGAAACAGTGACGGAGATTGAACAACAGAGTACTGAGGTAGCTAAAGTGTTAGATTCTGAAGCTGAACATGTGGTTGAAACTTTGAAACCTCTGGTCCAACCTTTGGAAGAACTTCAACAATTATTGTCCTCAACAGTTCAGGCAGCCAGTGAAACAAGTGAAGAAATGAAAGTATCTAGCCCATCAGAAGAAAAATTGACTCTCACTCCTGTCCTGGAAAAGTTACAGAGGTCAATTGCAGTAATCGAAGAGCAGGTTGCTTTGCAACCAAAGAAGGCAGAGGTTTCCAGTGTAAAAGCTGAAGCTTCTGTTGCTGAAGCAATTGACCATCCATTAGAGGAATTAAAATCTTCAATAGCAACTTTGCAAAAATTAGAAACAGAGGAAGTATCTAGCACAGACAAGACCATAGCTTTAAAAGCTGTTGCTAAATGTGTGAAAGAAATAGGAAAGATATGCTCAGTAGCAGCTAGTCAACAGAAAGTTGAAGCAAGTGTTGCTCCGCAAGCTCAAGTTGCTGAACTGAAGGAAGTTCTTGAAACAATTTCCAGTCCGATTCAAGTTTTACGCGAGACAGTGTCAGAGATTGAACAACAGAGTACTGAGGTAGCTAAAGTATTAGATTCTGAAGCTGAACATGTGGTTGAAACTTTGAAACCTCTGGTCCAACCTTTGGAAGAACTTCAACAATTATTGTCCTCAACAGTTCAGGCAGCCAGTGAAACAAGTGAAGAAATGAAAGTATCTAGCCCATCAGAAGAAAAATTGACTCTCACTCCTGTCCTGGAAAAGTTACAGAGGTCAATTGCAGTAATCGAAGAGCAGGTTGCCTTGCAACCAAAGAAGGCAGAGGTTTCCAGTGTAAAAGCTGAAGCTTCTGTTGCTGAAGCAATTGACCATCCATTAGAGGAATTAAAATCTTCAATAGCAACTTTGCAACAATTAGAAACAGAGGAAGTATCTAGCACAGACAAGACCATAGCTTTAAAAGCTGTTGCTAAATGTGTGAAAGAAATAGGAAAGATATGCTCAGTAGCAGCTAGTCAACAGAAAGTTGAAGCAAGTGTTGCTCCGCAAGCTCAAGTTGCTGAACTGAAGGAAGTTCTTGAAACAATTTCCAGTCCGATTCAAGTTTTGCGCGAAACAGTGACGGAGATTGAACAACAGAGTACTGAGGTAGCTAAAGTGTTAGATTCTGAAGCTGAACATGTGGTTGAAACTTTGAAACCTCTGGTCCAACCTTTGGAAGAACTTCAACAATTATTGTCCTCAACAGTTCAGGCAGCCAGTGAAACAAGTGAAGAAATGAAAGTATCTAGCCCATCAGAAGAAAAATTGACTCTCACTCCTGTCCTGGAAAAGTTACAGAGGTCAATTGCAGTAATCGAAGAGCAGGTTGCCTTGCAACCAAAGAAGGCAGAGGTTTCCAGTGTAAAAGCTGAAGCTTCTGTTGCTGAAGCAATTGACCATCCATTAGAGGAATTAAAATCTTCAATAGCAACTTTGCAAAAATTAGAAACAGAGGAAGTAGCTGGCACAGACAAGACCATAGCTTTAAAAGCTGTTGCTAAATGTGTGAAAGAAATAGGAAAGATATGCTCAGTAGCAGCTAGTCAACAGAAAGTTGAAGCAAGTGTTGCTCCGCAAGCTCAAGTTGCTGAACTGAAGGAAGTTCTTGAAATAATTTCCAGTCCAGTTCAAGTATTACGGGAGACTGTCTCTAAAATCGAAGACCAAAAACTCCAAGAAGCTGAAAATTTAGATTCACATAAGGCAATGGAGATTGCAACTATACTAAACACCTTGGTTCAACCTATGGAACAATTAGAGAGATCTTTGTCCGTGGCTGTTGAGCAAACGAGCACCGATAAAGAAGAATGCTTCGCTGATATGAAAGACGTACAAGCTTTTTCGAAACTGAACGTCGAACCTATTCTCCAGGAATTGCAAAAATCGGTGGCAGTGGTTCAAGAACAAGTGTCTTTGGAACCAACGAGTGAAAAATCAAGTACCAAAGTGGAAGGTTATTTAGCAAACGCTTTAGAGGAACCATTAGAGCAGTTGAAGTCCTCGATAGCAGCTGTCCAAGAAGTAATGTGTGTCGAATCTACTGAAATCACGGACAAGACGGATACAGAGAAAGTCTCGATTCTAAAAGCGTTTGCGAAGTCCGTAGAAGAAGTCGGAGAACGATGCTTGATGGTAGTTACCGAACAAAAGGCTGAGACGAAGATGCTTCCCGAAAAACTGGATGAATCGCAGGTAGAAGTTTTAAAAATGGTGATCAAACCGCTTGAAACATTGAGAGAATCTATCAATAAGATAGAAGAAGGAAAATTGTTGAATGCATCGAAAGTTGATAAAACAGAAAATGCATTGATGGTTCTTGTAGAACCATTGCAGAAGCTGGAGACGACGTTATCTTCAACCGTCCAACAAGCTGTTTCGACGAAAGTCGAGAAAACTGAAGAAACGACGGTTCCATCGTCTGAAAAATTGAATATCCAGCCTGTTGTCGAAGAGCTTCAGAAATGCGTCGCTACGGTTCAAGAACAGGTGAAATTGCAAACTGTAACAGCAGATTCGAGCGCTAAAGCGTTGATGCAAGCCGCAGAAAAATCATTGAATGACCTGAGTAGTTCACTCGCGATTGTTCAAAGCGTTGTCCAATCTACGGAACAAGAGAAACTGAGTACAGAAAAAGTGACGACTTTGGAACACTTGGCTGAATCGGTTCAAGAATTCGAGCAGAAGTGTAAAGTTGTGGTCGAAGAGGAGAAACTTGATGCTGAGGTTCTCCAGGCTATAGTCGAGCCCGTTCAGACGTTGCGCAAAACTATTATGGAAACGCAAGAAGAATTAAAACTGACTCAGCTGATACATCCTCTAGAAAAATTAGAGAAATCTTTGACAACTGCTGAGGAAGTAAAAGACGCGTGTTTGCAAGCCACGGTTCTCCAGCCAATTTTGGAAGAATTTAAAGAAACCATTGCTACTGTCCAAGAGCAATTAAAATCAAGGAACGTCGAATCGGAAGCTATTCAGAATATTTTGGAAGCATTCGAACAATCAAAATCAACAGTCACAGCTGCTCAACAAGCAGTTACACCAGAGTACCAAACTAAAGAAATGAAGGCTGAGAAGATAACAGCGTTAAAAGCTTTTGTGAAATCGATGGAGCTGTTGAAAGAACGTTGCTCGGTTCTCGTCAGTAGCCAAAAGAGAACCGTGGACGCGCAGATTCTTCAGCGGATCAGCGAAACTGTTCACGTTTTGCGCGAATCGCTGTCTCAGATCGAGGAAGAAAATATGCAAGAAGTCAGAGAATCCAAAATACCAAAAGACACGAAATTGAATGTTCTCAGTAAGCCCTTGAACGTGCTGGAACAAGCTTTGCTGACGGCTGTCGAAGAAGCTACAAAGGAACTAAAACATGGTGAAATTTCAGTAGAAAAATTGGACTTTGAACCAGTGCTTGTAGAATTGCAGAACTCGTTGACAATAATTGAGCAACGCGCGAACGAAATTGAAGAACTTCCTTCGATGAAAGCTGCTGCAAAGCCTTTGGAAGCTTTAAAGCTGTCGATAGAAGCTGTTCAAGAAATTACTCGAGAAGATAAGACGACAGCTATCGACGAAGCGTCGCGTTTGGAAGCGTTTGCGCGATCGGTGGAAGAAACTGGAAGAGAACTGTTGGCTGTAGCCAAGCACCAGAAAGCTACAATGCAGAAGAAAGCAACCGAAAACTTTGCAAAATCCGTAATCAGACCGATAAATGAGCTGCAAGGTACCATTCTAGAAATGACAGAAGCTACGGTTTTCTCGAGTATGGTGCAACCGTTGCACCAGTTGGAAGAAACGTTCCTGTCGGCTGAACAGACCTCCTTGTCCGTTCCAACGTTGCAAAAACTACCGATCAAGTCCGCGTTGCAAGAACTCAACAACCAAGTGACAAAGATTCAGGAGCAACTGGGTTTGGCTAAGCAGACGGTGAGTTTGACCGGAACCACCGAGGATCTAAATGCTGTGAAGAACATTGAAAGATCTCTGGGTGATTTGAGGACGTCTCTAGCGGTGGTGCAGCAACTGACAGCGATAGAAACGCCTGGACAACAAGTGTTGGACATCGAGAACGTGTCCGCGTTGCAAGCATTTGGCAAAGCCATAGACGAGTTCAAGAAACACTGCTCTGTCCTCGTATCGAAACCCAAAGCAATTGCAGCGATTACTGGCAAAGCAGACACCATCGTTATCCCCAGGAAACTTTTGCAGGAAACGATCTCCACGATAGAAGAGTTCAAAGTTCAGGAAGCAGGGGTTCTCGAGACACCTGAGAGGAGCATTTCCGTGAGTCCCCTATTGACAGTGCTGATCCCGTCTCTGGAGCAGCTAGAGCGAACTTTGGTCGGGGCGGTGCAAGGCGGCGAACACGTGCTCGAGGAACACCTGGAACAGAACCTGGTGTCTTTCGAGAGGAACAATCTGAGGCCCATACTCGAAGAGTTCCAGAGATCGATCGCCACGATCCAAGAACACGCAATTCTCGATGAAAGCGTGCAGAGCTTGTCCGAGGCAACGGACGCTTCTCATCTGAAGACAATGGCGCAAACGTTGGCGGACCTGAGGACTTCCGTGGCGGCTGTTCAGCAGATCGTCGAGAGTCCAGCCCAGATCACCGAACTCAAACCTGACGATAGCGTGTCCGTGTTCGAGACGTTCGCGAAATCGCTTCACGATTTGGTGGAGCGCGTGGCGACCATCGATCATCAGCAAATAGCGATCGAGCCTGCCGCTGACACCATCTCCGAGGACGCCTCGTCGTTGAAAACCTGGGCAGACGTTCTGGACGAGCCAAACGTTAGAATCACGGAGCCTTTGATCGTCGATCAGGGCACCATAGAATCGCCCACTGAAATTGCTATATCGATTTCCGAGGAAGAAGCTCAGATGTTGAAGGGATTGGCCAAGCCTCTCAGCGAGCTGCGCGAATGCTTGGCTCTGGTCGTCGAAGAGCGAAAATCCATGGACGCGAACGAAATGGCGGTCGCGTTGTCCGAAAAAGAGGACCTCTCGATGCTGAAAGCAATGGCTGAACCGTTGTTGGAGCTGAAAAACGCAGCTGCGTCCGTTATTCTCGAGCAAATCGCCTTCGAGTCCGCCAAAGAGAAGACATTTGTCGCCGAAGAGAAAATCGAGACCACCTTGAACCCGTTGATCGAGTCTCTGGAGGAACTCTGCAGATCCATCGCGCTGATCCAGGATCACATGATCGTCGAATCCGCGGAGGACCGACCAACGGATCAAGTCTCCTTACTGACAGCTCTAGCGGAACCCTTGATCACGCTTCAGAGGAGCATCTCTGTTCTCGAGGAGCGAGTCATGTCGCCGGATGTCGAACCACTGCCCGAAGAATCGACCAATTGGATCACCGAATGCTTGTCAATTCCATTGCAGGAGATAGAGACGTCCATCGCGGAGATTCGTGAATGCGTCGTGATCGAAGCTGCAGCCGCAGATCAGAGGATCGACACGCCAGACTGGTCGGTGATCGAGAAACTGGTGGAACCAGTCCAACTTATAAAATCGACTATCGTTCGCATGGAACAAACTGATAAACCAGCAACCGAGTACGAAACAGTGAGAACGTTGCTGCAACCTCTTTCGGATGTGCACGAAAGCTTCTTGGCGCTCAAAGACAAGACAGATTTAAGCATAGACGAGGAGGAAGCTAGCATCGACGCCATAGTAGACTCCTTGTCGAATCTTGAAAAATGTATAACCAGTATCGAAGAACGATCTGCTGACAGAGGAGGTTCCAGCACAGAAACAATTATCGAAGCGTTAGCTGAACCTCTGGTGCAATTGAAAGAATCCATTATGACCGTGGAAGAATCTTCAACCGTGTATTTGGAGAACCTGGAATTGCCTTTGAGGAATCTGCAGACAACTTTGGAGAGTATCGTGGCTCGTGAACATGATCAAAACCGAGAAAAGGAAACGGCTGTATCGCCGGAAGAAGTTTCGAGACTCTCGACAAGAATTCTGAACTCTGTCAAGGAAATAAATGATTCCATCGAATCTATTGACCGCAAGATAGACAGCTACAAAGATCTGTTGGGTATCGAAATTCAAATTGAAAACGAAGCTTTGAAAACACTGACGTCGCCGCTGAGAGGACTCGAGCAAGGAATTCGATTTATAATGGAAAATAGGATGTTCGAGGGATCGACGATGAATTCTCTTGGGAAACTACGGCAGGCTATCGCTACCATTTGTCACCAATCGGATGACAAACCATCCGCAGAGCCAGCGTATTCAAACACTGTCGACATCGTGAGTGTATTGAGAAGATTGCTGCCCAGTTTGCACGAATTAGAAGTGTCTGTTGCAACAGTCGAAACACTATGGAGCCAGAATCTAAGTGGAGAAGGATTGCAACAGCTGGAAACACCCATATCGAATTTGATGAACACGATTAACGTCTTACGCGACGAGATATCGAGGATGGATGTGGTATGGATAATGGACGAAGATAAGAAAATGAAAGAAGAAAAAATTAAAAAACAAGAAGAAGAAAGGTCGAAGAGGGAAGCAGAAGAGCGTAAGAAGGAAGAAGAAGAATCTGAGAAGCTAAAACAAGAGGAAGAGGAGCAACAGCGTAAAAAGGAAGAAGAAGCGGAAAAGCTGAAACGCGTAGAAGAGGAAGAGAAACGCAGAAAAGACGACGAGGCTAAGAAACTGAAGCTGGAAGAGGAGGAGCGTAAGAAAAGGGAGGAAGAAGAAGCTAGAAAACTAAAAGAAGAAGAAGACCGAAAGGAAACGGAAAAGTTAAAGGAAGAGCAAGAGCGCAAGAAGAAGGAGGAAGAGGAAAAACTTAAACAGGAGGAAGAGTCGCGTAAAAAAGAAGAGGCTAAGAAACAAAAAGAGGAACTGGAAGCACGCAAGAAAGAAGAAGAAGCTAGAAAACTGAAAGAAGAAGAGGATCAAAAGCAAAAAGAGGAAGCTGAGAAGCTAAAAGCAGAACAAGAGCGCAAAAAGAAAGAAGAAGAGGACAAGATAAAACTGGAAGAAGAAGTACGCAAGAAAGAAGAAGAGGCTAGAAAACTGAAAGAAGAGGAAGATCAAAAGCAAAAAGAGGAAGCTGAGAAGCTAAAAGCAGAACAAGAGCGCAAAAAGAAAGAAGAAGAGGACAAGATAAAACTGGAAGAAGAAGTACGCAAGAAAGAAGAAGAGGCTAGAAAACTGAAAGAAGAGGAAGATCAAAAGCAACAAGAGGAAGCTGAGAAGCTAAAAGCAGAACAAGAGCGCAAAAAGAAAGAAGAAGAGGACAAGATAAAACTGGAAGAAGAAGTACGCAAGAAAGAAGAAGAGGCTAGGAAACTGAAAGAAGAAGAAGAACAAAGGCAAAAAGAGGAAGCTGAGAAGCTAAAAGCAGAACAGGAGCGCAAAAAGAAAGAAGAAGAGGCTAGGAAACTGAAAGAAGAAGAAGAACAAAGGCAAAAACAGGAAGCTGAGAAGCTAAAAGCAGAACAAGAGCGCAAGAAGAAGGAAGAAGCGGATAAACTTAAACAGGAAGAAGAGTCACGTAAAAAAGAAGATGAGGCTAGAAAACTGAAAGAGGAACAGGACCAGAAACTGAAGCAGGAAGAAGAAACACGCAAGAAAGAAGAAGAGGCTAGGAAAGAAAAGGAAGAGCAGGACCGAAAGCAAAAAGAGGAAGCTGAAAAATTAAAACTGGAAGAAGAAACACGAAGAAAGGAGGAAGAGGTTAGGAAACAAAAAGAAGAAGAACAACAGAAACGTAAAAAGGAAGAGGAAGCTGAAATACTAAAACAGGAAGAAGAAGCACGCAAGAAGGAGGAAGAGGCTAGGAAAGTAAAGGAACAAGAAGATCGAAAACAAAAGGAACTGGAGGAGAAGTTAAAAGAAGAGCAAGAAAAACTTAAACAGAAGGAAGAGTCACGTAAAAAAGAAGAGGCTAAGAAACAACAAGAGGAAGAAGCCCAGAAACTAAAGCAGGAAGAAGAAACACGCAAGAAAGAAGAAGAGGCTAAGAAAGAAAAGGAAGAGCAGGACCGAAAGCAGAAAGAAGAAGCAGAGAAATTAAAGGAAGAACAGGCACGTTTGAAAAAAGAAGAAGAAGATCGAAAACAAAAAGAGGAAGCTGAGAAGTTAAAGGAAGAACAAGAGCGTATGAAGAAAGAAAACGAAAGGTTAAAACAAAAAGAAGAAGCACGTAAGAAGGTCGAAGAGGCAAAGAAACAACAAGAAGAACAAGAACGCAAGGAGAAAGAGGAAGCTGAAAAACTGAAACAGGAAAAAGAAGCACGCAAAAAGGAAGAAGCGGCTAAAAAACAAAAAGAAGAAGAGGATCGAAAGCAGAAAGAAAAAGAGGAAGCTGAAAAAGTGAAACAGGAAGAAGCACGCAAAAAGGAGGAAGTAGCTAAAAAGCAAAAAGAAGAAGAAGATCGAAAGCAGAAAGAAGAGCAGGAACGCAAGAAGAAAGAGGAAGCTGAAAAGCTAAAACTGGAAGAAGAAGCACGCAAAAAGGAGGAAGTAGCTAAAAAGCAAAAAGAAGAAGAAGAACTCAAAAAAAAAGAAGAAGCTGAGAAACTGAAACAGGAAGAAGCGGCTAAAAAACAAAAAGAAGAGGAAGAACGCAAGAAGAACGAGGAAGCTGAAAAAATAAAACAGGAAGAAGCACGCAAAAAGGAGGAAGTAGCTAAGAAGCAAAAAGAAGAAGAAGAACGCAAGAAAAAAGAGGAGGCTGAAAAAGTAAAACAGGAAGAAGCGGCTAAAAAACAAAAAGAAGAGGAAGACCGAAAGCAGAAAGAAGAACAAGAACGCAAAAAGAAGGAAGAAACAAAAAAACTGAAAGAAGAAGAAGCCCGGAAGCAAGAGGAGGAGGCTAAAAGACTAAAAGAAGAACAAGATCGAAAGAAGAAGGAAGAGGTTAGGAAAAAGGAGGAAGAAGACTCGCGTAAGAAGGAAGAAGAGTCTAGAAAATTAAGAGAAGAAGAAGAAAGGAAGATGAAATTAAAGCATGAGGAAGAAGAACGCAGGAAAGCTGAAGAAGAAGAGAAACTGAAACAAGTGAAAGAGAAATTGCAGAAAGCTGAGTCGGATACTTTGAAACAAAAGGCTGAGGAATTGCAAATGAGGAAAGACAAGCGGAAATTGCAACAAGAAGAGGAGGAACGTAAGGAGAAGGAGGAAATTGAGAAACGGAAGCAAGAACAAGAGCAAAGGAAGAAAGAAAGAGAGGAACGCACGAAGAAAGAGGAAGAAGAACGAAATAAACGAGAGGAAGAGGAACGAAAACGGAAAGAGGAAAGAGCAAGATTAAGAAAGGAAGAAGAGGATCGTAGAAAAGCTGAGAACGAAGAAAGGCTGAGAAAGGAGCAGGAGAAAGAAGAACAAAGACGAGAAGAGAGCAAGCGTCGCAGAGTGGAACAAGAGAAACAGATCAGACAGGAAGCTGAAAAGATAAGAAAAGCTGAGGAAGAACGATTGAAAAACGAGGAGGAAATTCGAGAGCGCAGAAGGAAAGAGCGAGAATTGAGGAGACGAGAAGAGGAAGAAAAAATGCTGAGAGAAGAAGCGGAAAGGACAAAGTGGGAAGAAGAACGCAGAAGGAGGAGAAACGAAGCCGAACGACAATGGAAGGAAGACGAAGAGGCTATGAGAAGAAAGGAAACTGAACGTCTAGAAAGGAGGAGGGCCAAAGACCGTCAAAATAAAGAAGAAACAGAACGTTTGAGAAGGGAGGATGAAGAGAGGAGGCATCAAAGAGACGCGGACAGGCAAATGAGGAGAGAAGAAGCGGCCAAAGCGTTGAAGGAAGAAGAAGAACGCTTGAGAAGACGACAGGAAGATGAGACGTCTAGACTTCGAAGGCGAAGACAAGAGCAAATGAGGGACGACAGTTGGTCTCGAATGCGACAGACCGAGTCTGATCAACTGTTGAGAAAAATGACGGAAGACACGCTCAGAATTGGACGACCCACCTCCACGGGTATCTCCTCCGACGTAGAGTTTTGGAGAGACAGACGTGATAAATCTTACCGATACGATTCTGGCTTCGAGTCTGCTCTATCCAGTACTTCCAGGTCGTACAGTTGGAGAGATTCTTTGACGACTTTGACCAAAAGGAGAATCGACGATTTCCTCGATTATAAATTGAAAGATACTTCGATCGACAGATATTACTTCGACGCTGGCTCGTACTATCGAAGAAGAAGAAAAAGGGACGACCAAATTACTCGAGCGAGATCGATCAGTTTATTAAAATATGACGATTACTCGACCGGCGATAGCGACACGACTATTACAGCTGCCAGTTCTACGAGACTATCACGGTACAGCAGACCACAGACGACGTCTCGAACCGACCTCGATTTTTATCTACCTCCTATTAAAAGCGAGGTAACGTTTTATCTTTTATAGCAGTTATACCTTTTAGGAACACCTTATTAAAATTGCATATTTTATTTGCAGATTATACCGCGCGAAAAGGGAAAGAAACCATCGTTCTGCACAAGACTGACCAACAGAACCGTAGGGGTTGGTATGAGAACAAGATTAACCTGCACGGTACTTGGACACCCGGAACCACGAGTTTACTGGACCAAAGATGGCGAGAAACTCGACATAAGCTCAAACCGATATCGAACTCGGTTTGACAACGGTATGGCTTATTTCGAACTGCATGAAGCCCTCCCCGAAGATTCCGGACTGTACACCTGTGTTGCCGAGAATGTTCATGGGATTGCAACCACCGAATCCACCTTAAAAATTTATCCCGATTTCCAACCAACACTCTCACCCCCCACCTTTACAAGATCTATTAAAGGTAAGTACTCGAAGAATCCAACAACTAGAAAATATTTTACTTTTAGATGTAATATTACCGACAAGGGTAGCTTCCCCTTGTGAGCAACGTCATGTCTTTATTTGTATCGTTACTACTTCCACTTGTCTCGTAACTGTGAGGAAAATCCGAAACTAAATGTGAATATTAATTTACACGTCTGGTCCCCTCCAATATCTACAGCTAATATTTTCCAGAGGATCACTCTACTATTATTCAAAAAGAGTATATTAAAATCGAAGTCTGTTACTTGTTCAGACACCTATCGACATTCGGACAACGAATTGATCTTGGAATGTCGAGTACGTGGCCATCCTACTCCGATTATCTCTTGGTTGAAAGATGGTCTGGTCCTCCAAGGCGATCGTTACAAGCATAGTTACCTAGACGATGGGATCTATCGATTGGAGATCGCTGCACCGAATTCCTCGGACAGCGGCCGGTACGCGTGCAGAGCAATGAACGATATGCGCACCGAAGAAATAGCCCACGTTGTTCAATTTGACGGTAACATTTACACTTTCAATCATATTACATTTTTAAAATATTCGAGTTTCCATTAAAAAACATTTTCTTTAAAGAACAAGTTCGACGAATGGCTGGCAAACACGGGAGAATGTTCGACGACTACTTCAGCACCGAGGCTTCCAAGAGACCTCATTTCTCCAGTTTCTTGAACGATCACAGAGTGCCCACCGGTGGCACTGTTGCTCTTCAAGTCGAAGTCAAAGGTATTAAACAACTTGGTCGACGACTAACTGACTCGAACAATTTTAAAATTGATTGGAATTTAAAATGAACGTAGGCATGCCCACACCGGAAGTAAGATGGTTCCGCGGTGAAAGAAGGGAGCCAGTCACTATTCCCAAAGCGAAGACTTTCACAGAATCCGGTGTTCACACTTTGATCGTGCCGGAAGTTACGGAATCCGAGAGAGGCACGTACATTTGCAGAGCAATTAACGCTTATGGACACGTGGACAGCATGGCCACGATTGACGTAATATCCCCGAGTGCGATCGACGATGGAAAACCAGCCATGTTCGCCTCGAGACCCGCGGAAAAATCGATGACCGTTGTTGCTGGCGAAGATGTCAGCGTGTCATTTAGGTTTTCTGGAGTTCCCAAACCTCGAGGTAAGATGCTACTGCTAGATTTCTCGTGCTCGTTTTCAGAATCGATTATTGTGCAAAGTAACTTCATTCTTTGTCACTCGAATATACTATTCTTGTTTCATTCTCATCCAAATTCCGAATTACGTTTACTATCCCCAATCTTTTGTTGTTCTCCAGTGACCTGGATGAAAGGTTTAAGAGACATCACCAATGGACCTCGATCTCACAAAGAAGTCATCGACGATTACGTTCGGTTGACTTTGAAAAGAGTTATACCCGAGGACGAGGGCACCTATTGTATACTTGTCAAAAACAGACATGGCTGCGACAGAAGTTTCTTCTCTATTAAGGTGAGTCGAGGTTTTATTCCTTCTTATTGTAAAATAACTAAAAATTTATTTATTTTTGCTGCTATTAAATGTAGAGGACGATAAAGAAATTCTTTCAACACTTTTGGCGAAAGAAAAAAGCAAAAGCATGATTAAGTAAAAAACAAGTAGATGTTATTTTAAGTTCTAAATTTCATTGATAACTATTACGTGTCCACTGAATTCTTTTTACAGGTGAAACAACGCGCCAGGTCACTGACACCTGACTGGAGTACCTTGAGCAACCGTACCGAAACCGGAAGTCTTCTAGGTCTGTCGAGTGAAAGTCGCGACGACGAAATGTCCTACGTGAAGAGTAAGTACACTTTTAATTAAGACTGACGTGTCCGTTGAATCGAACAATGGAATTTTTCGCGATTGGCTCTTTTCACGGTCAGAGAAGGTAACGAGCTATTCCAATCCGGAATGACAATGCAAGTGTCAGACGTTGCTAATTAAGTAGACTAATTATAATCAAGCGATTATAATTAGACATCACAGTCCGGCGACAGTGACTGTAGCTTCATCGTACACTTGGCCCAGCTTTTAATGGCAGAAATCCAAATAAACCCTGGACTCAACCGACGCTTGAAATGACGTCAATATTTGGACTAATCAGCATACCGCGCTAACATTTCTTAAGTATCCGCAAACAAAAGTCTGTACACATTATTTTTCACAATATATCAGATTTTATTTTAATGGAGCGTCTAACCATGTTGGTTTTCTAATTAAATACTCCTGTTGACGAAATATAATATTCTTTTCGACAATGCAACAGACTTAAATATTTGTTAGTTATTTTATGAAATGACTTACCATAATTGTTAGTAAAGGGGAGGAATTTCTGTAACATAAAAATCTAGTAAACATTAGAAGCAGGCATGAAATTAAAAAAAAAAAAATGGTGGTTGCAAGATCTCGAATAAATGTAATTCGAACGATAGTATCGTGATTCTGTCGACTGAAATGACGGACGTATACGTTTCCAGTTTACTGAATTCGAAGCTGAAGCAGTGCCAAATGTGACAGTTCCTTGACCAAGCCACCACGCGCTTTAAAATATAGCACGGTACAGTGGACTAGCTGCGAACGAAACAAACGTAATCTATTACACATACACGGAAAGAAAAGAATTCCGTGACATGATTAACTACCTACACCGAGCAAAATCACAGACGTTGGAAGGGCATCGAGATTCTGAAATTAGAATCAAAGGTCCCGCGGTCTGTTGTGAATTAATCTTGCGCAACCGTCTCGTCACTTGAACTTGAGCATTGTGTAAATCTTTTAAACTCGACGGCGATAATTCAGCGATAAAAATTTCACGGCACGATTCAACGCCGAAATTTCTCCGGATTTATGCACAATAGAAATAAACAGAGGAAACTGTGAGAGCATATGGTTCCATCCAAGTAGGCCGTACGATAAATAAACCTCGCTCGTGGTACGGAATTTGTAATTTTAGAGAGCCCGTAAACTTTGAAATACTCGCTGAAAACTGGAATCCCAATATTACCGAAAGTTTGCTCGAGAAACGCTAATGTTATTTAACGCGATAGAACATTGTAAACAGAGTGGTGGCTACTAAATTGTCAGCAATGTCATCGTCTGTTACTCGCTATTGCCAAGAGGTTTCCGCAGCCAATGACAAATCGCAACAACACCGTTGTCAAATGTAACAAGAGCAGAATTGTGGGTGATACGTGTTCCATTGATTCGAAAGCAATCAGTGGAAATAGGTGACACAATTCCACAAGGTGGTTCTCGCGTTACGACAGATAAACCTGCAAACGACACCACCTACATGCGTTTCACGGCTCGTGGAACACCTCCCGTTGGGTTATTTTCGTTTGCCTTGCTTATTCGTCTCCCTCCAACATCCATCTGTGTTCACAAATTCAAAATTCAGTCGGCGTCGGGACGCGAGTCATTTCGTATGCCCTACTTTTTTTCGAGCCTTGGCCAACCAGCAAAAAAAAAAAAAACACCTTGACATTTTCGATTTCACTCGAGAAACGTAAGAATTTCGCGAACGAAGATGGTGCTGTTTCACCACCGAACTCGGCCAATTAAGTAAAAGGAATTACGGATTCCTCGAAAAGTTTACACGTGAGATGAAATCTGATTAAAAATGAAGCAACACGATCACGGAATCGTCGCGAGCAACGACGAGCACACGACGATCTCTCGTCTGAGACGCTCGTGGTCCGACAAGGATTGTTTGATCGTTGGCTTTCTAGAATATCTCTACGGGCACAGAGGTTGGCGAAAGTGAAATGATCGAATCTTCAAGATTTAATGGAAATGAGGAACCAGAATTTTTGTTTAGATGTGCCAGGACCTATCAGCAGCGAACCAGTTGTGGTCGACGGAGGGAAAAATTGGTTGTCCCTAAGTTGGGGCAAAGCGGAACGAAGAGGACCTGCGCCTGTCATCGCTTACAGAGTCGACGCCTGGTTGATGGGTAGCGACGGTGGTGCACGATGGGTTGAGGTACCATTTTAATTATTCACCCTATTCTCGAACCCAAGTAGTTTGTATCCACGAAAATAACCGAAAAATTCCATGCTCGATCTTGATTTCTTTAATCATCTGTTTACGTAACAAGTGTCGTGGCAAATGAAGCAACGTACGGAAAATTTTTATTCCACATTTTCGATTCATTTTTAAATGCAAAATCGCCTCTGTATACAAATTAAACGTACATCAACTCTGGATGTAAACTACTTACCAGCTCGATGTATCATACTTTAAATCGACGTGAATGTAAAATACACTACTAACGTTAATTTTCTTATAATCTGCCAATTTTGAAGGAACCAAGTAAGGAATATTACATTTATAATTTACGTTATTTAACGATCATCTGTGTATGGCATAGTTTGGTAGGCCCTTCTTCCCCACGTATAATTTCTTAATTTTCCTTTCTCGTTTAGCTGGGTATGACACCTATAAACGCCTACGACGCGTTCAACTTGAAACCGGGTGGCGAGTACAAGTTCCAAGTGACTCCGCGGAATCGTTACGGATGGGGCGAATCCACGACAATGACAAACACCGTAAAAGTCAGCGAGACCGTCGACCTACCGGAGTTCACAAAAATCTTGCCAGGTCAACTGAAAGTGCTCGAGGGGAGTACAGTGAAATTGGAATGCCAGGCGAGTGCAGCAAACCAAAATATAGTTACTATTAGGGATAACGAGCAAGATTTATGATGTATCGTGCATCGATAAAGACTTTGAATGAAACCTGAAGTTTACAAATTGATTCGACACATTCGCAGGTTCGCGGGGACTCGAAAGTTGACGTAAAGTGGAGCCGCGAGTCGACCGATATAGATCCGAACAACGATCCTAGATGCTTGATCTCTTATAATGGGAACAAGTGCTCCCTGACGATTGAAAACGTCCAGGACATCGACTCTGGCAGATACATTTGCGAGGCAAGCAACATGGTTGGGAAGGTTTCATCGTTTGCTAGAGTGCTCGTCGTCAATGATCCGAAGATCATCGAAGCCGATGCTAAACTTAGGTCAAGGTACGTGTAATTGATTTATTTATTGATCACGTGTATTACGATTATGTCAAATACATGGAATCGTCTACCTTTCGCTAAAAAAAGTAATCTATAGTTTTACATTGTATTGGTAAAACCAATCGGGCAATGCAACAAGAAACATCATCAGTCTTGCACTTTCTTTGTGCGAAATAAGTAATACTTGAGAATATATTCTGATCCCCAGAGCTTTGGAGGACGACTTGGAAGACAGACCACCACAATTCACTATGAGGATTCGAGACAGAAGGGTCCAGGCAACGTATCCTGTGAGATTAACTTGCCAAGTGATAGGAAACCCTACTCCAGAGGTCACGTGGTTTAAGAATGGCACCGAGATTCATCAAGACGGTAAAGAATCTTCGATACATTAACGCAATTAACAATTTATTATAAATTGCTTCCATGAATTGGAATTGATCAATTGTAGTTTAAAACCATTCTAGTTACAATTGGCAATGCAACGATTGTCTTGACATTACAATTAACAGATACAGAATTAAACTTAGAAATTAAACACTAACTACACTTTTTGTTTGAGCGACGTTGGTCCCTGGGAATCAACAGCATCAAAAAATACTACTTTACAATTTGTATAATACTAAAAAATATGTTTACACTCTTTTAATAGACTAATGCTTTTTTGATTTGTATCTTTTTAAAGATCGTCACGTATTCTGGAACAACGATTCGAGCTTTTATACCTTGGAGATCACGCACTCCACCCTGGAGGATTCTGGGTGTTACATGGTGACAGCGAGGAATGTGAACGGTTCAGTGTCCTGTCGATGTATCCTCGTCGTAGACAAGGGCATTCGTGCTTACATAGCTCCGGAATTCTTGTGCGGTCTCGACGCCGAGTACACGATCAGATTGGGTGGCGATCTACGAATGACAGCTCAGATAGAGGCGTATCCCAGCGTCGGTGTCGTATGGTAACGTTATCTATTTAATAAACCCAACGAAATAATTTAATAACAACTTTAAAAGACTATTGACATCGAGGTATGGCTATTGATTGTTCAGGCATCGAGATGGAATTCGTCTTCGTCCAAGCAGAAGAACAGTGATGACCTTAAATCACGATGGCGCCGTTGAACTGTCCTTAGCCAAGGTCACTGACAGAGATAGCGGCCTTTATACTTGTACAGCTACGAACGAGGTCGGCCATGCTGAAACATCTGGAAGGGTAGCAGTTATTGGTACCGAGATTCAGGACGACCAAGTGTCGTCTCTCGAAGGAGTACCAACTGTAACAGTCGCAACGTCAGATATACCGTAAGCATCAATAAATCGTCGTTTTGTAAACTTGTATTTCATTCTTACAAAATGAACTTTTTCTATCTGTACGTGGTCACATGTTTACATCATATAATAAATACATAAATGAATAATTATCACTGGTAACTAAGTTCAACGAATGTAAGATAATTTTCTTTTTTGTATAAAAACTTGTAGGTATTCAAAAGAGCCTCTCTTCATCACGAAACCTTTATCCACCGAAGCGCTCGAGGGAGACACTGTCATCATCTCCTGCGAAGTGGTCGGTGATCCCAAACCGGAAGTAATGTGGCTGCGCGACTTTCTCAAGGTAACGTGCATTTCTTCAATTCAGATTCGGATCGAAATCCGCCGTTCGAGAGTTAAACTGATTTTAACAAGGCAGGTGGAAAATAATCACAATTATACGCGTATAAGTAATCGATCGAGTACTTGTGAGAACGCGTGAGAAACCATGAGAGTCTGGCGCTTAAACTATTCGATCTGTTTACCGATGGTCGTTAATTTGTCATCGTTGGAAAGGAAAACCGTATAAGCCAGAAACGAAGCGTTTCTTTGATTGTATGGACTTAGCGGGTGGATGATGGCGGATGGAACAAGAAAAAGAAAGGAAATGTTGCGCAATCGGTGAATTGACGTGTCCCTAATGCCGTTCTGATCCATGATGTGGGTCAAGGTGATTGCGAAAAAGAAATGACAACGTAACATACCGGATTATGCCCGTAAATGGGCCACGCATTATATGCGTCGGGGAAACGGCATTGATATTGGACGGCTCTTTAAAAGGTAACCGTAAGTTACGTGAGGTTAGACACCCGAAGCCAGGAGAAAGAGAGAAATTTATTGCTCGAGCAGGAGGAAGGTCTTTCCGACAGTGAATGCGTTTCGCGAGTCTGACCACCGAACGGATACGACTACTAGACTTCTAGTTCCGTTCCACAGAGTGGAAAAACGTCCAAACCCCGGACAAAATATGAAGGCAACAATTTAACCTCTTCACGCCCTTGACCACATATGTGGACGTTTAGTTTTTTGTTTTTATAATTATAGTTACTTATAGTTGCTTAAAAAAGCACATTACTAACCCGTTACAAGAGACGTACAATATTTGTTTTAAGAATATTATTACAGATGCGCGAAATTCTATTCCATTCACGTTTGTATCGATACTCATACGTACAAACCTTTCCGAGTTTATTCCGACGGTGCCGCGCGCAAAACGGTGCGCACTGAATACTAATCAGTGGTAATTTTAAGTATGTTGACGTCATACCAATGATAGATCTTAATACGTCCATTCGACGTTCAAAAAACAAGCGCAGTGGTCGACCAAATGAACTGACCACACCGGAAATGGTGAAGAAAATTGCGTGAGCTTGCAGACATGGTAGACATTTCAAAAAGTGCTGTACAACGCATTTGCTCGCAATAGAACAAAAACAGCATCGTGAGGATGTTTCGATAGAGTGTTTGGCAACGTTTCACAGAAATAAAGCCGAGTTTTTGTCATGGAATGTATATAGAATGTCCCTTTAAATTTGCCTGTAGAGACGTATTAATGTCAAGTCGTAAAGAGAACCGGAAGTAATCGGTGACCGGAAAAATGTGTGTATATGGTATCCGCGTCACTCGCGAGGATATCTGCATTATCGAAAAGAGTAGACAGTTCGAGTGTCTCCCCACTTTTCCTCACCAAGTCGGCTTTCTTCGTCGATGGATCGGTAGTGCGAAAGGACGAGCGGCAAAACAGTCGTCGCGTGTCTTTGGCGAACGAAATACCACTCTGTCCCCCAACCGACCTCCTTCACGATCCTCAGTATTTACAGTCGGACAGTAACATGGATATTTCCTATTCCGGCCAATACGAATATTCATTGGAAACCTCCTGACTAAACCAGTGATTTACTTCGGTTATTCAATAGCTGACCACCCTATTTTCCAACCGGATTTATATTCGATGTTGGATCTCGAAATGTAAGTAAAACACTAGTTTCACATTCCTTTTTAACGTTTTCACAAGACGAGTCTTAAAAATAACTAGTCAGTGCAAATAGACTAGTAAGTTTCCTGGTTTTCACGATACTAATAATTTTTTAATAATTTACGAGCATTAGTTTTGTTCGTTATAATCAAATTTGTTTCTGAATTTTCAGAGAAAAATATCGGAATAAAAGAGACCACTTTTGTTTTATTTTTAATCTGACTTTTTAATACCGATTATTGAAATAAATATTAGAATTTCCCCCATTTATTTAAAACAATAGTGCTATTTTACAAATAATAATAATTTAATTTAGCTTATATATTACTTGTACATATAATTACGTTAAATGTATTTCTTCCGTATTTGTACACGCGACGTTCGAGTCACTTTACCAAATCATCAAACGAGACTCGAGTCGATATTTGAGATGATCTACGAAGATCTAACGCAGCTTGTTAGGGCATCCATCGAACCAATCGATAGTTACGCGTTAATGTCAACACCAGTTCGTCGTGATGTTGGCCGAGTCAGAGTTTCCTTTCCCATTCTTTCCTGTAAATCAAAAGAGACGCGACGCGTCGCGACAGCAAACATATATAGTCGGCCAACCTGCCAAATACGTACAAGTTCGTTTTCAACGCAGCTGCAACTGCTAAATGAGGAAAAATGCGCACTGATTTCACGCTGGATACGATCGATCGCCGATCGAAAAATCTTTATCGTTTAGATGCAGTTCCCTCGATTTTGCTTCCTGTTTATTCCGATCAGCGGAATCCGGCTCCGGATTAAATTTAAATTATACGTTGAAATGATTCGAGAGAGCGTAATAATTATAAAATATAGTAACCAATTTATTTGTTATTTAATATTCATATTTATCACGTTTCCACAATTCTTACCGAATAATGGAACATCCAAATCATTTAATAACAGTCAATTATCCGTTGTCCAATCCATCTGAAAGGCATATAAAAATATAGTTGCTCGACTGCTTGCGTTGGAAGGATTCTTTTCTTGTGTCGGCAATCTGTTCGACACGGGTAAATATAGATCGATATACGATGACATTGCGAGAAGTCCTTGCGGGAGCCAGGTTTGCTTCGATTTGTCGCGCCTCTCTTCCGTAACGGGAAGTGTCGTCCGCATAAATTTCATCGTAGGCGAACAGTACTGTGACAGGTGAAAGATAGATGGGTCTCAGAAGGTCCATTATGTCACGATTCGACTTTGAGCGTTCGAGATCGTAAAAACTTAATTCGCCGCGTCTACTGCGACAAGTTCAATCTTCATCCGAGTCGCATAGTTTGCACAAACTACGAGTATCGGATTATTTTTTTAAATCAAGGATAACGTTTGATACAGCTGACTAGGAAATTGTTTACTGTGCAATTAGGATCGTCGTGAACTGTCCTGTTGGATCAGATTTGCACAAACGTGCCTTTCTTCCCAATGACCTTAATTTCCGAGGATATAACGAAGGCGTGTCCGGCAGAGGGACGTGCAATTAAGTAATGAAAAACGGTAATATGCGTTGGCACTCGTGTCATACGAACAACGAGATCAGTCTGAAGCGATCTGTTCAACTTTCGCTCCCTATATGGACTAGAGTCCGGACGAAGACGTTTCTCATCTCACTTTTATCACTGTCCTTACTTCTCTCTCACACACTCACTCACTCTCTCTCTCCCTGGAATGCCTCGAGTTCGAACCCTTTGACCACTTTGAAAAGATCACCGATCATCGATTACTCCTTGTGCTGATGAAAGATGGCTAATGCACTTTGATAACAGCTATGAAATGCGCTCAAGGTCCAGGGATCCTAACTGTTCCTAACTAATTCATATTTTTATTAATAGTTTGATATTAAATATTTTTTACAGCCTGATTACTACCGGGACGCAGCCCACTTCCGGCTGGTCGGGCAAGGACCTCAGTACCGATTGGAAATACCCTACGCAAAACTCGATTTTACGGGAACGTACTCCGTGATAGCGCGCAACTGCCATGGGGAGGCTAAGGCCGTGATTTCTTTACAGATCTACGCTAAAGGTAATACTTAGCGTCGAAGAGAAACGAGTATGCGTTCGACGGTTTGATTAAACGAAGGAACAATTATGCTTTCAGGTCAAGGCAAAGAGGACAAGATGAAGAAATCAGGGTTCACGCACGGGTAAGCCAGATTAGAGCATCCCTCTTTGACGAGTTTGCAATTTACGGAACAACGGCGTGCTTTCGTTCGGTCGAACGGTTGTTATTCTGAATTTTTATTGACAGGAAGGTGCTGACTTTACCGGAGATTGCAAGAGAACTGCGAGACCTGAGATGCTGCGATGGAGATGCTGTTACCCTCGAGTGCAAAGTTCGCGCCACGCCGGAGGCACCTTTGGTGCGCTGGGAACGTGGAGGAAAGGTAGAAATTATACCAAAATGCTTGTCTAACATCTTTAACGCTACAACTACCGACACTTATGATGATGTGCGTTCATTTTGACACAAAATTGCGTACACTCTATCCCCTCGTCTCCAGAAACAGTCCACTCTCCATTTTCTATTCGCACGTTTTTGATCTCAGATTCTTTCGATGGGCGAGGACTTTTCTGCGGAATTCGACGGAGAAACAGCGCGTCTAATTATCCAGCACGTGTATCCAGAAGACGAGGGCGAATATACCTGCGTGGCTTACAACGACCTTGGAAAAGCATTCACGTCAGCCTGTCTAATAGTGGATGGTAGGTTTCCATGGAAATTATAGCTGCCTGATAAGGCGTTGAAAATATTTCATTTTAAATCAATTTTCTATTGTAAAGTACCTGAAGGGAAAGAAAACCTTTTGAGCCAAAGATTGTCGAGGCCTCTGGGTCTACTGTCAGCAGGATCGACGCCAAGATCGACGCCTCGCTCGACGCCAATTAGAAGCTTATCTCCGGCAGTTTCGCGTAAGTATTTCATTTATAATGTTTCATTTTTTTCCAGAAAGTTAAGAATCGTTAAACATGGTCTATCAAGTTCAATTTGGTTTGGGTGCACTTTTACTAAATAATTTTTAGTTTAAATTGTACATTTTTTATTTTACTAAATGAATAAAATTCCAAAAAAGATACCAATATTTTATTGAAACTATTAAGGTACCACTGTTATATGAATGACCGAAAGAGTATCTTCCAATAACTGCATTTGTTTATCAAATAGACAACCAGTAGAACTAACGTTAAACTGCTAAAAACGAACGTTTCACAGATGGTCGAGAACTGCGGTCTCCGCAGCTTCTGCCGCGAAGCAGGTCGATGTTAAGACGGCCAAAAATTAGTCCACCAAAATTTTACGCGGTTCCACACAATCGAGTGGTCGAAGAAGGCGAAACCGTGCGTTTCCAATGCGCAGTGGTCGGTCATCCAACACCGTGGGTGAAATGGGACAAAAATGGCACTGCCGTTACGCCAACAGCGAGGATCTCCGTAAAGGAAAGGGACGACGTGAAAATATTGGAAATTGTCGAAGTCACTCAAGAAGATGCAGGATTATACAGGGTGACCGTGGAGAACGACTATGGTCGTATCGAAGCCAGTGCTCGTCTGGAAATAATAAGTACGGCAATATTTCATCAAATCTAATCTATAACAACTTAAGATGAAAATGTAATATCACTCATTCTATTTAACCAGTATTTAAAGTATTTCTTTGAAATTGAGTGTATTTGTTTTATATTATCTAGCTTATTCATCTACATAGACGAATATAACTAACTGCAAACTGTCTAACTAACTGCAAACTAACTATCTAACTGGCAAACTAACTAATTAACTGCAAACTAACTAAATAACGAATATAATAGAAGAATATAATTCTATGTGATATCAATTTAATTTAAAAATTAACAACTACCAAAGCTGAGTTATTAGAATTCTCGATATGATTTTACGTGAAAAGATCATCAATTGCTTGGACCGGTGTCTCGAACCATCAGAACCCGAAGCGCGTCGCCTAGAACCTACCCATCTTTCGGTCGAAGCCTTCTGGACACAACTACCAGAGTAAATGGACGATTGCAACTTGCTTGCGGCATTAGGGGAACGCCCAGTCCAACGCCAACTTGGTTCAGGTAAAATACAAACAATCCACGAATGTTTCAACAACGTCTGCTTCGATACCTAATTCGACTTCTCATCTTCTCAGAATGTTTCTAACGTTTCTATCAACGAACAATTTTTTCCATGAAACTGAGAATATTACTGAGATTATTATCGAATGCAACAGGGAAAAAATACTGTTATTTGTCAAAATTAAAAAAAAAACTGGTTTCAAATATTATATTTGTCAAATTATATTCTTTAAGAAAATACAATTTTTTCAATGGTTCGCTAGAATAGCCCCTTGAATTTTTCAGAAATGGACGCCCATTGGAACGATCGAGCCGAATAAAAAGGTATTTCGATGGCAAAATTGCGAAAATTGAAATTTCAAAAGTGAAAGCGAGCGACGCGGGCGAATACAGCTGTGTGGCGATGAACGTGCTTGGTTCCTCGAAGAATACATGTCGGGTAAACATCCTATAAACCTGGTTAACGAGAACTGGCAGCAAATATAAACAGATGTGATCAGACCAGGGTCTAAACATAATATTCAAATCCCTACATTAGTAGGAAAGGAGCAAATTCTCTATACAAAATGTGCTCATTCTTGTGGCCCGATAGAATATAAAATTTAATTTATTCAGGCCTAATACACCATAGAGCGAAATTACATAGATAGTGAAGAAGGGATATTTTATAAATATCTATTCTCAATAATAATATGATATTATTAATATTATTATATAATAATGTAAATAAAGAGGGAAATGAAGGTACAAATGTTGAACGCATTTTCTCCAGTTTTCAACCGTACCATATTCTAATGACTCGTGAAATAAATTTTTTACATCCGCAAATCTGAACGTTGTATTATTTGCTGCAATGTAACGTTTACCTGTGACCAAATCATCGACGATTGCATTTAACGCGTCATGCGAGGGCCCTTCTCAGGGGCCACTGAAAAACGTCCTTAAACAGCGACATTTAGTAGTGTTTTTGTTTATATTTCCTGCCAATTCTCGTGAAACCGAGTATAGTTACCTGTTTCTCGATCGACGTAAAATTCTCTCGATTTTATTTCGTGTAATTACTTCTCCGTCGCAGGTGACCGTTCTCGACTCTCATGATCCGTCTACGTGCGACAAGGATCCACCAAGGTTCCTGCAGCCGCTTCCGGGAGAATCGATCGTCATGGAAGGACATTGTTACGAGCTTCAAACGAGATTGACAGGTACCGTTAAGACAAGAATAATTTTTGAAATAGCATCGCACAAACAAAAAAAGTTTCATAGTTACGTCCTTAAAATTCTTGAAAATTGGCTTTATTTTCAGCCATCACAGTGGTTTCCCCCCTTAAATTCAGTATTAAATGAAATGGTAGAATATTCCAACCGCATTCACGAGAAAATTATATTCAATGGAAAACAACGAAATCGTATTTTTTAGGTGTTCCACCCTTCACAATCATTTGGTTAAAAGACGGTCGTGAAGTGACTGACAACGATTACTACAACTATGTCATATATGGCGATGGTGGAATCGCTCTCAGGTTATCCAATGTTTCTCCACAAGATGCTGGGGAGTACACTTGTCTCGTTCGAAATAATTTCGGAGAAGCGTCCTGCAATGGTCTTTTTGCTGTGCAAGGTACGCGTTTTTCCAAAGAAATACCATTTTCAATAATGGTTCTTAAAATGAAAAACTCATTATTATATTTAAACACATTTATTTCTAATTTTAACAATGAAAGTACATATTTCTACACTTGTTCCCTCACAACGCCTCAAAGACCATTCTAAAACTAATCAATTATTCATAGAAAGCCATTCTCAATCACCGATTTTTATGACCTTTAACGTAATTAGAGAGTACTAATAATATTCCACGCGTATTGAATAAATAAATAAATACATTTTGTTCTGAAAACAGATTACAAAGGCGTTCCAAAACTGGCGCCGCAGTTTACCAAAACTCCTCTGTCCGTTATTACGTCAAAAGGTGAAACTGCGTGTTTCTGCGCCCGAGTACAGTGCGGAAAACCCGTGGAAATCACGTGGACGATCAATGGAAAGGACGTCAAAGAAAATCCTAGGTGTAAGGTACGTTAAAAGGGTTAACGAAATTATTTCATTTGACATGGAAAGTATTTCTCATTGATTTCAAAACAAAAGCCAATAAAAGAACCCTAAAAACAAAGAAGAAACCTAAAGTTCCTTTTACCAACTTGTGTGTGAAATAATAATAGTCTGTATCTCACGACAGGTTGAAAAGGATGATAACGTCAGCATCCTGAAGATACAAAACGTGTCATCGCGAGACGTTGGTGAAGTTCGATGCACAGCATCTGTGGTCGGTAAGAGTCTGTCGATCAGCTGTACGGCAGAATTGCGATTAAGTCGATCGTTGTGCAATTTCGAAAAGTCCACGTACGATAAGGCGCGCACCGAAATTCGAAACAAAATGAACGCCAATTGCGGTAGCAGCAACTTGGTAAGAAAGGCGGGAAAAGGCGTTCCCTCGCCACGACACGAACGATACGAGTCACCTATGCGCATCAGATCGTCTTCGTTGCCTTTGAGGAACACGCGAAATGTTAAACAATCGTCTCCCATGCCGTCAAGAAGAATCGTCCCACCGAGTCCCTTGCTCGACACGAGAAAACCAGTCGAAATTAAAACGAATAGAAGAAAAGATCTGGGTTACAAGATGGCGAAGCGTAACGTCGCGAGATCGAACGATCAAAGGATTTCGTCGTCTTCGGACGAGGAAGGAATTGATCGTACTTCTGGACGAGTATCGTCTGCGGAGGTGTCGAACGAAACGAGCCCGAAATTAAAGACGAATAGAGAAGAATCTGCAAAGAGTCCGGCATCGGTGGATTCTGATTTCCGCGAGACTAAAAACGATACGAAACGAACTCAGGATAACTCTAACGTGCACGATGATGTGCCTATAATGAGCGCGGAGTATGATCCGGTCACGGAAAAACCGGACGAGTCTTCCACTTTGAAGGGGAGCGGTCAAAACGAAACGAAAGAGGAGAATATTAAAGTTGCGTCGGAGGAATTTGTACCCGCCACCATTTTGAAGGTCCCAGATGACGTGACAGTGTTCAGAGGAAACAGAGTGGTGCTCAGAGCGACGTATCGAGGATATCCGGAACCACGTGTCAAATGGCTTCGCGCGGTATGTATTATAGACAAACCATCTTGCTTGCTTTCGAGCACAATATGGCGTCACTAGTTTTTTTTCTATGTGATGGTGTTAAGGAGATATGGGGGTCAACTTCTTTAAATTACAACTTATTATTTAATCAATAAAATGTACCTAACAAAACTAACGAAAGACACGATTCTACCAAAGGGTCGAGAGCTCGCTGCAAACAAAAAGACTGCGATCACCTATGGCGGTGGTATGTCCTGTTTAATATCGGACGATGTTACTGCTGATAACGCTGGAAAGTACGAAGTTTCGGTGGACAACAAATTCGGAAAAGACCGACGGTGCTTCAGCGTTGCTGTCGAAGGTACCCCAGAAAATACTACTGCTAGTAATTTCAATTACTTTTCGTCGATGGCAGATCATCATAGGAATTTAATTGACCTCGTTGATCAGGCCCACCTGACCCACCAGCGGGTGTTCCCAGCGTGTGCTGTTCGATAGATGCGATCACCATCAATTGGAGATCGTCACCTTACGATGGAGGTTGCGCGGTCACTGGCTACACCGTTGAAATGAACCACCTGGGCGAAACTTCCTGGACAACGGTGGCGGAGTCCTGTCACTCGCTGAGTCACACGGTACCAACTTCTGAAACGCACACCCTGCTACCCGATCAAAGATATCGATTTCGCGTTCGAGCGGAGAACATCCACGGGGTCAGTGAACCGGGAAACGAATCGGAATACGTCAGAATATCCGAGGCAGATGAGACGTCACTCGACGATGCCGAGGAAGGTGAGTACCCAGAGCGAATAGGTGTAACCAACACGAGGCCATTTTAATCGAAACATTATTTGAACAGATTTCAAACCACCTTTCGAAGCCAGAGTGGTGGAGATGGAAGACGGACAACTGTTCGCCGATCGGTACGACGTCTTCGAGGAACTTGGAAAAGGTCAATACGGTACGGTGAAGAGGGTCGTTGAAAAGTCCTCAGGAATCAGTTTCGCCGCCAAGTTTGTTAGGACTATAAAAGCTAAGGATCGCGAGCAAGTGCGGGAAGAGATTCGTATTATGAACATGCTGCGACACCCGAAGCTTCTTCTCCTGGCCGCCGCTTACGAGAGTCCTCGGGACATCGTTATGATCACGGAATAGTGAGCAATCATATGAGCTAAATATTTCGGTACGAATGTTCAAACAGTCCGTTATTTACAGTTTGTTGCGGTTCGCTGTTTCAGTATCTCCGGCGACGAATTGTTCGAGAGGGTCGTTGCTGATGATTTTACACTCACCGAGAGGGACAGCATACTCTTCATGAGGCAGATTTGCGAGGGTGTCGAGTACATGCACCAAAACAATGTGGTCCACTTGGATTTAAAGGTAACAATTAATTGACGGAAAATAGATTCCAGTTCGCCTCTTGAAACTTCTAAACGTTACATCTATCGCGTTTTATACTGTTGTGTGGCACAGTGTAGCTCTGTTAATTGGCGCCTCGTTGGTTTTACAGCCGGAAAATATAATGTGCAGAACACGAACTTCCCATCAGATCAAGCTGATCGACTTTGGCCTCGCTCAGGTTCTGAAACCGGGCACTCCGGTCAGAGTCCTGCTGGGTACGCCAGAGTTCATTCCGCCTGAAATCATAAGCTACGAACCGATCGGCACCGAATCGGACATGTGGAGCGTCGGTGTAATTTGCTACGTTCTGTAGGTATATCAATCGTTTGATTTCGTTCAAGGAAGACTTACTAAACGGTTAATGTGATCTCAATCGCCAGATTGACCGGTTTGTCACCATTTATGGGCGACAGCAACGTCGAAACTTACGCGAACATCATTCGAGTCGATTACGACTTGGAGGACGAGGCATTCGACGCGATATCGAACGACGCTAAGGATTTCATTAGCGGTTTACTCATCAAACGAAAGGAGTACGTTTACGAACCACTGATATAAAGATAACGTAGATTACTTGCGTCGGTGTACCTTAGTCTATTAGGACGTTCACTGTTTCATAGATTGCGAATGTCCGCGAGGCAGTGTTTGGAACATCCTTGGATGGCTCAACACGCAGAAGCTATGAGCAGGGTAGCTTTACCCACAGAAAAATTAAAGAAATTCATCGTACGAAGAAAATGGCAGGTAAGACGCGGTCAAATTTCGTTTATCGTATTTGCATTGGGTTGATTTTGTTTGAGAGTATTCCTTTGCTATGTTACATTATACGTATAGAGATCGTATAACAGTAATTATTCTCTGTTTGCAGTACAGTAAAATTCGTTTTAAGCAAAACTTATAAAATACATTATGTTTTAAAATATGTTTACGAGTAAAATACAACTTCTTCTATTCTTCATTAATTATCACGCAGGATTCACTTGAATGCATCAGAAGCCAGTAGTTGTTTTATTCATTCTGTTTTATTGAATCTGTGTCATTTGACACGACAAGAGTTAACACGAATTATCTCACTTTCATCAGACGCCGAGTAGAAAACTTGATTTTTCTCAATTATACAGTAATGTTAAATGCATGGTTTTTTAATCGTGTTGCGTGTGCGTGTGCTTTCGTTTGTCGTAACAGAAAACAGGAAACGCCATTCGTGCAGTGGGTAGGATGGCAATCCTTTCGGCGAACAGCAGACGGAGTAGTCCAACCGCATCGGTCGAATCATCACCCACTTCGGAACCCTCGTCGAATCTCCAAAAACCATTGATTTTAGAATCTAGATGAAAGTACCATCGTAATAATCATCGCCATCGCTAGGAGAAGTGTGTGTAATAGTCGATCCCTTGCTTGGGATCATGGTGGAGTTAAGCAAACCAACCTCCAGATACACCAAAGCGTCGAGAGACATGAAACGAAAACTCATTCATTCGCGTCGATAGTGTAGAAACCAAGGAAAAATAGAACATGGACGCTAAAGAGTTTCGAATTAATGGCCATTCGTCTTACTCGCTAAGCCAACGTTGCACCACTACTTTCCTGGTGCTAATGATTTCTTTTGTCCTACGGGTATACAGGATTTCCGATCCCATAATAGTTATCGATAGCTATAAATAGTTCGATTACTATTGATATTTCAAAATACATGTTACAGCAGAAGGACTCCATATTTCTGTTAATTCAAATCCTAAGACTTATTTATGTAAACAAAAGTGACTGGAATTAATTATTGCAAATAATTTATTTTAAGTGTTATAGTTTTGAAATGTAAAAAGGTAAAATATGTATTTACAGAAAAAAAATATAGTTCGCGTCAGTTCATAGTTTTCGTCTATGAACTGTCGGGTTAAAGTCACATTTTGTGTCAACTATCTGTGATGTCCACCAATCTGTTGTTAGTTCCACACACTAGACAGTGTCAAGAATTTCTTTTTCTTAAGTTTTACATACATATTTGTATATTTTTTTAATAAGAATCATTCCACGGTTTATAAAGAAATACATTCGACGATGAAGAAAAAGTGACGTTTCGAAGAAACGAGTGCAAATTCGCAGAAGTCTTGAAAAAGAAGAAAATCAGAACAATAACGGAAATGTTAAGGAAATGCTAAGGACGAAAGGATTCGAATACCGCAAAACTTCCGAGAAAATGGTCGAGACGCCGGAAAATGAACAGAAGTCGGCGAACGAAGCTACATACTTTCAGTGGTGTGACTAAACATTCGCGTGCAGGTAATCGGCATGAAGGTGTGTTCATTGCACAGTTTGTTTCAATAATATTTCAAGTTGATTTCCATAAATAATATGCATGAAAAGCTTTTATCGTTAGGAGAGCTTCCGACAAGGAAACTGCCGGGAAAATATCCTATTATAAAATCAGCGTTATTCTTAGGAACCTTTCCCTATTGATCGTGTAACGTCGTTCAGCATAATACCTATTCTAATATTTTTCTTTGCAGTTGCCAGCGAAATTGAGGAGCCAAGGTTGTTAATCGGTCGCGTTCGAAGTAAATTTGTTCCAACCGGAAATGTGAGTCGTACTGCGAAATTATTTCAGAAGGAGGCGACCACCACAGTGGCAACAAAGCCGAAGAACGAAAGGATACAAAAAGCTTTTGCATTCTGGAACAAGCGATCCGTACCACGAATTTAATGACATTTCAAAGTTAATCGCCGTTTCCACGAAATATCAGAATACTCAACCATTCGAATAAACTAAAGGAATCTAAAAATTCAATTTGTACAAACAATGTTTTCTAAAACTTCGACAGTTATACTCGTTACCAAGTGGCCGTCGCTTAATGGACTATTGTGCAAATTCATTAACGCGACTGTGAGATGTTGAGCAATAGAATAAGTAATCATGATTATTAAAAATACGTATTTATGTAATCAAAATCGCATGTAGTCGAAAAGGAACGTTTACGGCGACAAGTACTATTGCAAAGTACCATATCTTTGCGTTGCGATAATTTTTTCTATATTTTAATCAAAATTTCGGTACCAAGCTTCGCAACGCGAAGCAATCGAAAGCGAACAGAGTTCGATTTTTGACATTAACTTTCTGTATAGATACGTTCGATAACGCCAACGTGTTCCCTATAAAATATTTACGATTATATTGCGAGCGATAAACGCGATAGATACCATTTGTCTTTTCGATGCGTGTAAATAGCAGTCAGTAACATTTATAAGGGTAGCACAATAATAAACTATTAATTTAATTTCTTTTGCACCTTTCATTCTTTCTGGGGGCATAAAAAAATCGATTATATGTATTATTATAATTGTAAGTAATACATGAATAATAACGAAAGAAAATAAAAAATGTGTAATCTTGAAGGTTGTAATATTGCAGTTTTCGTTGCACGTCGGTCGAGAAAAAAATTCGAGTAGGTCGAAAAATTTTTCGACAAAATTAAAATATTTCAAATCGGTCTGGAATAATTATTTTTATTTGCGGGGGTCGATTTCAATCATTTTTGGTGAATAGACATATCCCCAAAATCCTACGCAGTTTCGAGAAAAAAATTCGAGAAGATGTGAAATTTTTTGACAAAATTAAAAAATTTCAAATCGTTCTGGAAAAAATATTTTCAATTGCAGGGGTCAGTTACAAGCATTTTTGATCATCAGACATATCCTCAAAATCCTAACCATTTTCGAGAAAAAAATTCGAGAAGGTGTGAAATTTTTTGACAAAATTACAAAATTTTAAATCGTTCTGGAAAAAATATTTTCAATTGCAGGGGTCAGTTACAAGCATTTTTGGTCAACAGAAGTACCACCGAAATCCTACTCAGTTCCGAGAAAAAAATTCCTTACATAAAATATAATTTCTAGCCAGAAATGTCTGCCCGAATTTTTATGCGAATCTTTAAAACGTCATAACTTCTGAACGGATTGGCCGATTTTAATGTTTCAAACGGCAGTCAACGCGTATTTTGGCACAGAATATGTAGATATACTAAAAATATTCGAAAGGTTGTTCCTTAACTCCGTAAAATGAGAAAAACCCCATAAAAATGGTCCAATTTTCAAACAGCCATAACTCCTACAATAGTGAATATATTTCCATGAAACTTTTTTCGGAAATAGAGCTCATGAATAGCTACAAAAAAGTATTAAACAACTTTTCTGTACAGTGTCAAACAAATTTATTAAAAATGAAAAACGAATTTTTAAGAAAAATCGTAGGGGGTAGGTGTCTAAATTTTTCGGCGTAATTGAAAAGTTTCAGATCGTTTAAAAAAAATTATTTTCGTTTGCGGGGCCCTATTGCCATCATTTTTGGTGAATAGACATATCCTCAAAATCCTAACCATTTTCGAGAAAAAAATTCAAGAAGGTGTGAAATTTTTTGACAAAATTAAAAAATTTCAAATCGTTCTGGAAAAATTATTTTCGGTTGCGGGGGTGAATTATAATAATTTTTGGTGAATAAACATAACCCCGAATTCCTGTGCATTTTCGAGAAAAAAATTCAGTACGGCCGGAACTTTAAACGTTAATAATTTTTTAACGAGGCTTCCATCAACAAATTAGTATTCTTGATTTTCGTCTTATTTTGGCATCTCGAATCTCCAATTAAAATTGTTAAAACAAGTGTATGTATGGCAAAACATGCGAACGCGAGCAAAGACGAGCGAACACGAGCGAACTCGAGAAGACGCGCTTTTTCTATCTCTGAGCTACCGTGTTTACGGTTTACATGTATCGGTTCAAATATTGTCCTCGTGCGAATCAGTCGCGGCATACCGAATACAATACGTTTCATAAAGCCGTTACAAATAATACAGTGTGGTTTCATTCTTTGATATCCACTGCATATAAGCCTCAACAAAAATTTTTTTCAGGGGTGGCCGAGCACTCTGTATATGTATGTATATGAATTCCAATAATTTAATACCATCTTCATATTTTATAGAAAAATAGTTGGTTCAATGTCATGTACAATTCTAAGTTACAGTCGCCATACAACAAATTCAGCTCATAATAGTTTGTTTTGACTACCGTTATATCTAACTTCTCATAATATTGTAATGTGATGCAAACATGTGATAACTGTTTCATCAGTATTCGAAATACAATACGATTAAACATGAAACATGCGAAAGAAAGCTTGTGTTGCACAGAAGGCAGTGTTTCAAAAAGATACTACACGCTAATTATAAATTATAAATATTGCTATCTGTTGGAACGAAATATAAAAAATGTTTCAGACCATAAAAGGTTAATCGTGTTTTGAAATAAGCGTCTCTATATAGGTATAGATGATGTAAAGAGTAGAAACGAGGCATTCGTTCAAACAATCTGCATAGATATAGGCCACTGGGAAATGATTAATGTTTACAGAGCTCCGAAACAAGCGGTCTTACATCACTCGTTTAAACTCTTATGTGCGCGTGGCACACCGCGAACATCTATGCTTCTTTGAGCAAAATAACTTTAATTCGTAGTATTTAAAATACTGAGTAGATTGTACCTAAGCTTGAATTTCGATGAGATAACGATTGTTCGTCTCCTGTTTAAAGCATCGAGCAATTAGTAAAGCGTTAAGAAGACGCTCAATTAATATTGAATTTTAGTTGCAAGAAATGCGGACGCGGTAATACACAGGTCGACTATAATATCTTTCGACTGCATCAACAATTAATTCCATTCTCATTAACTCTGTGGAGCCTTTTCCTGGCCGCGAACGCGATTCGGAACGAAACACCCATTGTTCCACGTGCGTAAGCGTCTGTCGCACGGTCCAGTTCCTCTTCTTATGTACAAGGCAGACGACAGTCTCACGTGACGTACGTCGCAATACTTCCTCCTTCCCGCGAGTCTTCTTCATTAGCCCCCGCCATTCGCGCCGACAGTTTTTACCCTTTCCACGAGATCGCGACAGAACGAACCAGTGCCTCAGAAGTGCGCGTGGAAACCGGTGGTTTTTGCTTATCTTGAATGACGATCAGTGTTGTCGAAACTCCTGCCTTTTCACATTCCACGCTCGTTTAATTTCTACGAAAGTTTCCAGTGCTCCGTCGAGTGATTGCAAAAAGGAAACGATCGAAACACGCTGGAAAAATGGGTAATACATTATCTATTCTCATTAATTGCTATTGACAAAAAAGATTATCATACGTAGCAGGAACTAAGATAACATTTTTTCAAGGGCAAGACTAAGAATTTAATTGACCTCGTTGATCAGGCCCACCTGACCCACCAGCGGGTGTTCCCAGCGTGTGCTGTTCGACAGATGCGATCACCATCAATTGGAGATCGTCGCCTTACGATGGAGGTTGCGCGGTCACTGGCTACACCGTTGAAATGAACCGTCTGGGCGAAAGTACCTGGACAACGCTCGCGGATTCCTGTCACTCGCTGAGTCACACGGTACCAACTTCTGGAACGGACACCCTGCTACCCGATCAAAGATATCGATTTCGCGTTCGAGCAGAGAACATCCACGGGGTCAGCGAACCGGGAAACGAATCGGAGCACGTCAGAATACCCGAGGCAGATGAGACGTTACTCGACGATGCCGAGGAAGGTGATTACCCAGAGCGAATAGGTGTAACCAACACGAGGCCATTTTAATCGAAACATTATTTGAACAGAATTTGAGCCACCTTTCGAAGCCAGAGTGGTGGAAATGGAAGACAGACGACTGTTCGACGATCGGTACGACGTCCTCGAGGATCTTGGGAAAGGTCAATACGGTACGGTGAGAAGGGTCGTCGAAAAGTCCTCAGGAATCTGTTTCGCCGCCAAGTTTGTCAGAACTATCAAGGCAAAGGATCGCGAGCAAGTGCGGGAAGAGATTCGTATTATGAACATGCTGCGACACCCGAAGCTACTTCTCCTGGCCGCTGCTTTCGAGAGTCCTCGGGAGATCGTTATGGTCACGGAATAGTGAGCAATCATATGAGCTAAATGTTTCGGTACCAATGTTCAAACAGTCCGTTATTTACAGTTTGTTGCGGTTCGCTGTTTCAGTATCTCCGGCGACGAACTGTTCGAGAGGGTCGTTGCTGATGATTTTACACTCACCGAGAGGGACAGCATACTCTTCATGAGGCAGATTTGCGAGGGTGTCGAGTACATGCACCAAAACAATGTGGTCCACTTGGATTTAAAGGTAACAATTAATTGACGGAAAATAGATTCCAGTTCGCCTCTTGAAACTTCTAAACGTTACATCTATCGCGTTTTAGACCGTTGTGTGGCACAGTGTAGCTCTGTTAATTGGTACCTCGTTGGTTTTACAGCCGGAAAATATAATGTGCAGAACACGAACTTCCCATCAGATCAAGCTGATCGACTTTGGCCTCGCTCAGGTTCTGAAACCGGGCACTCCGGTCAGAGTCCTGCTGGGTACGCCAGAGTTCATTCCGCCTGAAATCATAAGCTACGAACCGATCGGCACCGAATCGGACATGTGGAGCGTCGGTGTAATTTGCTACGTTCTGTAGGTATATCAATCGTTTGATTTCGTCCAAGGAAGACTTACTAAACGGTTAATGTAATCTCAATCGCCAGATTGACCGGTTTGTCACCATTTATGGGCGACAGCAACGTCGAAACTTACGCGAACATCATTCGAGTCGATTACGACTTGGAGGACGAGGCATTCGACGCGATATCGAACGACGCTAAGGATTTCATTAGCGGTTTACTCATCAAACGAAAGGAGTACGTTTACGAACCACTGATATAAAGATAACGTAGATTACTTGCGTCGGTGTATCTTAGTCTATTAGGACGTTCACTGTTTCATAGATTGCGAATGTCCGCGAGGCAGTGTTTGGAACATTCTTGGATGGCTCAACACGCAGAAGCTATGAGCAGGGTAGCTTTACCTACAGAAAAATTAAAGAAATTCATCGTACGAAGAAAATGGCAGGTAAGACGCGGTCAAACTTCGTTTATCGTATTTGCATTGGGTTGATTTTGTTTGAGAGTATTCCTTTGCTATGTTACATTATACGTATAGAGATCGTATAACAGTAATTATTCTCTGTTTGCAGTACAGTAAAATTCGTTTTAAGCAAAACTTATAAAATACATTATGTTTTAAAATATGTTTACGAGTAAAATACGACTTCTTCTATTCTTCATTAATTATCACGCAGGATTCACTTGAATGCATCAGAAGCCAGTAGTTGTTTTATTCATTCTGTGTCATTTGACAGGACAAGAGTTAACACAAATTATCTCAGTTTCATCGGACGCCCAGTAGAAAACCTGATTTTTCTCAATTATACTGTAATGTTAAAAGCACGGTTTTTTGATCGTGTTGCGTGTGCGTGTGCTTTCGTTTGTCGTAACAGAAAACAGGAAACGCCATTCGTGCAGTGGGTAGGATGGCAATTCTTTCGGCGAACAGCAGACGGAGTCCAACGACATCGGCCGAATCGTCCCCCACCTCGGAGCCCTCGTCGAATCCAATCGAATATCCGAGATCCATCGATGCTGATGTACCAGTCGGCGATCAGAGTAGTTGCAACCTTGGTCGTGCGTCGAACAAAGACGAGAGTTGTCCAATCGAGACGGACATCCGCGGAAGAAACATGTATTCGTTCTGTTACAAGACAGAGGTGGTAATCTTTCCGGAAGAAAGATTAGACTCCTCTTTTAAAAGCGACACGCTCGCGCCATCAAACCTTGACGACGCGTCCCTGAAAAGCGAACTTCCAAGGTACGTCACACGATCGAGTTCTCAAAGAGATGTAACCCAAGACATTCAAGAAACAGACACTGCCGAGGATTTGTCAACCGAGAAAACTGGGGACCAAAGTGATAGTTACTTAGTTCCTTCGAGGGAACTCGAAGAAGAAATCGAGACTGTCACGACAGAACAGCGCACACTAACGAGCGACGAGACATCCATTATAAAAAACAGAAATTCCAAAACAAGAAATCTAAGCAACGCGTTTGAAGATACCGTTAAGTCACAATGCGGCAACGATGAGAGTCTGTCTACGGTTTACGAAGAAATATTTTCACGATCGACAACCGATGACGAGACTAAAATATCGGAATCGTACGAAATACATTCGACGCTGAAGGTTGTAGAGAAATGCGTGAACGAAGAAAAAGTAATGTTTCAAGTACAAGGAAAGGAATCGAAAGACAGATTGAACCAAGAAACGAGTGCAAATTCGCAGAAGTCTCGACGCGTCTTCGACGATTGCATCACAAACTTATCAACCTCATCGCAGCAAGTGAACGAACTCGGTGTATCGTCGATCAGAGAAAAAGAAGATAATCGGAACAATAACGGAAATGGTAAGGAAATGCCAAGGACTAAAGGATTCGAATACCGCAAAACTTCCGAGAAAATGGTCGAGACGCCGGAAAATGAACAGAAGTCGGCGAACGAAGCTACTTTCAGTGGTGTGACTAAACATTCGCGCGCAGGTAATCGGCACGAAGGTGTGTTCATTGCACAATTTGTTTCAATAATATTTCAAGTTGATTTCCATAAATAATATGCATGAAAAGCTTTTATCGTTAGGAGAGCTTCCGACAAGGAAACTGCCGGGAAAATATTCTATTATAAAATCAGCATTATTCTTAGGAACCTTTCCCTATTGATCGTATGACGTCGTTCACCATAATACCTATTCTAATATTTTTCTTTGCAGTTGCCAGCGAAATTGAGGACCCAAGGTTGTTAATCGGTCGCGTTCGAAGTAAATTTGTTCCAACCGGAAATGTGAGTCGTACTGCGAAATTATTTCAGAAGGAGGCGACCACCACAGTGGCAACAAAGCCGAAGAACGAAAGGATACAAAAAGCTTTTGCATTTTGGAACAAGTAATCCGCGTACCATGAATTCAATGACGTTTTAAAATTAATCGGCGTTTCAGAATACTCGACAAAATACGTAATTACAAAAAAACATATAAAAACAACTTGGTTTTTATTGTACATTGACCGAAATAGATCATTTTGAACTTAACACGTGCGGTTCCATGGTTAACAATTCAGACTCATCACCGATATCTAAATAATTGAATTTATCCTTCGTCACGGGTTTCCAAGTGGTCTTGATAATGTCGTCTTGACATGGTGTAGGATCCCTACGTTAAAAATATTCATCAGATTGGCATTAAAATTAAATTTATCAAGCGACTTACCCTGTTTTAGCAAAGTTGGTCCACATTGTGGTTAAACGTTCGATTACAAGTCTGTCTTTCGTGCAAACCGCTGGTGGTTTAGGATCTTTAATTTTTAAATAAGGCGAGTAAAACAGATACGACAGCTCGTCGACGTGCGAGGCTCCTAAAATGTTTTTAATAATGCAGACAGGGTCTTTTAATATCAAAACTGGGTAAAATCTAAAGAAAAATATTTTCTTTTATATCTTTGACGTATGTGTATTCATAAAAAATTATTGTAATTCACCCCTGCGATTAAAAATAATTTTTTCAGAATGATTTGAAATTTTTTTATTTAATTTTTCAACAACTTTTTAACGAAGCCTCAATAAAGAAATTGATATTCTTGATCTTCGTCTTATTTTGGTCTCTAGAATATCCCATTAAAATTTTTCCCAGCGATGGCCGAACACCGTGTATTAAAATAAATAAACATTCGAAAGTAACGGTATTTTTAGTATTTTTAGTATTTTTCAAATAAAATGGACTATTTACTATTTGAGCTAGTATTTTACCCAGCTCTGTTTGATATATAGCAGCGTATCGATTACCAGGTACAATGCGTTTAAGCAAGAGATCTGTGTGCGTTTCTTGTTCACCAACGTAGGAAAACTTGTAGAAATAACTTGGCGAGCATGTTTCCTTTACTCGATTCTCTACATACATTTTGGCTGGAATGCCAAAATTAAGATCACCCATAAACCGTATAAATTCTTGTACTTTGTCTGGAGTGATCGGTTGTCCGTCAAAATAGCAATCCTTAATGGTTTTCAATAATTCCTCGGTTTCTGCTGACCCTAACTTTTTCAACATCGCTAAGATTTTCACGTATAACGGTAGATTCTTGTCGTGAGTTTTCATCGTACCCTCGCATTTATCTGGAACAAAACGAAATTTTGTAAATATTATATTTATTAAGTTATAACGATATATTTTTTAATTGTTAAACCTTTTTTATTATTACCTTTAAAAAACATAAGGTACTCGTGTGATGTATACCCGATCATAACAGGAATGTCAACGACATTCGAAATTAATTGGTCCATTGATTCTGGTAAAACAGAGTATTCTGCAAAATTATCGGTATTCAGTCCAAAAGGAAGACAGCACCCGTTTACCTCCTGTGTAATAATACGAAATATTGTACACTGTTAAATATTGTAAAAAAAAAGGGGAAATATTATCGAGGCAAATTAAAGGAAACTTCTTTACCTCCTGCGTAAGAATAGTAGAATGAGCTTTAACGATATCTTTGGCGTCGATCGTTCGTAGAAACTCGACGACTTCCACCGGATCGGTGGATTCTTTTCCGAGAAACGTCGCAAGCTTGAAACCGCGACTTGGATGACTCTGATTATAAGCCCAGGGGCAAGTCAGCAGCCCACTTTGCATGATCGCTTTGTGAAACAACCCTGGAGTAAACAAAAATTATATCAGCAGGTTTCTTTGCTTTTCATTTTTCTCTGTCATACGAAAATATGTACTTATACTTTGTATTCGACTAGTTTTCTGAAAAAGTCTGTTCTGATTAGCAAGTCTGTAGTTATCTTATCAATGACAGTCAAATAGTGATATTGCATTTAAATGATAAGTGTTACCTTGCGCGCACGGCGATACAGTCAAAGCGTGAACTAGGGCGCCTCCAGCGCTAGCACCAAAGATCGTAACATTTTCAGGATCTCCCCCAAAACCAGCAATGTTCTCCTTCACCCACTCCAAAGCTGCGATCAAATCTTTCAAGCCTTGATTGCCCGGCGCAGCCGCGTCTCCCAAATTTAAAAAACCTACAAATTATCATTGATTGGTCTTTATAAAAATTGTCAATTTCGATGTACTTCCAAAACTACTATGATAGTGAAAATTCAAGTAATCAGCAAATCAAAATACTTAAGAATCCAGAGTATAAAAAAAATCGGAACTACGTCCTTTTCTGAAGTTTATCCGTAAATTTTCGTAACAAAAAATAAACAAAACCACTTTTGATTCTTTAGCTGAAGTTAATACGACGATATTGTATGCGCGATGTTCCTTTTTTAAGCGCGTTTTAAAAAAAATCGGAACTATGTCCTTTTCTGAAGTTTATCCGTCAATTTTCGTAACAAAAGAAAAACAAAATCACTTTTGATTTTTTAGCTAAAATTAATATGACAATGTTGTATACGCGATGTTTCTTTTTTAAATAATAAGTATACTAACCGAATGCACCCAATCTGTAGTTAGTCAAAACAACGACAATATCCTTCGTAACTAAGTAATCGGGCCTCTTGGTATTGTAACATCCGTTTCCTATGAGAAAAGCGCCGCCATGGATCCAGAACATAACTGGTTTACGCGTACAGTCGGAAATGGAGTTCGTATAAACGTTGAGGTAAAGACAATCCTCGTCGCCGATGATATCGTAAGGTGAACGTTCTTCTATCTGCGGACAAGCTTTCCCAACATATTTCGACACATCCTTGATACCCGTCCATGGAGCAGGTGGTTCCGGATCCTGTATTAAACGAAATTCTAAATCCTAGTTGAACTTTTGCTAACAAAGTTCTATATAAGGTACAACAATGTGACTCGGATTAATATTCGACGCGGATCGCGTAGTGTAACCTGATCTGGGCTCGAATATATATGAAACTTTTTTATTTTTCTTCGTTTTTAAATGAAACTTTTAGCAATGTATTCGTGAGAGTTTCCCGATTAAAATAAGACCAAACACGATAAAATTTGTTGTTAACGTAGCTCTAATAGAGTATAAGATCGTGCTAAATATGCAAATATCGTGTTTGGTCTCATTTTAATCAGAAAAACTTCACAAATACACAAAAACTAAAAAATAAATAAGTTTCTGATTGTGTTATTGTTATTTATCTTTGATTTGGGTGTTCAGCTTGACTTGTACCTTTTTAAGAACTGAAAATTAATCTTGCTTTAATAACTAAGAGACTTCAGTCCCGCAATTATTCAAAATTTGCTGTAATCCTGATTTGGATGAGATACTTTTGCTAACAAAGTTCTATATAAGGTACAACAATGTGACTCGGATTAATATTCGACGCGAACCGCGTAGTGTAACCTGATCTGGGCTCGAATATATATGAAACTTTTTTATTTTTCTTTGTTTTTAAATGAAACTTTTAGCAATGTATTCGTGAGAGTTTCCCGATTAAAATAAGACCAAACACGATAAAATTTGTTGTTAACGTAGCTCTAATAGAGTATAAGATCGTGTTAAATATGGAAATATCGTGTTTCGTCTCATTTTAATCAGAAAAACTTCACAAATACACAAAAACTAAAAAATAAATAAGTTTCAGATTGTGTTATTGTTATTTATCCTTGATTCGGTGTTCAGCTTGACTTGTACCTTACTAAGAACTGAAAATTAATCTTGCTTTAATAACTAAGAGACTTCAGTCCCGCAGTTTATTCAAAATTTGCTATAATCTTGATTTGGATGAGATACTTTGAACGATGTTTGAATTTGTCCAATTACCTTGAATCTAAGTTTTCCGACGGGAGGTGCAGCGAAAGGTATCTCGTGAAAAGCGACGTAACAAGGACCTAGGGCGCCTTCAATTAGAGTGCCTCGTAATTTGCCTTGCTTTACTGTGACTATCGGCTCATTCATTGTCGTGCACGCTCTCGTCAACTTGATAATACTCCGTTGCACTCTACACAGAGACTGTAAGCTTGACGTGAGCTGTTTCCGTAACACAATCATAAGTTTATTTTACATATAAAAATCCTGATATCTAAAGTTTACGTCCCGCGATAAGATAGTATTTAACAATTTCAGTAACGATCCTTATTATTCAATGACTGCAGTGCAACGATTGCGTGTAATTAATTATGTAATGCATCGTTTACATATTTACAGTGTTATACACATCCTGTGGTTTACTATTAAGGCGCATTAGCGTGTCAAAAGTTAGAAAATCCAATTCTCGATATTGATACATGACACGATATCACGCACGGACGGAAATTCGAAAAAATAATGCACAATCGAAATTCGACTTTCCAATCGTTCTGCTTGCCTGCTAAATTCATTTGTCATAACGAAAGCAACGTAACCACATTTCCATCGAAACGATAACATGAAATCGTTCGGTGTAATTGGCTTACCGTTAACGAGAAAGTAGTGGTTTCAGTTTCGCGACTAATGGGTAACAGAATACATCTTTCAAAATCATAAGTTTTACGAAATATTGGTTCGAGTACAAAGTGCATAATAAGTATAAATAAATCGTGCAATAACGACTTCTGACTTCGTATGGACTTTAAACATTTGCTATTGTTGTTTTGCTATATGCGTATAATTAAATGACTATACTTTTTATTAAATAATTTCACTAAAACAGACCTTGTCTGTGAACCTGAAGCCATCGAGAATCAATAAAACGATCTACATAAATTATCGACAATGTAATTAAATAATATTTATATTTAAAAACGCCCAAACGTAAGCACGACTTTAAATAGAAAAATGAATTATTAAATGTTATTGAGATGCGGGCTGAAACACTTCACTAATTGTAAGGGTGAGTCATCCCATTGTACGGCACGCGACCATATTGCGTATTAAATATAGAGTAAACTTGAACAAAAGTCAATTCTCTAACAATTCTCTTAAGCTTCTCTTAGAATTCTCTTAAATTCCCTTAGATTTTAAAAAAATATTCCAACACTGGTTTTATAGAGTACTTATCCTTCGATTCGCGGTAAGAAATGACAACTCATCATGATATCTCACGTTCTATATTGTATACAATCGATTAAACAGGATCGCCTAATCTCGCAATCTCACTCGCGACAATAAATTTCATAAAATTTAGCTTGTATTAAAATTTACTTTATTAGAAGGGTTTCGTATAAGGCGTAACACCAAGTTTCACCACGGACAAGATACAGAATAGACGTGTCAGTCAATACTATTTTTCGTCACATGATTTTGAGGCTATAGAACCCCTTTACCACTCCCGTATCACTTTCTACGTTATCGATTCAGTATAGAGCATGGTTTTTCGCCCTCTTCGACACTGCAAAATTCTCTTTTCACAGATGCACCGATGCAATTGCAAACTGCAATTGTACTTTTTTTTAAATAAAATTTACTGATTCTTTTTATTTGTACAAATCGATTCCTTGGGTAAGATCATCAGTAACTCAATAATTTAGGAGATATTTAATTCCGTTTCTTACAAGTTTAGAAATTTTTTCAAATTTTAAAATTTACTTCTAATTATATGTTTGAAAAATTTCAATTGTAAAATTAAAAAACAAAGTAAAATATCTTTTAAAGTATCGAATCGTCACCAACCTTTTATTCGCGGAACGGAATCCAATCAATAAGTTCAATTTTTGTAAATAATGCTGTTTATGTGTTTTGTAAGTAAACAACTGTACAGTAACAAAATTTTCCTCTTTCAACGTTTCTTTCTAACTTTGCTCGAAATGGAGTTATAATCTGACCCAGTTATCAGATACGCCCTATATGAATCACAAAGTTCTGATCCATTTTGCAATCTGAGGCTTCGTTACCGAGACACGTAAATGCAGTTAACGTATTTTCTGGTATCCACTGAAGAGCTATGCTCTTTAGAATCTCTGTCGAGAATGTTCACTGAATACTTTTACTTTCAAGAGTCGCTAGCAAGTTTAAAAATCGCATCGTTAGTGGGAACGGCATCGAGAATAAGGAAACTTTTATGCGGATACGTGAGGTGTGACGAAGCAAATTCCAGCATGAAGGCTCACTCGTATAAAACTCTCAAGTGGACACTGGCCGACGCCAGGCATTAACATATTTCTCGTGTGTTAGTGCGTAAGTACATTAGTGTTCAATTGTATGAGGAACTAAAAGAGATATAAATAACGCATCTGCATCAATAGTCATATTCAAGCTTATTAAACGTCAAAGAACGAATTGTGACCATATTTCTGTTTTTGTACTAAAATACATGTATTTATGAATAATTTACAATTTATAGCATTTCCTTGCAAAGCGTAATATTTGCATAATTTGGAATATTTAACAAATTTTGCTTGCATGGTGTTTACAAACAAATGTAATGTAGCTTCGTAATTCCTTTTTGAACTTTGGTTAAAACAGAGTCACTTAAAATAAAACAGCAAGTGCTCTAGAAGTACAAAGACCGCCCTTAGATAACGGGGCATTCGATCATCGTTCGAGAAGTGTATATATATAAAAATAGGCGGTCAAGCACTTGTGAGAAAGCAGTCCCTCTGCTGGCGAGTACGGGAAGTGTACTACACAACAATCTATGAATCATCTTATGACGAATATAGAATACGAATCAGGAATAACCCTCTCCCACCAGCAGACTGTTAACGAACTTTAACTGACAAACCATTAAATTTTAAATATTAAAGGACTATTACGATTTCTAACAACTAAACGCAATCAGTTGAAATAAATAATATCGTATAAACATCGATACTTACAAATACCCAGCGCAAGTAGAAATAACGAGTAATGGACAGACACGTTAGAGACGCCGTACTCAATTATGCGCTACCTAATGCATCTTCGCCATTAGTTAAGTCAATTACAAAGACTTGTATGAAAACACTTGATTCTATATTTTCGATTCATTGTCTCGCGTATAATTACGAAAAAAAGAATAATTAACTCGATTACTTAGGCTAATGTCAGAAAAAAATAAATTACAAACAAAAAGATCATGCAGAAACATATACAGGGTGTTCGGCCACCCCTGGAAAAAATTTTAATGGGAGATTCTAGGGGCCAAAATAAGACGAAAATCAAGAGTAGTAATTTGTTGATTGAGGCTTCGTTAAAAAGTTTTCTTATAAACACTTACCTTTAATTTTAAAGTATAGTAAACTCAAAATTACAGCATGTAGCATTTAATATTAATACAATAGGTAGGTAATGAAATAGGGAATGAAAGTAATTTGAAAAGAAACTACAATAATGAGTATACATTTATAACATTCAATAAATGACAATGGGTGTAAACAAAATCCTAACCAGAAAAACTGATCCAGTATGTTTAAAAAAGAATGTTAATATTTCATTAGACAACGTAGATATAATCAGAATAAATACATTTACATTATAAATTATATGTAACAATAAACTTGTCACTGTATATAAATACACCATGGAAGTTTTACGAGGCACATTTCTTGAAATATTACTGTATAAAAAATATAATTCAGTCATTTTAATAGAGGCACTGCGTTGAACATTTTTAAAGTTTTTAATCCTTTCTAGTTAAAACCGTCATGTTTCCTCAGGAATGAAGTATTTCTTTCAATGTTTTTACAATTAAAAAAAAAGAAATGAAATATTGCACTAAAAGTTAGCGTTTCATTTTGTCAAGTATTGGAACAACCATATCAAAAGATGGACGTTTTCCAGGATCTTCGTTCATACATATTCTAATAAGTTTAGCAAGATGCGGTGAGATCCCTGGTGGTATACTAACGCGAAGATCCTCGAGTGCAATCTGAAACAGATAAAATATATGTAATTAAAAAATTATGAATTTATGTCAGACTTGCGATAAAATATTTATAACTGACCTTCATGCCACACTCCATAGGTGAGAGATCTGCAAATGGAACTTCTCGAGTTGCAAGCTCCCATAGCAGTACAGCAAAACTCCACATATCACTGGCTTCGAGATTTATGTCGGCTGGACGTTTACTTAAGGCTTCTGGTGACATCCATGCTGGTTCATAAATTCGACCGACTTCTTGAAACGAAAATTTCGAGTCTGCCATGTTTACACGAGCAGTTAAATCTTCGTCAATCTAAAATATTATCATAATGAAAAACATACTAATAACGATTATAAGGTAATAAAAAAGGAAATATACCATAATGTGTTTACTATTCAAATGAAATCTACATCTGTTCTGCCTCTCAAGCCCATGGAGAAATGCCATAGCTCTAGCAATGTCAAGAGCCAATCGCAATGCTCGTGCTGTATCAACAACTACACCTGTACCCCCATGTAAGAGTCTGTGTAAACTACCGCGAGCCATATACTGTGAAACAGTAGCTAACTGCGGTGGCTGATTAACGCAACCGAGAACAGGCAGAACATTGGGATGTGAGAAAATTCTTAATTTAGGGAATTCCTCGTTGAAATCTCTTGAAATGCGCGCGGTACAATCGCGTATATTCAAGATTTTCGCCACTATATCATTGTTCTGCCAACGTCCCCGCCACGTTTCGCCGCTCGGCGTACTCGCTAAATGAGTATGTAACGACAAATCTGCCATATTAATTCCTTTATGCCTCGATAGTGTTGCATCTCCTGAATAAAATTAAAACGGTTTGAATATTGTATTAGGCAACGTACATAATACAATATTACTTACGACTTCTGGTTTTCAGACCTAACCAGCTCTGATCCTTAAACTGAATTTTCTTCAAATCCTGTCCATATTCTACAGCTAAGTCTAATAAAATAGATTTAAATTGTACATTAGTTTACAATAGCATTCCCCTAATATAACTTTTTAATCATTAATTGACTACTACCATGTAATCTCTTAGCAAGGAGACCTCTTGCTTTGTCCAGAGGAGTATCTCCATCTTTGTTCGCGATGGATACCAGAGCACCAGCAGCTACCAATTCTTCCGCAACTGGTTGGTCACCCCAAAAACAGGCATAATGAAGAGCAGTGTTCCCATGCTCGTTTGTAACATTAACATCAGCACGATTTCTAAGCAACTGCAAGTTTAAATTCCATTTAAGTCTTTATATGCTTGATTTGTAGCGTTAGATAATATTTTTAACTGCTTTTCTTGTTTCAAAATTTGTTACTAAAATATTTTGGTAAATTTTTCCTTTAATAATGTTTAATAGATTTATTTTACCAGTTGAACTATTTCCTTGTGACCATGAGCAGAAGCAAGATGAAGAGGAGTATCAACTCCTCTATTGGTAGCATTAATTCTTGCTCCTCTGCTAACTAGCAACTCTGCCAATTTTAAGTGGCCTTCCTTGCAGCACCAATGGAGTGGACTGAATCCATGATCATCTCTATAGATAGAATATGAACTCATAAATGAAATAAAATTCAAATTAAAGTAATCATAATAAAAGAAACAGTCGGATATAATGAATTTGTTATAGTGTATACATAAAGTTGAACATTTCTTAAATTCGATTTGTTTACAGTCAGTAAATGATGAACATAGGAAGCACTTCAATTTAAATCGCAAATTCAAATCGAAACAAAAAGGAAAATTAATGGTTAAAAGAAAAAACTATAAAAATTCGAAAACCACAAGATTAAACGACTCTATTTTGAAAAAAGAGCTTTTGTATACTCACCCTTGATTCATGTCATGTTCAGTGTCGTCCAGCCAAACACGCACTTGCATAGCGTTTCCTTCGCGACACCATTGAAAAATATCTTCCATTTTCTAAAAATTATCAAATAAAATAAGGAAGATATATGAATATTGCAGCGGGGGAGTGGCAGTGTTTCGTACTCCACAACACTATAGTCGTCATATACTAAATATAACCATATTTCCGCGCAAGCGACACTGGCACAAAAACTGCATAACTTCTTTATACTTCACAGACTGATTAATCGTAGTATTTATATGAAAGTTCTGTGTTGATCAAGTATGAGAACGTAAAAATGAATACGTATATTTGTAACACCGTACAATGTCTGATATAATACCGTGATCACGCTATAATATGTGCAGAGATATACATCTGACCATATATGACGCGTGGAATCACGTAGTACTACTTCACCCAGGATGCGGTTACTTCATATACCCCACGTAACGTACGTACTTTTATAAAAACTGTATGAGAGACAGTGGTGACATTATCCGAAAGTATCACCAGAGGGCTACGAACGATACATGATTCTCACAAGTTCTTCAATTATAACAAGCTACTTCAAATAATTAAATCTTTTTAATTGAATTTTTCAGTGTAAAGTAGAAACAAGCCGACTGTCAAGCTTTAATTAGTAAATTTTCATTTTATAGTATGAATGAAACAATTTGTCATAAATAGGCCCTGTGACGACTTAGAAACTATTTGTGGAAGATGTGTTTATTTATGTGCTTTTGAGGTTAAATGCCGGCAGTGTTTCTAAGAAAACTTACTTAATTTCATAGTCAATAAATCCTTACTATGCTCATATTTTAAACAACGATAAAATGGAACAACTGCAGACTGCATTGACAGCGATTAAAGTACTACGTTCTAGTGTTGGTCAAGTGTTCGATTCTCTCGGAAATGGATTACGAGCAGATCATGGAGAGGAAAATAAAGAAAATAAATATTTGCTCGAATTACAAGAACTTTTAACAACTGTCAGTGTTAATTTACGGTAATACTGATGCGTTAAAAAAGTATATTTATCTTGGGGATGTATTATATTCAATATTTTGTCATGTTTAGAGACGTTGAACAAGCTGTAAGTAGTTTAAATCCACCACCAGGACCATTTAATCTAGCAAGTACTGCATATCTTAGTCAAGAGACTACGCAAGAAAGACAAGCATTGTATAGTACGGTGGTCAATAGTTATAAATGGACTGACAAAATTCATGAATATAGTAATGTTGCTCAAACATTGCTTAGTCAAAATTCATTGAAAAGATCTTCTAGTAGAACGAAAAGAGGTAGAGTTCAAACAAGTAATCATAATGTTCCTCAACAGTAAGTTTAATAGTTCCAGCTATTTAAGATATGAAATATTACATATTATTATAAAATTGTTACCATATGTTTTGCTTTTCTTACAGGCAAGTGGATTCGATGATAGCTACTTTCGATAGACTTTTTAATGATATGACAGTATCTATATCACGACCATTTGCATCAAATGTAGTATTACACGTTACACTAGGGCATGTTTTAAAAGGAGTAATAGCATTTAAAGGTGTAATGATTGAATGGGTAGTTGTTAAAGGTTATGGAGAAACTATGGATCTATGGACAGAATCCAGACACAAAGTTTTCAAAAAAGTAACAGAAAATGCTCATGCTGCAATGTTACACTTTTATTCACCAGCATTACCTGAATTAGCTGTTCGATCATTTATGGCTAGTAAATTATATTAAAATATTACGGATTATAAATAATTTAATCATTTGAAGAAACTTAATATTTTACATTCTTTTTTTGTAGACTTGGTTTCATAGCTTGAATAATTTATTTAGTGACCCATGCAAACGTTGTGGCTTACATCTACATAGTGCCTTACCCCCAACATGGAGAGATTTTCGAACTTTGGAACCTTACCATCAAGAATGTAAACCATAATAATTTCTATTAGTCTTCCATGACATAAAAAGAAACATGTATGTATTATAATTTTGTTCTCTTTCGAAAATATATTTAACGTACGCAAAACCAGAGGGCGTCTCCCTAGCGTTCGCGCTTTTTATAATCTCCTTCAATCGCGTTACCAATCCTTCAACAAAAATTCTAAACCTAGGGACAATTACCTATAGTATCATTATACAACTTGAAATAAGCTTAATAAAGCATAAGATCGAAAATGTTGAATCGATAATCGAATTTTCTACAAGTTTTCTGTTTCCTACATTTGTGGTTACATAATAAACACACCTTCGCTTATCAAAATCAATGAAATTTGTTTAACTTCACATCCTTGGAATAAATTTATGATCAAGTAAATGCGTTTGCTTTGTATCTAATATATAACTTGTTCGTAACTAGTAAAATTTTAACACATTGCTAATATTTCTTGTTGACGACACTAAGCAAAACCGAGTAATTGGTCCGTAACTCTTTAATTTCTTTTTTATTAAGTATTATGTAAATTTTTTCTTATTTATTTGCGTGAAAACATTACATTCGCATAAATACCCAATCTGTTCGCTGCATGTTAATTTTTACATCTGTATTCATATAATTTAACCATGTAATACAACGCCACAGGGTAACAATTACTGATGGCTAGAACTGCTACTTATGAATCATGAATGCTTGCTTTAAATAAAATGCATTATAAATGAATAATATTACGATGTTGACATCGACCGTGATCGTGATTTTACGATCACTATGATAAATAACGGTCAGTGATTTTGCCCGCCATACTCGTATGCCGTTGACGGGAGGTCGGATTTCAGTTGTTAAGAGCGAGAAGGCAAATGTGAGCCTTTCTCTCTCGACTCCCACGAGGCGGTCCGAAATTAGTTCGGGCAGCTTCGGAGAATCGAGAAAGAGGGCATGCGTCAGTTTGTCTTTGTCGACATTCCGAAACTCCACGAGCTCACGTACGCCTATCTGGCATGTGTGAGTAGGGCACCCGACAGTGCTTTTCTGGCATCTCTGCCGCCATCTCTAGTAACAACTATGTTACACTGTGACAACGTTACAACATGACTGAACAAAAACAGACAGTAAATTGTAGCGACAATGATATCTGGAATAGAAAGCTTCCTTTCAATTATATCAATCTCCAGAACGTTTTATTCATTTGGCCATATACAGGGTGCTTGGCCACTCCTGGGAAAAATTTTAATGGAAGATTCTAGAGGCCAAAATAAGACGAAAATCAAGAATACTAATTTGTTGATGGAGGCTTCGTTAAAAAGTTATTAACGTTTAAAGTTCCGTCGATACTGAATTTTTTTCTCGAAAGTGGGTAGGATTTCGGGAGTGGTCTATTCACCAAAAATTATTGTAATTGTCCCCCGCAACCGAAAATAAAATTTATCAAATTACAAACTATTATCAAACTTCTGAAATAAAAGATTTTATATGAATTATAATATAAATATTTCTTAGGTTTTCATAGTAAATACTTCTATTGCAAATTATGTGCAAGTCTGGCCATAATTCGCTTCAACTTTCTATTAAACATTTTTAATTCTTTGTTTGTAAAATTGTTTATACGTTACTGCATGAGTGAATGTAACCAATCGCATGGTCCCACATTTCTAACGTGTGCGCGCGCATAGGGATCCACGTTCGAGTGTGTTGAACACTGTCAACGTCAACACAGTGTGTTCCATTCTGACAGAGCGCAGTCGTTAAGAAGCCTTTGTCCAGTTACCTCTTGATAAATTAAAATATTTGTATCAATAATGAAATTACTTTTGTTAGTGGGTATCATTCTATCGGTCTTTTGTTCGAGTAGTAACGCCGATGATAAAAAAGGCCCAAAAGTAACAGACAAGGTACGTAAATTTGCTATATCGGTACATGCACGGTAACAGGCGCGGTAACAAAGAATTCATGTTTCCATATAAAGTAGGTAAGAATACAATTTCTAAAACCGACTATTATAAAATAATAATTACGCATTTTTTTAAAATGGAAAGTGTAACTTACGTATTTATATATTTTCATTTATCTTTAATTCGTCGCATATATATTGGATCAAAAAATTTTTTTTTAAGTAAATTTTAGAAAATGCCATTTAATGGTTTACAACATTTTTGCATATAAAAATGAAATATAAAGCACAAAGAAATAAATCGATATGTACATATAGGTATGGTTTGATATTACCATTGATGGCAAACCTGAAGGAAGAATTGAAATTGGTCTTTTTGGAAAGACTGTCCCAAAGACGGTTAAGAACTTTGTAGAATTAGCTAAAAAGCCTAAGGGAGAAGGATATAAGGGTAGCAAATTCCATAGAATTATTCGTGAGTTTATGATTCAAGGAGGAGATTTTACAAAAGGAGATGGAACTGGAGGTTTGATTTTATGTTTTTTTTAAATACATAAGAATTGTATATAATTTTTTATTAAAAGTTGTTTTTAACATTTAGGACATAGTATTTATGGAGCTCGCTTTGAAGATGAAAACTTCAAATTGAAACACTATGGTGCAGGATGGTTGTCCATGGCAAATGCCGGCAAAGATACTAATGGTTCTCAGTTCTTTATTACCGTTAAAAGAACTCCATGGCTTGATGGTAGACATGTTGTTTTTGGTAAAATAATCAAGGGAATGGTATGTTATATTAGTTAGTCATGTTAAATACATATTAAAATATCTATAACAATTTTTACATAAAAATATTTTTATAGGATTTAGTTCGAAAAATTGAAAATGTAAACACGGATACTCGTGATAGGCCAACAAAGGATGTTGTAATTGCTGATTGTGGAGCTGAAGTTGTAAATGAGCCATTCAGTGTATCAAAGGAAGATGCAGCTGAATAAGTATTACATTTTTGTCTGTTTTTTAAAGTCAAAACAGTTTCCAATTGTTATGAGAACAATTTTATTTACTGTAACACATTGTCTTCGTGATTCTGTATGCCTCCAAACGTGATTTATTAGGAAAAAATATACTATTGAAAATTTTACTGTAAAAATCGGTAGAAACACTTCATGCTTCGATACAATTGTTCAAAGCATGTTTCTTCAAAATATAGTTTAATTAAAACTAATAAAGATTCAGTATAGAATCGTTATTTTTAGTAAGTTCTATCACATATCCAAAATAAAATTTTACAAAACATACAGAGTTAAGAAATTACAACATTGTGTGTATGATATCTTATCGTACACTGTTATCATATTCCAACTTTTATAAGAACGTATATTCATGTCAGGACGCGCAATAAATTTTATACATATATCTGTAATCGCATTTTTAAAAGTAATAAATATAATTTGTTTAAAATAATGCATCACTCTCCTGCTACCTATTTTTATTGCTAATTGTTATCTAGCGACAAGTAAAATAATACAAGGTAATATTAGACGAGATGTGAACTACAGTATGCAGTGGATAGAAATAGTTGAATTTTTTTCATTAGTATTGCGGGAACGTAGCCTTTCACTTTAAAGTTCATGACATTCTCACAAGTCTCAATCATGAATTTTCCATTCAATTTCGCGCGATGGATATTTATTATACGATTAATGTTATTATCGAAGTATGGTAATATATCGAAATTGAAAAATTTTCAAAAAGTAAAGTTAAGCTTTTCAACTTATGACACATCCATATACATATAGGGTAGGCTCAGCTAAATTCCGATGTAAATATACTGGGTAATAGTAACAATGTAGTTTATAAAGTCGTTAAATTTGTTTTCTTATACTTTATAAAAATGTAAGAAAAAAAATATGGGATTCTATTTAAAAAAGTATCGACTTTGAAATCTCGTTTTTATCTCTTTCCCTGTAACTTCCTTAAATCACGAAAATTCCCACGAATGTCCATCACTGGATCATCTATATTTCGGTTATATAGTAGGAATTTTTAAGTATGATTAGGTTATATTTGTACATACTTTCTATCATATGTTTATATTTATAATATACATGCTTGATAAAAATTATTTATTCAGTAAACAAAGTATTTTCCTCGAGTAATGTTTAAAAGTTTTTGTATTACTAAGTATGTTTGTATGTAATTTTCAGATGTAATGTACGATAACTTATATCTCGATAATCGATAACTAATATCTTTTTTACTTTTATAATTTTTACGATAGTCAGTTGACACTCTTGATAATTTTATGTAAGTACATATGTATGTATCATTACTACAAGTCTAAAATAATATATTTTTGTTTAAATGATTTGCTAAATTGCCTTATTTCATTCATTATATCATAATATAAAAAAAAAAGATAATTATTATTTATATTATATTATACTATTGTACCTTGCGAAGGTAGTTTAAATATCAACAGAATATTTATGTTTAATTTGATGAAAAGTATATAATTACTCTTGAAACTTTTATTTTCATTTGAGAATCGTTGATTCGTTTTTTACACGTGTATGTATAATGATTAAAGTAATTTTATCGACAATGAATTGCTGTATTTAACCAGCGTCGTGCATTAACCTACAGAGGTCAGTACTATGAAATCAGAAATTGCATTATTCTGAAAAATAATATGTAGTTCCGTTGAACTTAAACGTAGAAAGTTTAGCGTTAACCTAAGAGTATTATCGTTATCGAGTTACCTTTCTTAACTTTATTTCGGTTGAGAAAAATACTTAATGCGGATATAATTTTTACTACTATTTTACTGGTCGTTTGTGCATATGAAATTCGGAATAAGGTTCGTAAGAGTGATAACGATCTAAAGGTCAAATGTTTCCATTATTTCAGTATTAAAAAGTACGGTGGGAATTAAAGAATGAGTTTTATGGAGGAGCAAAGGTCACAAGGTGCGGTTGATGAACGATTTCAAGCCTTCATAGAGACTGAAGCTAAAAAGCAGCAGTTTCAAGTTAGTCGCGAATTGATATCGGTATTTTCATTACGATGTTTGCAATTGTGTGAGAATTTTTTCAAGTCAGTTCATTTATCAAACTACCAATATTAATTCAAATTTATTGCCAATATGTTAATAGTACTACGATTGCGAGGAATATAAAAAGTAGTCGTTAATGTTGACTTTGTATGTAACAGTAATTATAGTAACTTTTCAGCTATAAACATAACATATTCGAAACCGTATCTTTTAACAGTGTCTTATGCGGCTTCTTTAAACGAATTTATTTACAAATAAAGAATATATTTTTTGAGATAAATCATCCGAAATATTAATACAAATATATGTGCTTTTCAAATATTCTTAAATGTAACGATTTATTTTCAGGGATTGGCATTTAATTTAACTGACATTTGTTGGGAAATCTGCGTCGAAAGTCCTACTGCACGCTTGGGTCCAAAAATTGAAAAGTGTCTGATAAATTGTGTAGATAGATTTATCGACACAACAAATTTTATTACGAACAGATTAGAACGTGTAGTTTTAAACAACCGTGGTGAAATGAATGTACAGTAAATTGCTTTGTGATCAAGAAAAGTGAATAATTGAATTCCAGGGAAATACATTATCAATGTCTAAGACAAACTATGTGCATCTTACACCTAACACCTATTTCATATAAACTATTTTAGAAGATGTTATCAAGAATCCGTGCTTTTATTAACCGTCATAGGCAAAAATTTATAGTGGGAGGCGTTGTTGTTAGCAGCGTTATTTTCATAAGATATATGCAACGTAAGCTTAGAGAATGGCAAGAAAAAGAGATAAAGGACATGCTCGAAAGGTCAAAAAGGCGACAGTACTTTGACTGTACGGAGAGAACATGCGATCAGATGATAATTTCCCTTGCATCGACTTTAAGAGTCTCTATAATGAAGGTTGTAGATACAGAAGCAATTCTAAATAAACTTAGAAGTGGCTGCACTGATAAAATAGTATGTTGGAATGAATTAAGAGTTACCACGATTACTAAATCAGCTGTAATAATATATTCGTATGCCATGTTAGCTACTTTAATAAGGATTCAATTTAATGTAATGGGTGGTCATGTTTACAAGGATACCCAGAAACCCAATGGTACGACTACAGAAAACATTGTACAGACAAAATATATGTCTCTCTCAGGTAGTTTTATGCACGATGGAATAAAAAAATTAAGTTCGCTCATAAAAGATAAAGTTGCAGAAATAGTAACCCCAATATCTTTGAAAGATCAGGTATACTTAAGAGATATAGAAGAAATATATTGGGCATTAACATCGTCTATATCTACAGATACCTCAAGGGATCCTGTAAAAAATCTTGCCAAATACATGTTAGATATAAACTGGGATAAGCAACAAGGAACCACAATAGTGAAATTAATTAATGAAACTCTCGATCTTCTGGAAAGCGAAGAAGTACAAAATATTACGCAAAGTAATATTAGAAGTGGATTTAGTTTGTTGGTAGATCACATTTCTGCATTTTTTATTCCTCCATGTGCAGTGAAAAACGACAAAATCGTAAATGATATTTCAATACCAGGAACGTCGAGTCAAAATCATATGACTTGGAAAAAAACAGATAACGAAGAAACAAACCACCGTGAAAATTCATTTGTTAATATCAGTCAGGTATCGATGCCCATGGCTAAAATAATACCGATCATAAATTGTCAAATACCGGATAAATCAGCTTCACAAAATTTCCAGGCAGATTTATTACAACATTTTATAACAAATAACGAACTTAAAACGCTTGGGGCAAATATTTACGAAGCATTTAGTTTTTAAGTTTAACAATGCAAATATTCAAACTGTACACAATACACAACATGGCATTACACAAAATTATAACATACGATCTTAAACTGTTGATTATTTTAAATAGAAGCACATTGTTTTACATTTTTAAAAAAAAAATACAAATGTATCTTTCGTAGTAGTACATTATAACAAACATTTTGTTAATTATAATATGTTAAGATTCTGAAAAGACAAGTCTATTGCTTTTGTATCCAATTTATATTCATAATATCTTAGTAATGGGACTACTACTTACAGTTATATGTAATGCAAAAATAGAATTGTAAAAATATGTCTCAATCCTCTTGTTATCGTCTATAATTTTCTCAAGGAATTATAATATATTTTTACTTTTCGAAAATGCTTTTTTTATTTCGTTTTCTTCTTTTTCAGCTATTAATTTAGAAATGTAAACAACGAATATTTATAATTAACTTAATCTTTGAGTAATAAAGATAATATGATTCAACATTTTTTCCGTACTATTTTATTAATAAACGATTTTAATGATTCGCTTCAATAATAAACGTCATCAAATGAATAATAAATTTAATAAAAGTATTTATAAAAATGGAAATTATATTTAACGCCACTTCGTCCGACTCGTCAAAAACATTCTAGAATTCAAGTAGGCCATAATGCTTTAGGTACCTATGTGTCCTATCAGTTCTATGTCATAATTTAGAGAGAACGTGAATTGTTACTTTTGAATCGCTCGTGATTTGATCACGTTCATTCCCAATCATGGTGATTTTTCACAGTGATTCGTGATTGCTTTTGATTGGTGGGAAGTGTTCTTTTCACTTTTCACGAATTACATATGTCCTTAAAAACAATTTGACATGTGAAATGTATTTTTTCAGTGTTTAGACTACATTACTATACAATTTAAATTTGGCGCATTTGTCATTCTTTGAATAACAAAAACGCCATCTTTCGGATCACGGTCGTGAATGGAGTTTAATCACGAGCGTGATCGTGATTTTATGATCACTGTTAGCATGGAGCATGGACATAGGAATATAGGGACGGAGCAATAGTCGAGGGGGGTGAAGCAGCTCCGGGGAGCTGCACAAACTATGGTCACGTGGTACTCTGATGCCGCATTGGCGATTGGTTGTGATAGCGCAAGCGCAATCTTATTCTCATCGAGTAAGAGTGAGTGAGAAGCAGTGTAAAAGGCAGTGAAAGAGTAGACTGGTATTACTGCGAGCAGTAGCGTCAGTGAATTATACAGTTTTTTTTCTAAAAAAGACAGATATATATTTGTTTTTACAATGCCACTGTGCGTTGTAAAAGGGTGTAAAAATCGTACGGCAAGTCGTCCCGTTTTGGGAGAAAAGAAAATAAATAATATAATTATTCTCTCATATCACCGGTAATTGTTATGAAAATGATTGATAATACACCCTAATCTCTTTATGCAATAGAAAAATAGATATTAACAGTTGTATAATTTATTAAAGGATAAATTACGAATATTTAGGGAATTAGATTAACATTTTATAATAAAAATTTTAATATTGCATTATAAGACTATGACCAATATTTAACTCTACGATGGCAAGTTATATGTTGCAAAATTCGTTAAATCATATTCTTAAGTCGGAAAAAGTGAAAGATAACCTTGTAGTTATATCTATCTATTCCTAAATAGTCATGTTTTATTTATTGACAGATCTCGTCAAATAATAATGCAAACCGTACTGAATTCATTGCGTAGTTGCAAATTTAAATATCAAACGAAAGTAATAAAGATTTTTCATATCTATAGATTCAAACTTTTAACCATTTAATTCTGACATCTCAATCACCATTAACATTTCAGTATGTTGATTTATAAATAAAACATTTTGTGTCTCTGGTTTACTAAAAATATTCTATCGTACATTTATAATTGTAAAGAAACTAAAGCTTTCATTTTTAAATTTCGCGCATTTAGGATAGCACCAATCACTAATGCGGCACCAGAGAGTACCACGTGACCGTGATTTCCCCCCGCAAAGCTGCTTCACTCCCCTCGCCAAGAGTCGCAACTATTGCTCCGTCCCTATATTCATATGTCCATGGATTTTATGATCACTGTTAGTCATTTTGCACGCCATCTCTAGTCATAATACATCAGTGCGCCGCTTTGTCTTCCGAGATGAGGGCGCATTGTAGATAATAGTAAGGTCGCGGTGAAATTAAAAGACGATATTTGTTAAATTTTAATTCCTTTAACGTCATAATAAGCAACCAAAAAGATGTGGAAATTTGTAACTCGTGGTATTCGTGAAACTCTAGAACGTCGTACATGTCGTACAAATGTTTATTCGCAAACGTCCCAAGATAATAACCCTAAAAATGAGGTTAAAACTAATTTGACGTGCAATCACAAGTTCCTGGCGCCAAGCTTCTCGGCTTTTAATAAAGAATTTTGTGGGTCAGCAAAAACTGATGATGCTAATGACAACAATCACGATTCCAAGTGGAATACAAAATATACTTGGTCGGATGCTGTCGGATGGGTAAATTGCGTCGTTATATTTATCTTGCATATTCGTTTGAAGTATGAAGTTCAAATTGTTGTTTAAAAATTGATTGAACTCCTTTCTTTCACAATTCAGTATTCGAATAAATAAAGGAGAAAAGAGTTTAATTATTTTCTATAACAAATACGAAGACAAATATAAAAACGTCTGTTCATTCTGTATTAAATGATGAAGTTTAAAATGTAGTTTGTTATGCTCTACATAAAATTACTAACATACTTATGCCCTAAACTTATTCATTAGGAAGTTATTGAATAAGTATGTTAGTACTTTTATGTAGAGCATAACAAACTACATATTGACTACTGGTGCAGTCAAAAATGTAGGTTTCCATTTTTAAAAAAAGTGCAGTTGCATTTTTCCGATGCACCAATGCACACGAATGCATAAAATTAGTTCCATATTACACATAGTCTGATACCATTTAACTTTGACTTACAATATCTTTTTCTATTCCCAACTGTTTAAGAGCCACCCTGTATACATAGCTTCGTTTAGAAATCTGTAATGTAATTGATATATTAAATGAATAATTTTTTAACAGACCAGTGTATTAACTGTTGGATGGATGGTATGTCAAACGGTGTGTCTTCGCAGAAGACTTTTCGGGAAGGAAAAGAGTGAATCTTTACAAAGCAAGCTATCTCAATTTTCAGAAGCACGTTTTAGTTACTTATTTGGTCAAGTATTGAATTTAAAGTCAAAACATATTCTACCTGTTACTAACTGTGTTGGAAACAATAACAAAAAGTACGTACAAGAGGATTCAGAGGTAGAGTGGAAAGCAGATGAGCCATTCGGACCAATCACTATCGAAGAGGTGAGAATGTTGTTTTGTAGACATTACAATTTGTAATGAAACAAACATTTTCAATAGATAATAATAGAAAAATATATATGTATACCTGACTATCGTACCACAATTTGTAATTTCCGATAGTCTGTGCATTTTTGTAAATTTTTATTGTATCTGTAAATAACACTTATAGTTTTCATTCTATTTATTTTTAATTTGTAACATATAATTTCACCTTTCCGTAATCATCCAATGTACAAGTAATTGTAACTATTGTGTTTCAATTAATAATTTGATGTAACCTCAAGTATTTTACTGTGGAAGCATAATATATTTTTGTAAAATTAAAAATAGAAACGTAAATTTATAATTTTATTTTATTTCTTTCCCAAAACACATTTCTTTTCATTCGATCTTAATGTAATATTATACAGTCGAAGAAATTATTGGAGGCATCGTTATATAATAAAAGTATTAGTTTTAAATAATCATTTTTAAAAATTTGTTATATCATAAGATGGTAATAATATTTTAATTAATAGTTAATACAGTTTCCATTTTATTTATTTCTAATAATTACAAGTTAATTAAAATATTTATCAACTAATAGGTTGTTAATTATTCCTTTAATGCCCTTTAATGTAATTACAAAATCATGCATTTTTAAAAACGATTCTTTGCACGATATGGACAACAAAAATATGTATATGTTATGTAACAATGATTTTTGTAAGCATTGTTTAATACTCCTATGCATTCTTAGGCTCTCAAAGAAGCTACAGATGAATTTGCCAATGTTCATAAATTGGCTATGGGTGAATATGAACTTCGTTATGGCCTAAAAGCTTTAGAAGAAAAACGTTATACGGATGCAATAAAACATTTTGCTACTGGTGCCAAACTATCATCTACTGCTAGTATGTTCAATTTGGGGTTGTGTTATGAATTAGGGCTTGGAACATTGATCGATCATGCAAAGGTACAATATTATTTTTCAACGAGTCCTCGAATTATGCGATTGTGTACTTTGTATATATCTTAACCCTTTCGATATTAACGGTGACTAATAGTCACTCATCATTGCACGTTCGCTCTATTCTATTGGTGACTATATATATATCATACTAATTATTAATTCAAAATAAATTAACCACATAATTAGAGGACTTATTATAAATGTGTGTGTGTGTTATTAAAACATGTTATATCTCTATTTCCTTAGGCTGCAAAATATTACAATGATGCAGCAGAACAAGGTCATGCAGATGCCATATATAATTTAGGAGTATTTTATGCTCAAGGCAGAGGTGGTTTATCAGTAGATGTTGCTAAAGCTCGTAGTTACTTTACTAAAGCGGCAACATTAGGTCAAAATCAAGCGCAGTATGCACTTGATTTAGAACAACGTTATTATCAATCTAAAGAGAAAGAAAATAATATAACCTACGCAGATAAACGTGAATTTACTGTAAATTATATACAAAATAGTAAGAATGTAAAACACATTCTTAAAAAGTTAATCAATTACAATAATCCGTTAAATACACATTTAAGCGTAGAATCTTTAGAAAATTCGGATTATAATCAAGTTGGAATAGAAACTAAGAGTCCAACAGAAGTATTCTTAGATATACTTGGTTTAAATAAACCAAATATATTGTCTGTACCGGTGAGGTCAAATTGTACTGTGCCATGTTAAAGTGCAAGAAATAATTGGAAGTGAAAATATAAATTATATAATTACGAATTATCAATGTTTATAAGTAAAAATAAAAGCTATATTTCATATTCTCACTTCTATAATTATTAATTGTATGACAAGATCTATTGAACTCGAACAGTATTTTTACAAAACTATTTATTGTTTGTTATAGTATACTTGTAAATAATTGCTTTTAAAAATATTCCCGAAACAATATTGTGATGTAAGGTAGTATATAGAATTTCATTTTTATACCCAATGAAAATAGATCTTGTTTCATTCAAACAAATTCACATTCTTTTCGTAAATAAATATATCATGATTTGTACACATTATTATCTTTGGTAAGATATGTAGTGGGTACAAAGGTACCAATTTTAATAGTGATTTAAATTTAAACAGTTCCAAAATAAATTGGATTGCACTGTGATGAATACATAGTTTATGTATATGTTGGGGGGAATGAGTGAAAAAGTTCAACTGTGGTTCACCAAGACCATTTATATCTATAATTTTTATTTATACGTTTTTCCACTACTCGTGCAAGTTTTATAATTTAATCCTAAATAGATACTTCTTACAAACTTCCCTTACGAATAACTTCCTCGAAAACTCTGTCATCGGTGAACCCCACCACTGACATACATATAGACATGACTTGTACAAGAAATGAAATATATCAGTTCTTTGGAAAATTATATTATTCATTCTTTTTTATAATACATAATTTCATTATTTTCTATGAAACGTATAAATTGTTGTCATATTTATAAAACATTTTTTGTGTGCGTGTAAATGTTATTAATTCATTTTTTGTAAATACAAGTATAAAAATAAAATTTTCTCAAACAAGTAGTAGCATTTATGTTTTCTGTATAAAAGCAGGACTTGAGAATCGTCACCAGTGTGCATTACGCTTTCGCACTGTTCTCTTAATAAACTCAATATGATTAGCGTATAAATTCAGGTTTCTATCGACGGTCATCCACTTTGCATTACGCGCATCATCTCCTGCTGTTAAAGTAATCTGTCCAACAGTGCTACCGTGTTCGTCGTGAAAATTTGAAGCTACAGTTTCCATCCAAGCATTGTCTGTATTTCTAGGATCGTCCACGTATCCTTCATAGAATTCTTCTCCTTTTTCAAAAAATTCTTTGATAGAGCATTCCAATTCCTCTTTTCCTATATCATCTTTCTCCAGAGAATTCATAGCTTCTTCCATGAATTCTCTTTTAAGCGTTGCCGAGATGGTTTCACCGGGATCAACCATACCGCCGGGTATAGCCCATTCTCCGGAATCTCGTCTTTGTATCGCAACAAATTGCAGAATTGGTTTGTCCGTTGTTTTATCAATTTCCAACGCTCCCGTAGTGTTTCGTTTCCAACGAGTTACGATCGGATCCGCCGCGTGATTCGGTCCCCATCGTCCCAACAGACCACGTCCGATAATACCAGTACGACCGACAGGATTTAAGGGATAACCCTCCTCGTTTATAACATAATCACCCGTAAAACTTTTGCGATTCACCTTTTCTGTTGGCATGGAATTTGTACAATAAAAGTATTACGACATACTTTAAACGATAAATATGTTCATGTTAGATTTAAATTCTGAAAGTAGTGTTGCAACTACTGTAAGATACAAGTATCAAACTTACTACAGGATTCTTTTAAAATACAGTGACTGTTACTTAAAATCGTACACCTAGCGGTTCAGTTGTTCAAATACATTTGTCATCCTACTTTGAACTCCTACAAATAGTATTGTAATAGTCTTGTAGTAGTTACAGCATTACCATCAGATCTTAAGTTAACCATGCATATTGTTATTGTTTAAAGTTTTAGCAGCGAGTATTCGAATATTTTCGTGAATCACTGTATTGTGTTCGATCGACATAGCAGCAGTTATGTCCTTCTAAACTTCTACGTATGACGTAATATTACGATAAAAAAGGTACGATCAATGATAATTGTAAAACAACTGTACGAAGGTTAAATGGACAAAAAAATTAGTATGCATGAATTTTTCATGTTAATTCCACTCGATTCATAAACCGTGGAATGTTTATTTACGAAAATTTTTAAAATTTTAAATTACAATTTCCACCAAAAATCGAAAAAATATATTGCGCGTGATTTTGAAATTAATGACAAATCGATATAGTTTTCTGGAATTTCTAAAAAAGTTTTGAAAAAAGTTAAAACCGCAAACTATGCTGAAAAATTCTAGGGTTAGGTGCGATCAGTTTGAAAAATATTTAATGATATGAAAGCATATTTTACATGTAGTTTCTCACCATCAAAAGAATTCCAATTTGGTTTGAACGAAACTTCTTCAATTTCCGGATCCGCCCAGGGTTTACCTTTAAGAACCGAAGCGGTGTATTTGACTGGTTCGTATTCTGGATAATCGACGTTCCATGGCACTTTATCTTCAGGCACTTCGAATCGTTTTACATTGCTAGAGGGATAGATACCCTGTCTACATTTATAGTGCATCATTCTGATGAACTTATTGCGCATAGAAACGTGTTTGGATTATTGTTAAGGTGTGTTGACGATTGAAATTAGATTTAAAGCAGTTACGACGCAGTCTCCTGCAAGTTATGAAAATTACATGAACCTCGGTCGGTAAAGTAACTGGACACTGCTTTATGCATTGAAAAAGTAAATCATTAATATTCACATATTTATTCAGTACGTAAAAACGAAACGGTCTATGGATCCTCTTAAATCTTTTTGAAAATATTTGTTTTATCTTTCTTCATACGAAGTATAACGCAGGATCTACAGGCAACAATCAGATATACGTAAATCTTGTTAGTGATATAAGACAGACTTGTTATCTAATGGAAATTTGCATCACATGATTGGAGAATTAATTTCATAAGTCATGAGATCATTTATTATTTTCGCGTCATAACCGTTGTTATCGGTTCAAAATGAAAAATGGTTTTAGCACAGACGGGGTATCGAATAGATCTATCATTTAATAGGACTTTGTTCTTTTAATATTAAACTACAATAAGCGGCCAGAGATGCCAGAAAAGCACCGTCGGGTGCCCTACTCACACATGCCAGATACGCGTACGTGAGCTCGTGGAGTTTCGGAATGTCGACAAAGGCAAACTGACGCATGCCCTCTTTCTCGATTCTCCGAAACTGCCCGAAGTAACTTCGGATCGCCTCGTGGGAGTCGAGAGAGAAAGGCTCACATTTGCCTTCTCGCTCTAACCAACTGAAATCCGACCTCCCGTCAACGGCATACGATTTGGATTTTCGACTGCACAGGCATTTTTACTTTCCGACCTATGTAGGCGCACATAAGCAAAGTACCAAAAGTTACAAATTTTGTAAAATTTATTTTACGGAAATACACGTTTTAAGACCCCCTGATCATATTTTAATTAATGAGAAAAAAGAAATTTTTTTTATTAGTCCCATGTATGAGCGCACATATGTATATTATTAATACGATTTTTGAAAATCAAAATACTTTAAGATTGATAATTAATAAATTAAAATGAGATTCCACTTTGTACCAGTATTGTGCACGCTCTGGCATTTTTCAATAAGAAGAGTTCTTACTTTTGTAACATAAACAAAACAGTAGAATTAATAATAGCAGAAATTAATTAACAATGATTTTCCTCGATTGTTTTGAGATAACCGTATCAATTTGTTATGACGAACTAAATAGAACTAACTAGAAACAAAGGAAAAGTGATCCCGTTTGCCAGTTTAATACAAAGTATTAAATTAAAGTCAAAAAATTCTTGCCGATTTCCCGATTCCGTTTTTAAATTTTTTTTCTGTAACCGTCACTCTCGTACCTGCTGGCAAAATCGAGAATTCATTTTTTTCGTCAAAAAATTCTTGCTCGAAAATTTCGCCGATTTCCGAGAGTGACGGTAACAGAAAAAAAAATTTTAAATCAGAATCGGGAAATCGGCGAAATTTTCGAGCAAGAATTTTTTGACGAAAAAAATGAATTCTCGATTTTGCCAGCAGGTACGAGAGTGACGGTTACAGAAAAAAATATTCAAGAGTTAATTTTTTATTTTGGCAGCAAGTACGAGTGCTGACGGTTACTGAATAAATTTTGCTCGAAAATTTCGCCGTTTTGCCAATTCAGATGTGGCCTTACCTTGACCTCGACCTTCAATTCAAGGCCATTCGAATTTTAAAAAACTTCTGGACACTGGGAATCCAATTTTAACCGGAAAAACGGTCTCTTAAAACTAAGGGAATGATTTGGAGAGGAAAAGAAAGGTAAAAATGATGAGAATACATAGAATTCTTTGAAATTATTTCATTTATTGCCATAGATTTACATTATACAAAGTTTTAATACATATACGTCATGGCAGAAGTTGTCAATAAAGGTCAGCAGTGGTCAGCAGACTCCAGCAAAGGCATGCAGAGGCAATCAGAGACCAGCAGGAGCAAGCAGTAACACGTAGAAATTGTTATACGTGTCTGAATAACCAAGTCGTGGTGAAATTAATAGTTTATTATAGGTATATGTGAATTACAAAGAAAGAATAGGCTCGCATCGTGGCGATTCCTCAACTCACTCTCTCGCTCTCCGCCGCGTGGCGCTGCGACTACCCAGGACCGTAACTAGCCGATCCACCATATACGTTGTCAGAACGTATGAGGAATGGTCAGCAACGGTGAGCAAAATTACATGTAGTCGTACCTATACATCGTACTTTTTATCTTATAGTTCAGGTAAAAGGGGTATAGTAAAGTAAAAAATAGCTGGGCAGTCGGGACTTGGAATCTTATGGCGTTGGCGTGAGGTCGAATGTGAGTTGTTCAAGGGCGCTAAGGCAAATGAGAGCCTTCCTCTCTTTGCCTTAGTTTACTTTGCATTTTAATCAATTTTCAACTTGGTACATTAAAAATCACATAAGATTTAAATGAATTTTAATATAGATAAGAAAAGAATGTTTCCCCAAATGTTCTTCACAATAAAATGCTTGTACCTAAAGGGTTAAAAGAATGTGTTTGTTCTCTGTTATCGCGGCATGGTTTACACTCTCATTCAATGAATAAGAGAGGAAAAAGGAATGGAAGAATGTTATTTACGATACTAAGTTTCTACGTGGAGGGTAGCTGGAAGCACCCTCTTTGAACTCGCTAAACACGGGAGGAGAATCGTTCAGGAGCATAAGTTTACGCAAACTGGGGTGAAATATAATTTTAACTTTCTTCTCATCTCGAGAAAAGAACTTACAAAGCACGTGAGAAAGTTTGTATACGTTGATGAAAGAGCGCGCTTTACGAGTACGGTTTGATTTTAATTTCGCTCGAAAGACGATGGTTATTACGATTGCACGACGTTCAAGGTAGCCGTCGCGTTTTCAAGATCTCCAAACGAGGAAGCAATCATGGTCGGAAGTGAGTTCTCAAATAATTTCATCGATCGGAAACCAAGCATTTTATCCGCTGGACGTATTTTAATATTCCTGCTTTTGCGTATAGTTAGATTTCGGAAATTTTTCTCCTTTAATTACGCTCCGTGAAACGGTGTAATTTGATTTTATTCCGTATGGAGAAATGTGGTTCTCCACTCTGGCGAACAGTGTAATGCTTTTAGGGAGGTGACCGCGTTCTATAACGTAATTTCACCCTTATTTTTCTTTTCTTTTTTTCGTTTTCTTAAGAAGCTCGTTGGTTTACAGTTGGAAATATGGAATATGCAGAAATTTCTCCTTCTGTTCCTCGAACATGAGGAAATATTTTTATTTGCGAAGTTGAAACGTCGTACAGTCATTAACATATATTCCAACAATCCATAACATAGAATGAGTACAGTTTTAAGAAAAACACTGATTTCTATTTGTTAGTAATAAAGTTGAGCGCTTAACGATACCACTATACCATTCATAAATAGATTTATTATAATTAATTCAATTGGATATCAATGATATCGAACATATATTTAAAAATATTCTATTTCTCTCGCATATAATTAAGGATACTGGTACAGTAAATTTACTTCGTTTATTAGATGCAGACAATTGATTGATTATTCCATTTAATACTACAATTCGTTTATTACATATCTGAACTGATTAATCAAATAATTTTAATAGATCCTGCTATTTATTTTTATCAATGTTCAGAAATTTCTGGAATAAATCACAAATTTATACCAGTTGTGTTAAAGAAAACAAGTTACAATTTAGTGTAGGTTAAATAAAACGATTTAATCGACTCGATGTGTTTATGAAAACCATTGAATTCAATTGAAATAATTTTAAAATAAATTGTTACAAATTTCTCGATACAATTTTGCAGAAATATTCCAGAATAATTCCTACTTAAAAAAACAAGTTACAATTTAGTGTAGGTTAAATAAAACGATTTAATCGACTCGATGTGTTTATGAAAACCATTGAATTCAATTGAAATAATTTTAAAATAAATTGTTAGAAATTTCTCGACACAATTTTGCAGAAATATTCCAGATAATTCGTACTTAAAAAAAATGTGTAAAAAAATTATTACCAACATCTAAAGCTCATGGTCTCTAAACGTGCCACCGAGTAGAGTAGTTTGAGATTGCATCTCGGCCGAAGATTTACGCTCGTTGCCGGTTTTCTTTGCATTCCCACCCTCAGGATTAACGATGTCGTTAAAACGACCTGGAATTACTCCGTTCTTGGGAGCAGGGAGAAGTTTTAATTCCTCGTTGGAGTGCTATCGACGACGATCGAACAATAAAAACGAAACGAATGATAAACGAGCAGTTTCGTCGTTCCTGTTGGCGCGATAATCCGATCGGCCATCATTGTCGCGAATCTGTAGCATTCATTTCACGTTTACTCGTCCCCGCAAAAATTGCATTTCTATTGGCATTCCTGTAACTTCCCATTTGAAATTACCGTCTCCAGATTTTCCTTCGTTCTTCAAAAGGGGGCATTTCTTCCTGAATTCTGTTCTAAAATTGACAACGAAACGAAGCAAAATTGATGAGATTTTTTATTTTAGATGAAAAACAAGCAGATTCCCCGGTTTGATAGTTCAACTAACTTTTTATTTTATGTCCAGTTAAACTCGACGTCGTGTTTCGTTTCAGTTTAATTGCTATATTTCACCTAACTTTACCACCTTAACACTGACTGCCACGTCACCCATATACGGCTGACAGAACTTTTAACAGTGAAACGAAAATAATTAATTCTCAAGTTAAAATGTTAAAGAAAATAAATTTTAATAGGCTTCGTAAATTTTAATGAGTTTACTACGACAACTTTTAAGTTGTTTTATTTACAATTGTCTGAAATCAATGTTTTGGTCTCGTAGACAGTTTTAGGATTTTAGACTGGCAGCCAACGTGTTAAATATATCGCTTACTTTGTATGAGAGAAAAAATGTCAGGGGAGGGGGAAATATTCTGTTCGAAGGCGGCAAATACGGTGATGGGACGAATTTCTTTCTCAAGGTCATTTTTTCCAACATTTCAAGGTCATAGTATCTTTTTTAAATGGTACTGCATATTTTCTCTACGATAGAGTTATTGCTTATAAAAAGACGAATCCAACGAGGTGTAATATGTTGATCTTTACTTGACTTTTAGCGAGAAGATTGTAAAATGTTTGTCAGTAACTTCAGTACGCGTTTCAAGACCACCCCTTGATCCTTGACCATCAATTTCTTGTTCAAAAAATCATCTCACGACTTTTCCAAACACCGATTATAGAATTGTATCTTACCAAGTCTCTTCAGCACCTAAAATATTCTACACCGATCAGGACTCCTGATTAACATGTAATGTTAAGTGAAAATTGTCATCGCAAGCAGTTCGTTCCAACATCGAAACCGTAGAGACCCCATAGAAACCATAGAGGGTCCTAGAGTCTTGTTGGTTCTCAAAAAGGCGACTAAAAAACAAACACACATTAAAATTCACT